TTGTGGGGCTGGGACAACACGACCTCAGAAATTCCGGGGCAGACTCGACCTTGATCGCGAAATGGAGGTGGCTTGTCTGCTGAATCCGACACAAGTCTGTCTCGTCACGGGCGCGGCATGGAGTGCCGTTCAAGGCAAGCATCTCCAATTTGCTACTGGTGCCTCCAATTTGTACCGCGACGCTCTACTGCAGTGCTGAAACGCCGTCCGGCTATCTCCGAGACCGAGTGCCTTTGCGTCAATGCTAGCAATGCTAGCTAGGTGTTATATATCGTAGATGATAGCGACCACCTTTTTCACGAAAGCGCGCAGTAGGTTGCCGAGATCGTGACTGCAAACGCCTGGCTTTCCGGACGCCTTTGCCAAGAGGGCTGTGGTTGCAGCTCGCCTTCGTGAGGTTAGCTGTGAGACGGCAGGGACGCCCAACTGATGAGGTCCTTTTCTTGCATTGCCGCAAGACCCAGCTCCAGCTCCAGGGCACTTCTTGGAGTCCAAGCTGAGTTTGCTAAGTTCTTCTGTTTCGCCGGGAAACGGAGAACCGGGTGTCCAAGCAAAGGAGTGTCGAAGTGCGCTGCCCATCACGACGAGCTTGTCCTGCTCGGATCTCCTGTGCCACGTGCAGAAGATCCCCGGGGCCACCATCGGTTGTGGACTTGCAGCCATCAATCGCGATGAGGTTCTCTTCAAAGTTGCAGTCGTTCACACTGAACATCCTGAGTATTTCATTCTCGTCGTTTCGTTGAACCACACCATCGGCGACGTGCCGGCACTGAAGGGGAGAGGGGGAGGCATAAAGAGACGGAGGAGACAGCCATGAAAAGGGCAGCCATGAATAGAAGGAATGAACTCCAGAAGAAAGAGCCGACCCAGGAGCGCACTTTTAAGAGAAGGACTCTATGAAGACGAGAATTAGGCCCGGGCATCTGCGTCTCTGCGCGCGAGAGCGTTTTTTTTGCAAATCTTCCCCCCCCATGCCTACATTAGAGCCGGGATCTCTTACGGTTGTGCATGGACCCAAACTGCACACTGCATATCCAGTGAAAGGGAGCGGGCAGGTTTTTCCCACACCTCCCCGAAGGCATGTGTGCCGGATGTCTGCATGGGGTTGTGTGTTGTAGTGCAAGACGTGCAATAAATACTGCGGCGATTGTGGTCGGGTGGCCAGGGGGTGCTCCCGGCTCCATGCAGCAAGTAAGAAGGAAAGGAGCAGAGCTGGTCCGCAGCCAGTCTGTTACAGGAGCTCGGGTCGTGGCTGGTTACCTTGCAGGGCATTTACTCATGGCCCGGGTATGGCAGGGATAATGGAAGAGAAGGAGAAGGGAAGGGCTGAACAGGGAGTGAGTGCGAGAGGGGGTGCAGCATTCCGACCGCCGTCTCCATGCACCCGGCAGCCGAGGCGACGGATTCACGTTCTATAGGCTCTACGCCATGCTGGATCCCGAGGCCCCCTGAACTTGCTCCGGGGCCCCAGGGCACGCATGGTGTGAGAATTGGTGTGAGGTGCAGGTGATCAGCATGAGCCCGCATCGCCGCCCTGGATTTGCGCATGATGCCATGAAAGCGTGTGGAAAACATCAATTTGCCGAGCCCTCAGAAGCACGGGATGAAATTAAAACTCCGTGAACTGTGGGCTGTAGGATCTTTGACAGCCTGCTGCTATGTTTCGATCTAAGAACTGGCTAACACGATGCCCAACGCTGTTGGGTTTGCTTCGCAGCGTCTGCTTATGGTATCCATCTCAACCGCAAGTACGTCTTGTAGATCAAGCCGGTGTGGCAAGCAACAAGACAGAACGCCCAACTGTCTCGGCAAATGACATCCTGAGTTCCCACCTGTTGATGTTGTCTGGATTTGGTTTTGGGTACATGTCAATCAATCTGCGCGACCGTGGCTTGGGCGTTACTAGCGTCAATGCCGGCAACTACGTCCACAGAGTACACCTCCGACCAGACGACTTCTCCGAGCCTGCACTGGTTAGGAAGGCGCTGTCCCGGTATTTCACCGGGGGATGCGATGAGGTTCCTGACTGCTGGAGCTCCATGGTGACCCGGCATGGGCTGGTGTCGAATTGGGCTGGCTTCCACCACGAGGTCATGCTTCCAAGCTCTACTCCAACTGTCCATCTCCCTGTCATCGCACACCCGCAGCCGGGATTCGGCTTCTTCATTATCTTCAGGCCAAGGAAGAATGCGCCACTCGGAACGAAAGTGAAACTGAACATCTTTCGAGAGAAGCTGTGAGAGAGTTTCCGTTCTCAGCTTAGCATCCGAGGCTTGCGGTGTACTATTCCCTTCGCAGCAGAGCGGCTATGGACGAATTGTTGAGATCACCACTTCTGACCTCGTCCGTCATTCCTCTGACATTGCCTGGCTCAGAAGCAGAAAGCAGGAAATCGAAAAGTTATCCTTGCGTTCCGGTGCACCTTCTTGGTACAATCTCGGATAATCTCGGCGTGGGGGACGCCCCCGTTGTTGTGACCGCAGCTTGAAGTCTTCCCTGGGTCTCTGCTGCAGGCGCTCATTCTGAAGTTCGTCCTTCAGCCCGCCACAGACCTCGCGAAGACGCTCCAAGAGGTGCGAAGATCGGCATCGACAGCATGCGCTAGCTGTGTCGGCCGCTTGTCAGGTTCGAAGCACCGTGGGGCGTTTTGAAGCTCCGGACCTTCCGATGTACATTCTCCGGCCCGGCACGAGTGAGGAGCAGGCCTGGCGGCATGGGAAAAGTGCTGTTTCTGTGGATGTCACGACTTTTTCCATGCAGGGCTGGCTATGGGTGTTGGGACTGAATCCCAACATTCTTCGCGCGGAGCTGGGACGAAATTCCCCAAGACCTGAGCTGGAGCTGTTGCCTTCATTGTCAGGTCATCTTCGCGGAATCCTGTTGCAAGCATCACAGGCGTGTGCAGCAGAGAAGGGTTTCTCCTGAGTTGAGTGCTTGCGGCGTGTGGTCGCGGCGTTTCTCGAGACCGTTGCAGGATCCTGCTGCGTCTGGAACCTCGCAAGGCCTTGGAAGGCACATACTCGTAAGAGATTTTCGGACACCGCAAGCGACAGGTCTGAAGCTGGCCTCGTTCCTTCAGGTGTTGACTTGCCGCTTCCTCAGACCGACTCTGGAAATCTAAGATCTCACACTATCTCACATGCTCAGAAAGCAGGTATGCCCCGTCGGAAGAGCAAGTCGGGGCCTCGAGGAGAAGGCCTCGGAGGGAAGCGGTTCTGCAGTTACCCAGGCTGCTCACGGCCCTACGGGCTGCTTTCACCTATCTGGACAAGCAGCTCAGGCCCCACCTGCTTTTTGCGTCTACTCTCCGTGGTAAAGCCTCGGGAGGCCCTGCGAGGTTGCCCCGCGGCTCACCCTGGCGCAGCTCGGCCTGAAGACCCCTGCAACTGTCGACATCTTGACATGTGACTGCTGCAGTGACGCGAAGCAAGACTGGTTGCACCAGGTCGTACTGGCACTCGAACGAGGCGCACTGCGGCATCTCCGCACAACAGCTGTAGGGGTTGCGAAATTCAGTTTCTTGGCTCAGGTGGTCCGGCGCAGGCAGTGTGGCAGCCGATCAGGCATGTCATGGCTCGGGTTGATAAAGCACGAGGTGGCCAGTGAGACATGGTGGGGTGAGACTGTCAAGAATCTTTGTCTATGTAGATGTGTAGATGTAGAAGACAGACATCAAAACCCACCATTAGCAAGTAGTGTTCGAATCCGGTTGGCATTGCAGGGTCAGTGTGAGATTGGTGCTAAGCTCGCAAGCCTTTCGCCCCGGCATCCACTATTCGTCTTCGGATTTTCTCCCTTTCTCCCATCTCCGACGACGATATGGACACCTCGTGCTGGCATCCTTCAGGCTGGATCGTTTTGATGGGAGATGCGGCATGTGGAAAGCCCTTTTACTTTGGGTCCAACTTGCGGCTGTGCTGCACTGGACTTTTGCGGGCTTCCTCGCCTTTCTGCCTACCTATATCCGCGAGGAATGGCCATTTTCAAGATGCTATGGCCCTGCTGCCTGGTGCTAAGTTTGCTTTGGATTTGATGCGTGTTGCTCGTATTGCACGGTACTCAGGTCTGTTCCCTGGTCACAATTGCCAAATCAAGGTCTCGTCTCTGGCCCTCATCTCTCGGCTGATGCAGGGGCAGCCATGTTTTCTCATCAGGTGAGCCTGGATCGCAGGCACGCGCAGAGGAGGAGCCTTTCAAGCCGAGCGCTCGGACGAAACCATTTTGCGGAGCTGGGGGCTTTGTAGATAGATTGTGAGGCGGTATGCTGCCGAATATCGCCGGCGCATCGCTGAAAGCAGAGGCTTCTATCCCAGTGTTCAAGCTCTTTGCTGTTGGTGTCTGCGCTTCCGACTTCACGTCCGTTGTCTCGAGCCGAGGCTTTCACACCTCTAAAACATCTGCCAGTGCAAAGATCACTGTGTGAAGACATGCGACGCCCGTCTCCTTCGTGTACATAATTTTCGATGCTTCTAAGCCCAATGGCTGGAGCCAACTCGAGCCGATAGCAGCGATGCCAATACCTTGTAGAATCAGGCAGCTAGACCCGGGTACTATCTGAGCGCTGAATCAGCTATCCTAAAGCCCAGAACCCTAAACTTTATGGAACGAATTGAAGCTAGCTGGCCTGATTTCCGCACTCTCCCACGTTCGTGGCATACCCCTCTCCTTGTGGCAGCTCAGACTCCACATGCATTTTAGGTCCCGGTCGCAAATTCTGTGCATCCGTGTTCCTCGCCTAGGATGGCTGATCGCGGTGAATGTGACAGCACCCTAAGCATGTGGTTTGGCAGCGACAACAAGTAGGTTGTAAGATGCGGAGCGACACATTCCCATCGATCAGTCTTGAGATTGCCATTGCTTTGGATCTAGTTTTCATCCCTTACGGCGCTCTTCAAGAGAGTCCGAGTCATCTTTCGGAAGCGTGCTGCGGGAAGAAGGAGGATAGGCCCATCCGTTGCGGTGTCCGCTGAAGTGCAGCTTGGCGCAGCTTGGCCGCCGAGGGAGACTGGGACTGGGCAGAGCCGGAGTCCGGTGCACTTCGACCGAAGCGCAGCTGAAAGCCCGATCAAGGCGCGAGCTAAACGGCACCTGAGAGGCGTTTACGCCAAACAGCCGTCTGCTGTCGCTGTGGAAGGCGCCCGCTGCTCCGCAGCAAACTCTCGCCAAAGACGAGAAGGAAGAGAGGCTAGGTGGAGCTGTCTTTGCGCATGTCAATGTTTTGCTCGATTCTGCATCTATTCCTTGCGCTGCTTGCACAGATGGACTGCTGTGTAACATGCAAGTTTGTTGTATGTCTTGTGCCCCAAGTCTGCCCGATCATCTGGTCGGCGTAGAAAAAGAGCCTCGCTTGGAACAGCTCGCGCCACGTCAGGCAGCAGGCCGAAAAAGAGGTGAGAGACTTGAAGGCGGGAGCCTCGAGCTGATCAGCTGAGTCAGCTTCGCTGGGTCCAGCGAGGCCACCATAGCAGAGCTTGAGGAGAGGCTTCAGCAGCAAGATGAGCAGCTGCAGCTGAACAAGACTCGGCAGCAAGAGCTCTCTGATGACCTGGAGGAGGCTGTCTGAAGCTTCGCATTAGCACGCAGCTGGCTGTAATCGGTTCGACCCCTCCATGGCAGTAGATCCTGGCAGCTCCCTGGAGGCTCGGCGGGCCGCGCAGGAGCACCAGCAAGCAGCGGAGGAGGCGCCTTCGCGAAGCGGGTTCCTCCCTTTTTGGCCTTTTTGCTCTGCGCGTCTTCTGCAGGGACTGCAGGCTCGGCAGCATATCGAGAAGGTGGGGATCCCAAGCGCCGAAACAGCGGCTTGGGTCCCCGCACGCAGTTGAAAAAAGTTGCATGCTAAGCCCACGGACAGGAAGTCGCATCCCCGCATCCTTCGTCTTCAAGCGTCAGCCTCCGAGCCCCGAAGTCGAAGGAGCGATATCTCTTGAAAGAAGTTATTCTGACGAGGTGCAGCAGGCTCCGTCTCCAGTGCCCGAGTGCGCGAGCTTCTCTCCTCTGCAAGGAGCCAAGGGGAGCGGAACACCGAAAGCACCGACGGCGTTTCCACACGCTTCTTTAGCTATTCGTCTAGATCCGCTTTGATCCGGGCCCTGGGCTGATCTAAAATCTAGTACTGAGCAGCGCGCCACATCACATGCCGACGAACAGACAACTTTGCTTCATGTGCTGCTGCTTTGAATTTCACGAGCCTGTCCAGGAGACATGTCCAAGGAGCCTGTGCACACTTGGCGGCACCCCGCTGGAGAAGTTTTCCTTTCAGCAGTCCAGGACGGATGCAAGCTGCACACTAGATGAGACTTAAGCTGCGGCAAAATCTGTCCTCAGAGGCCTGTTTGCCAACCCTTGCCGCATCACCAGCATCGACTGCATCGCGAAGTCCTCCCCAAGGTGCACATTCAGCCGGCATGCACAGGAGAAGCAGAAGAAGATTCACTCTTTCCCGCCGATCGAGGCAGACACGCACATCGTGGCATTCTGGCCGTTCCAGAGGAGGCGTACAAGGCGCTCTCAGCAGCAACAGGCGGACGGAACTCGGGCTCGGGACTGTTTGCACTGCTAGGCAAACCCCTCGCAGCCTGGTCCTCAGTGTGCCCAACAGCTGTTTCTAAAGGCCACCCACTCATCTCAAAAGCACAAGGCAAGGTGGTATTCCAGCGCACGAAGCCGAGGCGGCTTGCAAGAATATTGAGCAGTCCTTACCGCGTATCATGCCGGGCGTAGGCAGAGTACTGAGGTTGACTGTGCTGTTACGAGTAGATCTTCAGTGTGAGATTGAACATGTTTCGGTCAATTTGCGATCTTCACATGACTCACCAGTGTCAGCACACATAATTCGCTCTCGGTCTCCGGTCGCTTGCTTCGCTGTGCATTTTCGCGAAGCAGCTGTTTGTGGCTTTGCCCTATATCTCAGACGGACGGTGGCAAGGACCTTGTAAACAGACTTTGAATGTGTTACAACTGGGTGGGCCGTTGGTGCTAGCAGGCAGGAGTGCGCCATGGCTGCCGCAGCCATGGATGCGGCGCTTGCATCGCTGCGCAGCGCTATGGAGAGCCTGCTGGAAGAGAAGCTGCAAGCGGCCCTGACTGAGGTGGCAGCTTTGCGTGCTGAGACGGCTCGGCTGAAAGTGGAGCAGCAGGCGCTTGCCAAGGAGAGCGGAAAGCTGCGAGAGGAGACCGAGAGCCTGCGGGGCGAGCTGAAGGAATTGCGGCTGGGCCGGCTAAGCGACCCGGAGGCGGCCAGCACGGCCCCACCGGGGTCGCCCGCTCGTCGGGCAGAGAGTCCAGGGAGTCCAGCCTCAGCCTCTTCACCTGGAGCAGATGGGAAAGCAGCCGTGGAGCGAGTGCCGCTGTCACTTCGGAAAGCCTGGTACCTGGCCGCCCTGGAGCGGGTCCTGGTCCTCGAGCTCGCGGATGAAACCCAGGTCACGGAAAACAACAAGCCGATCAAGTTGGAGGAGCAGGAGGAGGGCTTGGAGGCCAACGCCGGCAACGAGACGGAGGACCTCTGGGCGAATTGGAAGCCCGGCAGCCGCCGTGATGGCCGAGACCGCGCACGCTGTGAGTGGGAGGAGGAGCTTGTGAGGAAAGCCGTGCAAATCAAAGCCACGAGCGTGGTGCATCTGCGAGCGGAGCCGGCAAAAGATGCCCGCAAGAACGGCAGCAAACTCCAAGAAGGCGAACTCGCCTGGAGCGATGCGCAAGTGAACGTGGAGGGCGTGATGTTCTATCGGGTCCAATCCGGCTGGGCGCCGCTGCTGCGCCAGAAGGGCCAGAACATCCTCGAAGAGGTTGCCTGGGATTCCGACTGGAGCAGGCAGACATGGGACTGGAAGGGTGAAGCTGGCCATGGCTGTTACGGCTACGGCGGCTACGGCCCTCAGAAGCAGTCGGGGTGGAAGGATGGAGACCGCTACAGCGGCGCGGGCCGGGCGGGCCGGGCATGGGGCAACTGGCGCGGCGGCTGATCCGCTGATCCTTTTGAAGGCCTGCGCCAGGAGGCTGCCAACAGAGTGCAGCCTGCCCCAAACAATGACATCGCTTTGAACTTTGAAAATGCCACAGACTACAGAACAGTCACGATGGCTTGGAGCCTTTGAAGACTCCGGGATGGAAAAGCTGCTGCCGGTGTGTGGATGTTAATTAGCATTCATCTCCTCTTGACAGCCAATGCGAAAGTTCGAGCATTCTGGTCGATGTTGCAACAAGTTACTTCCGCCGAAACATTTGGCGGATTCAGGCTGTAGTAGGTACAGAGGGGAAGGTGGAGGGCGTCGATTGTGCTCCAAGCAGCAGACGGAAAGGAAATCCCAAAACTCTTGCCTAGGGTGTCCATTCCCTCGTGCCAGGTCGGTTACCAGCACGACGACAGGCTGCGTGCGCTGGAGAAGTGCATGGAGGACGCGCGGCGTCGTGCATTGTTCCCTGTTCTTTTACATATCATCACGTGATTCTTGACTGAAGTCTTGTAAAGGAAACTCGCCGCCAGCTGGAGGCGATCGCCAAGTTTGTTTTGCGCTGTCAGGAGGGTTTTTTCACGAAGGAGTGACAGGTTTGCTTGGAGACGGCGGCGAGATCTCGCAGTCCGACGAGCCCTGTCCAGGCCGTGCGTTCGTCAGTCGCGGAGTCCGGAGATGTCCGAAGGAAGTTTTGATTCTCGTGCAGGCGCCAGAAGAGCCCAGGCCTCGGAGTGATGGGAGGGGGCGGAAGGGTGAGAGCGTAAGAGGAGGGCTTTGGGAGAGCATGTCGAGGCCAAGCCCTGTCCGCGTTGCTTCCCCCGAGCGCGGACACGCCGAGGCTGGGCTGCTCGTCTGTTGATTTGACGTGAAGCTGCGCTCAGATTCACGTTGCATGTCCACTTTTTTTGCTGGGCTTCATAGGCTTCCCCTGCTGGACATCCAAGCTGGTCTGAATGCCCGACCATAGAAGTGCCAGATGCGCACCTCCAGGCGGCCTGCATCTCAGGATTCCTTCAGGGCCACCAGCAGTGAAGGGAGCAAAGCTGGAATACACGGAGCCATCCGAATGTACCGAGTGTCTTCTCCTTCGATCGCGCCTGGCCAACACACTTGACCCGCCGGAGTTGCTGCAGAAGGTTGGGGGCGTCTGTATGGAGAGTGATGTTTTCGAGATGCAAGAGCTCCCTATGAGCATTCTGCCAGGCGCAGGGCATGCTGCGGCTGAAGGCGTGTTTGATCGTATCCACTTCTGACAGAATGTGTCAGGCAATGCCCTCTGCATCATGTCATCAGGTAAGGGCGTTTCTGTGGCCTTTTTTCTGGAAGCTGCTAGCATGAGAAGGGACTGGTTTCTCCAACATGTTTATGTTTTTGCAGCAGACACATGGTCCGAAAGCAACTGTGACACAACTGCTTTGTACAATTAATGGTGCGCATGCCTCTTGAAAGCTATGGCTGCATCAACTTGACCACTATGGTGGCATGAGTGCTTTTCTCTTAGAGCCCGAGTGATTTGCAAACATCAACATCCAAAGCAGGCTACTTGCCACATCTTGCCACGGTATCGAGGTGATCCAATGGCATCGGCTGGTCCCTTTTTGGGGTGCCTCGTGCTACCTTGTACTTCAGCAGCCACTTTGTCTCAGCCAAGACCTTCCCAGGTTTCCTTGCAGTCGCTCGTGCTCAGTCTGTCTATTGCCGCCTGAGACCCAGACCAGAACAGAAGGAGCAACATGCAGACCACAAAAGCCAGATGGCGAGAGGTGCAGCCACCTTTACTCGCTTGTGCCTGGCAAGGTGTCGAACAACTTCGCGATTTGGAAGGCACGTGACGCCTAGTTCAGCCATGCTTCGCTCGAGACTCCGCGCTCTTGACCGGAGCGATCCTGGCAGGTGAGATTTCTGGGGTTGGTGAGCCCCTGGGGTCTTCAAGGCCGCTTGCACTGGTTCTGGTTGCTCTTTTCCGGTGCCATGTATCTGCCTGGAGGGAAAACAGCTGTGCCTGGCACATCATTCCAAGTTTGAGCTTGCAGGCCAGCTCTGAAGCAAAACAGGTATCCAAAAAAGATGCTTTGTCCCGGGAAGGCCATCGAGTTTACCCTTCTTGGCGATGGATCGTTCTCAGGCCAGGGTGCTGCTCAACGGATACGTAATTGCTGGTTTGCTTGGGATCTGAGTAGCGAGTAGTTGGATGGCAGGCTATGACGCCCTTGTCATATATGGGCCTTGCCCTCAACCATGGTGCAGTCATACTCTGCGCGCATCCTTGTTGCGTTTGTTCACGTGCTGCCAACATCTGCGTGTCAACATGATGAGGTCAGGGCAGGTGCATTCCTCCACGAGAGTTGCCACGTTTCATCGCGGCAATCCGCTACCTGCTGCGATGGTGGACAACCTAGATGGGCACGCACCCACGCGCACACACTCCGTCACTAGATATTCCGTAGTCACTCCAGTGGCATCTGTTGACATCGTACTTATTTCACCCGACTTTCGTTGAGGCGTGGATGTATCGTCTGTGTGTGTGTGCGCCCGCACTGTTTGGGAAGAAGGGCGTGTGTCTGTGCTCCGAGGCCCTCACCGGCACTTCAGAAGCTCTTCTCGTCCTCAGTGCGGTTTCTAACGAGAGCCTTGGTTGCAGCATTGCGGGGTGGCGAGATTGGGCAGTTCCGACAGCTGCTTCCGTGTGCCGTCTCGATTGTCGCAAGGACACGCATTCGGCTGCGGTACTCTTGCAGGACGGTGTGCCGAGCCGGAGTTTCAGTAAGCGCTTGGAGCGCATTCCTTGTCAGGCCATACGGTACGAAACTGGGAGACACCTGGTTCTCGCCTGCCAGACTCTTAGCTAAGAGATGCTCAGATCCAACAAGTAATGTTTCTGTCGCAGTTGTGGGTCGCCACGAGTAGTGATCCTGAGGTAGGCTATGCCTGCGCAAGTGCCTTAGAACCCGTGCAGATGCAGTAGTTGGAGCAGTACGGGAGCAAAGTAGCCAAGACTGGGAGGTTGTGATGTGGTGTTGGACAGGGTTCATCCGGGAACGAGTCTGGAGTTCGAACAGTCACTGAGCCTTTCATCGTCGTGTCATCGCGCTGCATCTTCGAGTTCTCTCCATTTGGAAGTTTCCAACATGCAGTCGGGTTCGCAAGTTTGTGTGAGGTTCTTGCAGCCTTTATAGTCCTTGGCTTCGCCATATCGCTCATGCCTGCGGTCTCCTCAGCGTGGCAGGTGCACAATGACATGTGAGTATTGAGTGGAAGGACGCTACATTGCTGTGATACCAAACATTGAATGGTTGTTCAAGCATGGGAGAGTGTGACTCTGTGACATCACTCAGGTTTACATGGTGTGCTACTGCAAGGCTCGGCGACATCAGGAGAGGTTGATGTTTGCTCTCGACCTGCTGTGCAGAATTGCGATGGCGCCTGTAGGGCATCGTTCTCGTCAGGACTTGGTCATGCAAGAGTCGCAGCTGATGGTTCGCTCCGAGCTCCAGGCTTCGCTGTACTGGAGCAGCTCCAACTTACAGTCAGGGAGGTGTGTAGCGCAGACTTAAGACTACACGAAGCTGCCAAGTCTGAGGAAGCGGCTTACAAGCTTACAGTTCTATCGTACATGGCTTTTCCGGCTGCTGAAGCATGCAGAAACATGAGACTTATTTGAACATGATTGGACTCTGCTGAAGTTTCTGACTGCCCTAGAATGTGGACCGCAGGCCAGACGGTTCCGGGACAGCGAAGCGGTGGGGCCCTCTCAAATCCTGCTGCTCCCGGTGAAATGTGATCTTTGAAAGCTTGCGACACATCAAATCTAGGCACAGGTAGAAGAGCAGCAGGTGGTGGCGTCGTTGCAGGACCGGAATGCCTGGCACACCTGCTTCAAAGCCTTAGTCTTCCAGCGGGCATGGGGCAGAGAAACTCGCAGGCGCTGCCTTTGGAAATGTGGAAGGACAGGGAGTTGGAGGTGTCTCAGCTTGGAATGTGTGCAATTCTTAGCTCACGTCCTTGGGATCCTTTAGCCAGAGGTTGGCAAGCGCTCAAACGACGAGTGCTGCCTCTGTCTGGAGCCATACACGGAGGAGGCTGCGCTGGGCAACTTGCACCTTCAAGATCTTTCAGCTCTACAGCATGCGCACAGAGACAGGATATGCTCAGAGTTCTTCCCTGTCGACATTTCTTTCACCAGGCCCTGACAGCTTCGTGACGTCCAGTGTGGAAGTATTGGCATCATGACTGACATAGGCCTGCATCGACCATTGGTTTTCTGCCAATCGCTTCATGCCGAGATCCTGTCCACTCTGTCGAGAACTCAGAGAGACGACGAGATGGTCTGACCCAGAGTCTCTCCACTTTGTACGATTCGATCTCAGCTGCTTTTTGAGCCGAGAACAGCGAGCGAGGCAAAGCGGACCCCACGGCGATGCAGCCTCCAAGTGCTTGGGCCCCAGCCATGACTCCGACAAAGGCTTCAGTCTGTCGTCGAACTCTGCCATTGCATTGATTGAGCACGGGGTCATCGGATCTCAGAGAGCTTGTTTCCTCAAAGGGTGCAGAAGAGGCTGCTCCGCAGGACACTGTTGCTTCGTGTCCACCATCTGAAGTTCTACCAACGAACTCTCTGCGCAGCCTTCTCAAGAGCAAGACACGATGATGTGACTGACACGGCCTCCCACAGTGTGCCCGTTTCCATCGCATGGATTTTCTCACGCCATCCAGCCAGCAGACTTGGGACGAAGCGAGTTGCTCTTCGCGATTCTTCCGGTTTTACGAAGCTCGCATGAAATGTCGTTCCGCTTCCGTTTTGCTTCGAGTGTTCGTGGCGAGGACGGGCACGACAGGATCGCACCCAGCGCCACGGCGAGGCAGCAACATCCAGCTTCGGTGATGCCGCGACAGCATCTCGACGTGCTCGGCCCCAGGCCAGTCCTAGCTGCCGAGCCTGGGACTCTCGCTGCTATCGTTGGTTGGGAGCCTGGCTGCCTTCCGCTTTGCAGTGACGTGTTTGACAGCGTTGTTGCATGACTCGATGGAGGCCTTGTAATCGCCTTGACTGGGCTTCTCTGAAACAGCCCTTGAGCCAACTCTGTACTTGGAAACAGGTCGTCCTCAACCAGCGTGGGAAGAGTGACGATGCTAGTATTTCGTTCAGCCGTTTTCTGTGTTCTACAATCAAGCATCTGCATGGTCAGCAACCTTTTCACCCGCGCTGAGATTGGATTTGGAGAGGACCGCAGAAATGCTTCTTGCTAGGACAGCTTAATGTTGGTTTGGTCTCCACAACATCAGTCTCCGCGCGTGGTCAGTGTTTAATCCCTTAGCCAACGACCAGCTCCTTGCCGAAGGCATGGGAACGGATCCAACCACGATAATGCTACCCACACGCAGCGCCATGACTGGCTCTGCAGTGTGAGCTAGTGGGCATGATCACGTGCCCTGTCAAATGCAGCATGTTCCAAAAGTGAGTGTTGTGGCCTTTCGACACCAAAGCACTTCTACAGGACTTAGGCTCACGCCGTTGCCCTTTGCAGGCGGCCGTCGGTGAGATCTATGCAGTGCTCTGCCTTCAAACGAAGGTGCCGGTCCACTCGCAGTGCATCGCAAGCTCTCTGAGTCATCGTCCCCCCAATCCCACAGGTGCCGGGCCACAGCATTCCAACAAAGAAATGACTCGTCCCCGATCGCAGGCGAAGTCATTCCTGGCCCAGTCGAGGGTGGCAGAGCTGGCTCAGAGAAGGCATCGGGTCCCAAGCCAGACACATCTTCCTGCGCTGCCACTGTAAGTTCAGTCACCACAGGAGACCACGCCCACAGACAGCAGGCTCAGGCACGACGGATACGGGCTCAATCGTGAGATATGTTCTGGGAATGTGCGATCACTTCCTGCCAGGTCGATCGACGCAACCACGTGGCGTTCCGCTGGCACGCGCGATGTGTGAAGGGGGGAATGCCTGCCGAAATTTCCAGCAGATGTGTGCATGCCAGGCGCTGAACCGCTCGCCACTCCCGCCTTCCGAGGCGATGCCTTACGGCGCACAGCGATACCGCAATAGACACCCTCCACTCTCCACCCTTCTCTTCCGAGGCACTGCGTCGCCGAGCGACTGTGCAGGCTGAGCGGGCAGGGAAGTCACGGATAGGTTGCAGCTCCGCGAGAGCACCGGCAGGCCGTTGCAGACCGGGGCAGAGGCCTTGCGTGAAGCCAGTGCAGTTTTTCCTGAGGAATGCAATGGAATGCAACTGCTTCTCCCGGAATGCGTCTCAGTCTTGCATGGAGTCATGGAGGTGATGAAGCAGCTACGGGGGTGACAGCCAGGCATCAGCATGACAGCGCTGCAAGGCAGTTTCAGTTTCATCCTTGTGCCTCAAGTAATTCGCCTGGGTTGTACCACAGGCGACGGTGGAGCTCTTGCCCGCGGCCAGAAAGCGTTCCACCCCTGGCGCTGGAGCTCGTGCAGGCAGCACTCTTTGCGATTGCTGAACAGCCCCAATGATGACCCGGAGCTTCCTGGAGCCACTTTCACTGATCAGCTTCGTCTCTTTCGGTCAGTTTGGAGAACGACCTGTTCCCCGCGTTTCTCCAGCTCCTCCTGAGGCGGACAACAGCAGAGCAGCATCCTAGTATGCTAGAGAAGACACTCGCCTTCTTGTTGTGCTGGCTGCAAAGGCTTGCGTGTGTTCAAGCTGCCTTCGAAACAAAGCACAAGCAATACACAAGCTTCTTCAGACCTGTGACAACACACTCCGAAAGACAAGCCAACGAGAGACACGTGAGTCTGAAGTATTTCGTCCGGTCCTGCGCAGGGCTGGGAAGTGACCTTGGAGTTCAAGGTTCCTAGGTCTTGAGCTTTATTTCCAGCTTTCCGCCCATTCCGCCATGCGTCCTTGTTGTCGTGGCAACACCAGCTTGATCGGCCACTGGCAAAGCTTAAGACGGCCAGCGAACACGCTTGGTGTTCAGATGTCAGCTTCACCTGCGCATGGTATCCTACTATGCCGCGCCACGCGATCGAGCTTCTCCGGAAAATGTTCAGCAAAACGAAGACGAAGGAGGGTCTCTGCTCGAGCCTGTGTCGTACTACGAACGGGAGAATCGACGCCGAAATCGATTGCTGCGGGATCAACTTCGTGGCCAGGCAGACCCCAACGGAATCCTGGAGCTTGCCGCCGAGCGTGGTGTGTCCTGGGATAGCATCGGGCTATCCACGGCTTTGCATGCTCTTGCATGGAAGGTGAAGAAGGGCGCTCCGAAGCCCAACCTGAGTGACAGTCGATGGCAGCATCTCCAGGGCCTTGCATACGGCCAACTAGCTGAGGGGGAAGCCCGCAACCTCGCGAACATGGCTTGGTCGATGGCCAATATCTCCTTAACGAGTCTTCCTTTCATGACGAAGATTGCAGAGCTTGCGCAGGGTCGCGCCGACGAGTTCAAACCGCAGGAGCTGTCGAACCTTCTATGGTCTTTTGCTACTATCAGGTACAAAGATCCTCTCGTCTGCAGCCTGTCGACGACGGTGGAACGCTTTTGGTCTGGAGCCGAGGTTCAGGCATTGTCGTGTCAGGATGCAGCCAACATGATGTGGGCCTTTGCTTCATTGATTTTTGGGGTCACGGAAGCCAGGGATTTGGTGAAATACGTTTATGCCAGAAGCTTCGTCGTTGACTTCAAACCTCAAGAGTGTGCCAACACACTCTGGGCCATGGCTATTCTAGACATTCAGCACCATGACTTGGTCGAGAGCATTGCTTCTCGTGCCTTGGAGGTACTTTTTGAGTTCAGGTCTCAGAACGTTTCGAACCTCCTATGGGCCTATGCCAAGATCGGTCACAGAAACGACATTGCAACCGAAGCGTTGCTGGAATTCTCCATGGACAAGCTACATGTTTTTTCTGCACAGGATCCCTCGTTGTCCCGCTAGGCATATGAGTCATGTTGCAGTTCAGAGTTCAGAGTTGTAAAGCATACTCGACAAACGAAAGATAGGAGAAAGAGATCGCAGGACCTTACAACCATGGTCTGGGCCTGCGCGACTATGGACTACTGCTGCCAGACATTCTGGGAGCTTTGCCGGCCGCGGTTGGAGGCAATTGGGCAGCTGTCATCGCTGCGGCCGCAACACCTCTCCAACACCGTTTGGTCCTTGGCCGCTTGGCTGGCGAGATAACTCCAATGCCTAATCCGATGCCAATGCAAACCTTGAGGGATTTGCCTGATCTCTTCAGTACTTGTATCTCTTCTAAAGCAGCGACGCAAGATCGTATCAACAGCCGAAGTGAAGGGGTCCGCACTGAAGACGGGTGACGCTGTTTCTCATCCGAGGCGACCCTTCAGCTCCAGGACAAGCCTTGGTTTGACTTCACCAGCTCATCCCTCCCAGGCCGCATTCAAGAGTTTAAACCTCAAGAGCTGGCGAACTTCATCTGGTCCCAAGCTGTGATCCTCTGTGACAGTCCTGCAGTGGCTTGCATTGCCTTGCGAGCTTCGCAGATACACAGCGAGTTCAGCTGCCAAAGCATGGCCAACTTTACTTGGGCATATGCTAAGCTTGGCTATCAGGGTGACAGTATGATTGCGATACTTCAGGAGGCTGCTGCAACAAAGATTGACAGAATGTCTGAGCAGGATCTCTCAACGACATTCTGGGCCTTCAGCACTATGCAACACCGAGATGACCTTTTCGTGGCTTCTGTCAAGTCCGCGCTTATCTTGAAGCTGCAGGAACGTCCCATCAAGTCGCAGCACGCTTCAAACATCCTTTGGGCATTGGCTTCCGTGCTATTCCAGGATGCGCCCTTCTTCCGTGCAATCGGGGAAAGTGTGAAGAAGTCGATTTCGACATTTACTCCGCAGGACCTGTCTTGCAGCATATGGGCACTGGCTACCGTGGTGTACTCTGACAGAGACCTAACGGACCTGATCGCGTCGACAGCGCAAAAGCAGATGGACTTCTTTGACCCCCAGAGTCTCGGGCAGAGCGCCTGGGGAGCCGCTTATCTGAAGACCTCCGTCCGCTCCCTCTACGCTGCTCTCGAAAGCAGTATTGACAAGGACCACTGCCTCATGACATACAATGACAAGGTCGTGGCCATGCTTGTGCGGGCCTTCTTAACGGCGGGCGAGGTGAGCCGGGCTTGGAAGCTTTTTGACAGCATGCGTCGCTTGGGTTTAGACCCGGGAATAACTGCCCTTGGTGCATGGCTGCATCACTGCCGGGACCTGCAGCCATCCATGGAAAGAGAAATGCAAGCGATGGATGTACTTTCGCGGTTTCAGCCGTGCCGATACATCCAGCAGGCTATTCTCAATTCATGTGCCTTGCGCTTGGCAGAGGCCGGATGGTGCTCTGAAAGCGGATCGTTGGTTCAAAGCTTGCTGAGCGTCGAGGCCAGCCCTGTCACCAAGGCCATTAGCACCAAATTGTCACGTGGAGCCTTCGAAAAGACAAAGGGCATGTGTGGGCTTGGGCAGCTTCAATTGCCTCGCTGGACTATGCCAGCCAGAGGGAGTGGACACTCTGGCACAGACTATGACAAGCAATGCAGGTTGCTCCAACATGTGCTCTGCACTGCTCGGGAAGGAGATCCGGTGTCTGTCGTCAACACGATCGAGCACTTCTCGGTTGATGGGAATGGATGGCTAAAAATTGCAGGTGGTGGCAAGGGTGTCGTTCTGGACGATCTGGTCACGAAGTTGGCTCCGCAGCCCGTCGAGCTTGTACTGGAGTTCGGCTGCTTCGTTGGATACTCATGCACGAGGATGGCCTACCAATTGGTTCGTGGTGGCAAAGTAGTGTCTGTCGAGGTGGACCCCATTCATGCATGCATTGCACGAAATGTGGTTGAATTTGCAGGTGTTGCAGACCGGGTTTCCATCTGTATCGGGTACAGCGAGGATGTGATCCCGCATCTGAAAAAAACATGCGCTGGCGGAGCCGCGGACGCGGTTTTTTTCGATCAACGTGGTACTAGATTCCACACGGATTTGCAGATGCTTGAAGCGGAAGCGTTGCTGAAAGACAAGTGTGTCATTTGTGCTGACAATGTCTTGAAGCCCGGCGCTCCGCACTTCCTGTGGTATTTGCAGAACAGCCCCATGTACGACTTGACAGTTGTTTCGTTAAGAGAGTTCGCTTCTGATCGTATCGAGGATTGGATGGCCATCGGAAGGTTCAGTCGGCTCTTGAAACCCGCGACACCCTTCCTCGTCTTCCCTTCCTCTTTGGACTCGGTCGCATTTCTAACGGACAAGGCAAGGGCAAGGAGTTGTAACGCCGATGGGCCCTGCGAAATTGATGAGGCAGCCTGGGCGCGTCACTCCCAGGCGATCCGCAAGGCATACGACGATGTGGGAATCAAGCCTCACATCGTCTATGTTCGTTCGAAAGGTGGCCGCGCTGTTGTAGATTGGTAGGACTTGCCAGGACAGGCTTGCAATATACTCACGGCAGATTGATGATGCGGGGTTTGGGAGGAAAAAATGAGACGGGAGTTCCTGCACCGAATGTCGCTAGCTGCGAGGGCGAAGACGCGTCCAGGCACGGTTTGTGTCTGCCCGGCAGGCTGTGGGGCGCAGCGAGATGCCTCCCTCGGAGGAGGCCAACGGCCACCGCGCCCACCCTGAGATGTTCACAGATGGAATTTGGGACAGGCTGCGGCGGAGACGGGAGCGGAGCCTGCAGTGGAGGCTGCTGCAGCGCGTGGAAGTGCAGTATTTGCAGCTCGTTCGCTGCTGGTCTCGCTGGCATGTTCTGCAGAACGCCAGACTTGCGAAGGCTTCCAGCATGCTTCAGCGTGATTCAGAGCCAGGAAAACGATGGGTCTAAGCCCACGCGACCGATGAGTCGGGGACCTTCTGTGCGAGCTTCCGCATTGCTGCGTTTGCATTGACCTTTGCCAAGGCTCACCGGCCCTCTTGGCTCAGCCGAGAGAGCCGCGAGTGGTCGCCATCAGGCGGCCGAAGCCGGAGGATCACAGTTCTGGCGACTGCGCGTGGCTTCGTGATTCGGTGATCTCGTGAGGCCGCGTCAGATCAAGTCAGCGTCGATGGCGAGGCAAAGTATGCCTGCCCGGAGCAGGCGGGTGAAGGTGTGCATGACCCGGATCCAAGTTGGCGAAGTTGCGCCTCAGGCCCGCGAGTGGCATCAGCAGGAGTCGCAAAGCCGGTGGATGGGAAAAGTCGGCGACCTGGCGCTCCAAGCGGGTCTGCGCCAGTCCTTTCGCAGTGGATGCGAAAGGTCTGACATCGGCAATTCCCAAGCAGAGCTCTGGCTGATCAAGCAGCGCACTTTAGCTGGGTCGAAGTCTCAGAGTCGTGCCAACGTCCTTGGAGTTGTCCGGCGAATCTGAGCAAGGATGCTGTGGCCTCCTATGTCGGAAGCTGTAAGAGACCCGGATACACCGCAGGAGGTATGATGAGGTTCGATTTGAAACATCTATGGCTGTCAGGCCAGGGGAAGACGACCCGGAGCAGGCAATGTGTCACAGAATGGCAGAGAGCACCTGCAACACGAAGTGGCTTCAGGATGTGCCCGACCCTTGAGAAAAGCAATTTCTGACCAGCAAGGTCCGGAGGGATCGGGATCATGGTCTTCTAGCCAAGCTTGCGAGGGGTTATGTTTTCTTGCTGAGCTACAAGTACATGTATATGCCTTGAAGCACTTGACGTTTCTAGCATCTTGCAGACATGCGGCCACTGTGCGCAGGCTGTGGCTGCAAGCCAGAAGAAGACCTGGCCCCAGCGATGTTATCGCTTGGCAGCCATTCTGAAAGAATCTGGCACCCAGGTCCAGCCCCTGGCGCTAAAGTTCGCGATGGTCAAGACCTGAGAACTATCTCAAAACATCCTTGTGGTCCCTTGCGCACTGTGCATGCATCATCATGCGTTTGGGTCAGCCTTCAGGGATTTCGAGATGCATCCGCTTTTACTTGCATGCAACTTGGATCCGTAGCTTCGCTGTTCATGCAATCGTCCACGTGTGGCCTTGGAGGTTGCAGTTAGACCTCACGGAACTCTGCCACATGTGGTTCGCTGCAGCGTATCATCTTGCAGATGACAGGGTCATATGAAGGAAGGCTTTCCTGGGTGTACTTCTGGTACTGGCAGGATCCCAGAAAATCAGCGATTGAGAGTATTTCGGACTTTCTTGGCCGGAACTGAAAATCCCAAGCTGTTCGGTTGCCCTGCCCGAGGCAGAGGCTGAAATCCTCCGCGAAGGTGAAGCATCCTGAGAGGTTCGGGGAAGACTCAGGACACACGCGGCCAGAGTCATATTGACGGGATGAGAGTAGCCATCGCAATCTAAGGCACGATTGTAGTGAGCTGGACTTAGAACGACTCGACCGTCGGCGATGTAAGGTATGGTATGGAGCATGCAAGAGCATCAGCAAGAACAAGCATGCACCTAATTCACACCGTACGTGACACCCCAAGGGTGCGCGTGCATGCAGCGCATGCCCCAAGGCAACTCATCACGGTAGCTGACTGCGCATGCTGCACAGGTAGGCTGAAACTGGCCTGCGGCATGCATGGGTCCTAAACCATGTAGGACTTACTTGGCACTCGCAGCATTTTTCCAGTTGTCTGGCTCTCGAGCGTTTTTCATCAGAGTAGATTTGAAGTAAGACCAGAGATTCCTGCAGTTGAGGTGCGGCTCACGAGGTTTTTGCTTTGAGATGGCTTCGAGGGCTACTGCGTGGCTGGAGAATTCGTACTCTGACATTTGTAGTTAGGAAGCCCAGAGGATCTCGGAGGCTTGAAAGCTGTGTTTCGAGAATGCGCAGGATCAGGGGAGTATCCTTCAAGCCTCGACGAGGATAAATGGTGACCGCCATAAAAAAAGGAGGCAATCGGATGAAGGGTGCAGAAGGCGGTTTCGGAATAACGCTATGGTCCTCTCTGAGACTCACGCGTGACAGTGGGATGATTTATCGGTCAATCCCAACAGGTAGAGGGAATACCGGGATGCATTTAGACTACCACGGCCCTAAGCGGGCATGGCTTACCAGTTCGCCTCCATATTCTGTCACTACCGTTGTTGTCAGCGTACTGCTTGTGCGAACCGGGTCCAGGGTCCAGAAAGGACGTCAGTGATCAACGAACGAAGGTGTGACGAGCGAGGGCTTGTGGAAGCAAGTTTGCCTGTCTCTTTCTCCATGGCTGGTGCAGTTGGTCAGAAAGTGAGCACTGCGACTTTGCCTGCCGGAAGCTAGTGCTGACCCAGGCACGAGCCTGCCTTCCACACCTGTTTCATTTTAGCCATCAGCCCAATTGCTGACATCTTTGCCAGGACGTGGCACGTAATCGCAGAAACCATCACGGGCGAAGCAGTCATTTATGCTCGATCGAATTGTTAACTGAGATAACTGAAAACGGCGCAAGCGCACAGGCGTGCAAACGACAACATGGTGCGGGAAGCCATGTCAATTCTTGTTTATGGAGATGTTCTTCAGGTACATCAACTCTCCAAACCCTCGGAGGTGAAGAAAAAACGACAACACGCTTTCGAATTTGGAACTGATGTGGTCCAGCGGATACAACACTGAAATGTGCGGGGAGCCTTGGCAGCAAAGCATTTGACCAACCATGAGCCCGGCCAGATCAAGTCGCCCAAGTCGCCGAGTGCTGAGTCGCTAGTGCTGCGTGACCAGGAGAAGCATCCAGGCGTGATGCGCAAAAGGAGGCGCCGATTCTGGCAGCAAAGCAACTTGCTGCCGCCGCCATGCAATTTTCACAGGCTTCGTAGGCTGACGTGACCGTTTTGGAATTCATGCATGTATAATAAGGACCATTTTTCTGCTGATTTTTAAATGAATTGGTTAGTCGGGACTAGTTTTATGAAATTTCAGGAGAATTTTATACAAACGGTAGATCGTTTTTACAAAATTCCTAGATAATTTCAAGAAACTATTTCTGTGAAATTTCTTGAGAATATCATAATTTCTTTGTAGGTAAATTTCATGGAAATACTTCTAAGGCCTTGTACGAAAAGAAATTGGAACATATGCCTATGAAAATTTCCGGAAGTTTTTATGGAAATAATTTGGCGCTTACGCGTATAGACGTAATAATACGGATTCGTGGTTTCGTTTTCTAGAATAAATTATATCAAGAAATTAGATTCAGATTTAAAAAGGGAAACTAGTGATAGATCTATTAATAATTTCTCATTGAAATATAGTATTAATTCTTTATGATTTATATTTAAGAATCGTTATAAAAAAGAAGAACTATATTTCTTATTGAAAATTCAAGATTTTAGATTTAAGTTTTTCGCGACTTACGAAGAATTGATACTATATAATTAAAATTTCGCGTGATAATATAATAAATTTATTACTAATTTCCCACTGAAATAAAAAATAATTCTTTTCAATTATATTTATAAATCAATAATATTAATTTATAGAATAGTAATTCGTTAAAATATGAAGATATTGATTTTAATGATAAATCTGAAATTCGATATAATGTAGATGAAATAACTATACTATTTATTTATTTTTTTATTATCTATTTGATTTTTTATTATTTTTCTTAATTACGATTTGTATTACTACTTCGTTAAGGCTTGACGATATAATTCAAGAGCTCGCGATTTTCTCTATTTCTTCTTTCTCTAGAGGGAAGCGCGATATACTTAATTAAGTAATTTTTGGGGCGGGCGAAGAGGGCGAGATATTTAGTGGGTAATTCATTTAGTAATGAAGTGAATGGAGCGAACGACATATTTAGTAAAATATTTTTTAAGGTTACGTGTATTAATTTTTGGGGCGGCAGAGACGAGCGATTCATTTAATATAATAGATTTTGGGGGGGGGGCAAAGTGGGTCATCTGTTTAGCAAAATATTCTTTTCGGCGGGCGATATCTTTAATCCACTAATTAGTTTCGGGGCGCGCGTGGCGGTATATTTAGTAACGGAGTATTTGGACGGACGAAAAGGGTGAAATATTTAGTAAAGTAGCTTGGGGGACGGGCGTCGTGTTTAGTAAAATTCCTTTTGAGGCGGGCGAAAATTAATTTTCGGGGCGAGTGAAGCTAGTATCATATAAATTTTTGAGGCGGCAAGCCGCAGCGGGCGATATAATTCGCACCGTAAAAATTAAGGCAGACGAAATAAACGAAAAAATTAGTAAAGTAGTTTTCGAGCAACCGAAACGGATATTATCTTCTACAAAATAATTTTTAATAAGCGAGCGAAATCCGAAGCAAACGACCTATTTCATAGAATAACAATAACTTAGCTTCTCAAGCGAGCGATATGCTTAGTAAAATAATTTGCAAAGCGAATGATCTTATAGAAATTTATTTTGAAAGAAAGAATTTTTGAGTCAGACGAAAGTAACGATCGATTTAATATATTAAATTTTGGAGTGAACGAAACGGAATAAAATTATTTTTGGGGCAGATTATAAGAGCATCATATTTAGTAAAGTACTTTTGAGGGCGGACGATATATTTAGTAAAATTAAATTAAAAATCTTAAGTTCTAGTCGTCGTGATCGTTATGGCCGTCGAAATGATCTTTTATAGGGATCTATGTTGGAATATTCATTATTGTTGGTTAGCCGAATACTACATATTCCTTCTGATTCTTATCGGCTTTTTTCATGCGAGACTGAAGAGGAGTACTGGTAAATGCAAATGTCGGCAAAGCGCGAGGTTGTGGGCTTTTTTCCAAGACCATTACCACCCGTGAGACGATGCGAGAGTCGATCTTTCCGGCACTTCAGGCACAAGGCGGAGCCTGTCAGATTGTCTTGAGGAAGGGGTGCGGCTTAACGAAGTTTGCCGACAACCAGCCTTCCGCCGACCGGTTCTGCGGGTCCCCCGGAGGAATCCTCGTGATAGGTATTCGGATATGGGAAATCGGCAAGCGATAATTGTTGCAAGTGCAGCAGCCGGTGCCAATGTCCAAGGCTGCTGCATGAAGAGCACCTTGCAACCACTCGTATTGGCTTGTGACTACATGCAGCTGTTCGACTTTGATGTACCATGCCTGGAGTCTGGTAACGTGGCAATTCGGTCAGAACTGCTTTGGCTTCCAGACCTCGGGCAAACCATGCACCAATGTATGGATCCTGTTTCATTGCTTCGAGGCTCTGGCCCATACGCTCCAAGCGACCCTGCAACATCTGATTGTGTTTCAGCTGCTGATGGTACTTCTCCTTCGGCAGCAATATGCGATCTTCACTGCAAGCTATTGCAAGCTTCCCAGACACGGCAGCATTCCATTGAGAGCCTGGGCAGATGCAACATCGGCCTCGGGCCGCCAGGTTTGCCCAAGCAGTCTGAGATCCTATCCCGCATCGCGGCATTTTTACAGACGTCACCAGTTCATGCAGACATTATCTACCTGAATTGTCGAAATGCTAAATTGTCCAGGGACGTGGCAAAAGGAACGGACACGTTCGACACGACAGGCAGCAGCAGGGGTGGTGGGAGCTGAGAGCCCATCTTGCATTTGCTCCAGGACGTTGAGCGCATCAGCCTTCCACCTGCCACGGAGGCGTTTTGCCGCTCCCGAGTAAGACAAAGCAAACTAAGATGTAAACAAAAGAAACCTAGTGGAGGCTGTGTTTTTGTAAAACAGAAATGTATGCAAGGAAATGCCACAGAAATAGGAGAGCCAAATGCTTTTTGGGCTCGTTGCATTGGTGCCTGTATGCTTGCTGCAATTGGTCATACCTGCCTCTGCAGCAGCTCCAATTCTTGCTGCATCTGGAAAGCAGATGAAGCCCATCCGTCCCTCAACGAAGCTGGCATGAGAATGAGGACGCAGCTATGGTGTGTCAGCATATGAGACGCCGACGGCTCTTGAGAACTCCTGGTCAGTGGCACCTATTCAGAAAGGGATGTCGTGCTTTCAATGAGAGCTTAAATGGTCTTTCGCCTCAGCTCGCTCCCCTCGCCGGCTGCCGGCGCTCTTTGCGCGGCGCACCTCTACCGCCATGATCAGCATCGTGATTCGAGCTTCTGCTGTTTGAAGCTTGCTCGAACAACCATACTTCATGCCACGTCGGACGCCAGATCTGCAAGACCCTGATTCAATTGGAAACTCAGGGCTGTAGTATCCAAGCTGTAGGCAGGCTTGCGCGCAGAGGTTCCTGGGCGTAACAGCAAATCGGTACTTTTCAAAGCAGATGCAAGGCGGGGCAACTAAACTTACAGAAAACAAAGGAAAGGCGATGCAACTTGGTACCAGGATGGAAGAGACAGAGAGAGAGAGAGAGAGAGAGAGAGCTAGACAGAGGATGTCACACTTCTGGCCCTGTCCGGTATGTTGACATCTATCGTTTATATGGTCAATTTATGTCAAAGTACAGTATTATGCAGACACGAGGAGGCGGGTACATGGCGTGAGGTCGCCATCAAAGGAGCACGCCCATAACGACATGCTTTCGAGGACGAGCTCTTACTCAGTACCTTTCGTTCATACCCCGCTTCCCGAGTCGTGACACTGAACCCATGCCTCCCGCTTTCTTCGGTTTCTGCTACCCAAAACACACCGGGTTGCCATGTTCATTCCAAAGAAAGCAAGTCGCTTCAAAGGCCAGAGACATCTCCAAGATGCGTAAGCTGCGCTGCACCAACGTGTGTGTGGTCACCCTAAACCGGTCCAAAAATCAAAGCATCTCTGTTAAGCCTTCGAGTAACTCACTCGCCTGAACCTCTGCCCTGTGCATGCGAGGCAAGTCTCCTGATTCGCGGACTGATGCGAGCTCACGTGCCTTAGCCAAGAATGCTGTACTCCAAGATTGCGCAAGGGTGGCCGTGATGCTGGTGTGGTGTGTGGTCTTCAATGTCCATGAACGGGAGACACTGCTGAAATGCCGCCCTTTCGGTCTCACAACCATGTGGCCGCTCCCTTTTTTTGAATTCTGCTACTTGCGCGGGGCATCCGAAAGTGAACTGATATCCGGGCACAAGGCCGCCACGCAAGGACGGTGTGCCCTCTGCCTTTTGCTGTCTGACGCAGAAGCGAGGCGAGCTGCTAAGTCGGCACTGGGTGTAACATGGTGTAACTCTGACTATGGCCTACGGTGCAACGGACGCATCCAAACCTAGGACACATGTGCTCTCCCGCTTGTGCGCGATTCTCAGAAGCGCCAGGCACTAGAGATGACGACTTCGACACGGACTGTCGCCTGCACTTCCTGATATGTGAACGAGTCACATCAGGATGGGGCAGGTGCGTCTCTTGCTAAAATGGGACCATGCAGGCAAGGGCAACGAGCTGAAAGGTCACAATTCCTTCCGCAGCCAGCCCAAGCCCGTTGCTTCCACTCGCATTTCCACAAGTGCTTCTAAAGTCGCTTCTCATGCGGCTGGAGGCTTTCGGCGGGCAATGGTCGGGCCCAAGTCGATGCTTAGATCCTGAGCACTGGGACGACATGCGCGCAACAATATGGCTAACCAGCACCGTCAGGAGACCGAAGTTTAGGAGAGGTGCTGCTGTCGATTATTCAGCCAGTCAACTGAAGACATGGGTCGGCTGCGTAAGAGTCTCGCAGGATACACTTTAACAAAACGCCCCAACTCTTACTAAACCTAATGCCTCACAAACGGACTAGTTCCAACAGGCTTCAACGTGGAATTCGTCACAAGGCTTGTAGTCGCTGCACCCCTCTCGGACTGGGCCCTTTCCTCTGGCATTGGCGATGAGGTCCTGACAACTTTGCAGGCACTTGCCAAAAGTTCGACGCTGGCTACTCCGGTTACGCACTGAAACTGTTTAACGGCAACATCAACAACAGCAGCAACAGCAACAGCTGCTACCGCAGCCGCAGCAGCGTTACTACAGCCTCCATAGCCGCAAGCATTATGACGATCGCCTAATCTTGCGAGGGCAACGACGACGACTCTGCGACTTCTACGATGAGCAAAACGACGACGATTACTACTACTACCACTACTACTACTACCACTGCTATTACTGTTACTACTGCTATTGCTGCGATTACGATTATGATTACGATGGCGATTGCGATTACGGTTACGATAACTACTACTACTACTACTACTACTACTACTAGTACTACTAGTACTACTACTACTACTACTACTACTACTACTACTACTACTACTACTACTACTACTACTACTACTACTACTACTACTACTACTACTACTATTACTCTTACTCTTACTATGATTTTTAATTGTTACTATTACTACTACTATTACTCTTCCTCTTACTCTTACTCGTACTATTGCTATTACTTTTACTATTACTACCACTATCACTATTACTAGTACCATTATTATTACTAGTACGATAACTATTACAGTACTATTTCCATTACTATTATTCTTATTTGTAGTACTATTAGTATTACCTAGTATTCGTATTACTATTGCTATTGCTAGTGCTCGTGATTGCTAGTGCTAATCCTAGTCCAAGTACTATTACAATCGGCATTACGATTACGATTGCGATTACGATTGCGACTACAATTCCAAATACTATTACCATTACGATTGCGGTTACGATTACGATTACGTTTACCATTACCATTACTACTACTAGTACGAGTACTAGTATTGGTACTAGTACTAGGACTATTACCATTACGATTACTATTACTATTATTATTATTATTACTACTGCTACAACTACTGCTGCTACTACTGCTGCCACTACCACTACCACTACCACTAGCGCTACTGCCACCACCACCACCACCACCCACCGCTATGACTATAACCGCTACCGCTACAGCTACTGCTGCTGCTACTACCACTACTACCCCGATTGCCACTACTGCTGCTACTGCCACTACTACCCCGATTGCCCTGCTACTGCTGCTACTGCTACTGCTACGGCTACGGGTACTGCAGTACTGCTACTACTAGTACTACTAATGCTGCTACTACTACTACTACTACTACAACACTACTACTATTGCTCCTACGCCACTACCACTACTTCTACTTCTACTGCCACTACTACTGCTACTGCTGCTACTGCTACGACGACTACTTCTACTAACTACTTATACTTACCGCATTATCGCCTTTTTAATACATATACGGTTGTTGCTGAAACCAATTCTTCTTGCCGCTAATGCTACGGTTACAACGGCGCACTATGACATACGCAAACTTGACGTGTCGGATTCAAGCTGGTGTTGCTACCAGTATTGCATGAGCCCTGTCCCCCATGTGGTGGTTCACGAGGCGATGATCAGCCTCATCAGCTCTCACCTAAGCACAGCCCACTTGAACTGAGAGACAATCAAACGATTCAATAGAAAAACAGCTGCCGCCACCAGCAAAACCAGTAGTAGTAGTAGTAGTAGTAGTAGTAGTAGTAGTAGTAGTAGTAGTAGTAGTCGTAGTAGTCGTAGTCGTAGTCGTAGTCGTCATCGTCGAAGAAGCAGCAGTAGTACTAGAAGTAGGAGTAGTAGTAGTAGTAGTAGCAGTAGCAGCAGCAGTAATAGTAGTAGTGGTAGTGTCCTCTGTAGTCACGGTAAGCTCTTCCGGCAGTTCAGTCCGACATTCACATGCATAAATGCGCTATCGATTTCTACGCGTCCCAAATCGTTCTGCAGATCGAACTTCGATGTATGCTTATCTCATGTCCGCTATAGACTGACTCTGCTCCTCCATAATATTGACGGTCGCTCACATGTTGTTGTCATGCTACTCCGAAGCAAGTGTCGCTTTGCAGTCTAGGCACAACTAAAATCACATCACGAAGGGTTGCATCTTCTGGCATGTTCCAGTACTGGATGGCCACTTTTGGAGCAGGCACGTTCTCGATCTTCCCCTCATCAACCTGATGATGGCTCCAGATCGCCTAGCTGCCTTGAAGTGGCGAGCGCGTGACTCATGACTACATATGACTGGCAGCCATCTTCAGCATCTCTGTGTAGGTGTGGACTGCCTCTTCCTCAAGGTATCCAACGAACCTGGCTTGAGATGGGTGTCGAGTCTTGTTGCTGCTCAAAATGACAGCGAGGAAAACCAACTAAGCAATCGAGCTGCCGGTGGGCGATGCGTGGAGTCACCACGTAGAAGATCGTGTAGGCAGCGAAGAAGACCCCTTGCCCACACACGACCAGCACGCGCTGGTGCCAGCGTTGCTTCGCTAACTCCATGAAGGTCATCAGGTGCATCCTCTCGTTCTCTGCCTGCCAGGTTTTTGCATAGTTTAAAAAACCTATATATACTTACCTATGTACAACGCGACAGTACCTACAACGCTTGGAGTCTGCCTCGTCCATAGTCGGCTTAATCCAGTTGCAATGCCTAGCGCGAGCCACGGAGCGCCGGGCGGACGAATTTATTTGACTGCGTCAGACTTCTTGGGAAGACGTGAGAGGTACAATGAATGATGTATATGCATGCATCAAACCTGTATACATACGTACATGCATACATAGATATCTGTTTCTGGGCATGACTGAACATCCACGAACTAGGTTGTGCATATCTCTCATTGTGGTGTGGTACAGCGCAAATCGCTCGCTGCTTAGGCGCATGCTGCCACAAGAAGCAACCGAAACAATGCGACCAGCGAACTAAGAACCATGCCGACACCTCGGCAGATCTACTCCTGAGGAGAGGACACCAGACGTCGCAGAGAACGCATGTGGTGAATCCTGAGTTCTATAGCAAAGCGGAGGTGCTACCATGGTGCAGATTGATATGTGCGAACCCTGGCTCCGTGAAACACTCAAGCCAGATGAAGCTAGCAAAGTATCAGTTGACTTCTCTAGCCGCTGTGACCTTTGCAAAGCACTGCTCATATGAAGTTCTGTCTGGAAGCATGCCGGCCACGAAGCCCGGCACAGCTGCGATGGTCTCGAGCATGCCTTGGGATAGTGTGCTTTCGCTGCGGCCGAGTTTGAACGCTATGCAATGGAGGACTGCGTTGATCTTCTTCCCATCTGAATCTGTCTTTTATGCGGAACTCACCACATTTTATCTTTCACCCAATCCCCAGAATGTAGGAAGAGTTTGCGTTCCATCCCCCGCAGCACGTACTCAAGTTTTGAAAAGCTTCAGGCTCGATCCAGCAGCCTGTCTTTGAAGTAAGCATCCTCGGCTTGGCGCTCGTGTGCACTATCAGACTATATCAGACTCTTGCCACACGTCTCATGCCGTTGTCAGCCTTGTTTGTCTGGTCAAGTCTGGTCTACTTTTCTCGGGAGACCTCTTAGCCCCAGTGCGGCTGTGTCACGCTGGCCTTGCGCAAAGTCTTCACCATGCGTAGGGCAACACGGTCTTGCCACGTGACCTAACTTTGTCATGAACCCCAAATTCGTTGTCGCCACCGGCACGTGCCTCCGGTTTCCATCGGGAACCAGCCGACACAGACGCAAGTTAATGCATTTCGGGGTGCAGCCTTTTCGAACATATCGCAATGCCTAAAGCAGCCACAAAGCTCCGGGAATGAGCTATCCAAATCGAGCTGCCGGTTCATAGTGGGGTTGGTCCATCCAGTCCTCATCGCAAGCTGCACATCTTATGTCAAATCAGTCTCTTCTTTCTTCTGTCTAGATCAAGCTGATCCATGGTCCTTGTCCAGCGCCTCAAGCACCTCCCGAGAAGAACCTCGCACCAAAGACATTGCAATCACGTGGCCCAAGGGGGTGTTTCGGTGAATCGAGGCCAAGTAGCGACTGTACCTCGTGGAATGTCGATGGAACTCGTGAGATGGTGGCCGCTCCGGGTTGAGCTTGACGTTTGCAACAGGCGGGTTGAGGATGGTAGGGTCGTGTGACGGCGACTGCGTGGCAGTCGAATGCCAACGGCCAGGCCCCAAGTTGGCGATCGGATGGTGCCCGATGAAGCCAGCAGTGGCCCGCATTGCCTGTCATACACTCAAGCCTTAGCCTTGCCGTTGCTCATCCTCGTGATGTGGCACCCGGCCTGAAGGCGCCCCACGCCTGCAGCCTGGGCTGCCCGCTTCATTGCCGGAGCACAGCGCAGCATGGCACAGTCTGCAGATTTCGTGTAAAGCTACGGGGCGATGCCTTGCCTCACAGAGCCCGCTGGTTCCACAAAAAGCTCATGCCCTTGCCCACCATGACACTGCCATGCTGCCCGATTGCAGTGCTGGCTCGGTCTACTTGTATATGATGACATGGAGGCACATGTGTGACCTGCGAGACAAGCTCCCTGCGACTGAGCTCGTTACCAGCTGCAGCTTTTGTTGCCGAACGGCCCCCAGGCGGCGCAAGCGCTCACCCAAACGCTGCTCCGCCTTGTTGAAGCGCCCCCAAAGCCGAAACCAACAGCTTTCCTGCCGCCTTCAAGCTCCCTCATGCAGTTGTTATTTTTATTACTACTAATATTACTACTGTTATTTTTTTTTAACTATTTTACATCTCGGCCTCTGCGACTTCGTCCCGCGCTCGGCGGCAGCGCTCGGCAGCCGCCAGGCGCGCGGAGCTCAGGGCATCCTGCGGATAACTTGGGCCCACCCGGGTCCGGGATGGAGCCCTAGTAGAAACCCACTAGGATGGGCATGGGACATCTGAATCGCGGCTATGCAGCAGGAACACCACCAACACTGCTGGGCACAGGTGCGCGGTTGCACGCGGCAGTTTTGGGAGCATGTGCCCCTGACTATGGCAGCCGCTCCTCGTCAACGGGCTTGCCTTCACTGCCCCTGGATCCAACGAGACTTTATATTTATGTGTCACATGTCAAACGAAGTCACGAGGGCGATGTTATCTCTTCAGCACATGCAGCACAGGTGTATCACGCAAAATCGCGAGCTAGGCTGAGCTGCAGTGTGCTGAGTCGGCGACTTCTGTGTCTGCGCTTCCTGGACTTCCTGCTTCAACTCTTGGGCGTAAATATCATTAGCATCGTACGTATAATTGATCATCACAGCATGCAGTCGCAGAAGCGCAATTACAGGACTGCCGGCTCCTGTAGCAGCAGCAGCAGCAGCAGGAGGAAGAGTAGTAGTAGTAATAGTAGTAGTAGTAGTAGTAGTAGTAGTAGTAGTAGTAGTAGTAGTAGTAGTAGTAGGTAGTAGTAGTAGTAGTAGTAGTAGTAGTAGTAGTAGTAGTAGTAGTAGTAGTAGTAGTAGTAGTAGTAGTAGTAGTAGTAGTAGTAGTAGTAGTAGTAGTAGTAGTAGTAGTAGTAGTAGTAGTAGTAGTAGTAGTAGTAGTAGTAGTAGTAGTAGTAGTAGTACTAGTACGAGTACTAGTGCTATTTCTATTACTGCTAATGCTACTACTACTACTACTAATAATAATAATACCAATAATAATAATAAAATGAAAACTACTACTTACTACTACTACTACTACGACGACGACGACGACGACGACGACGACGACTACTACTACTACTACTACTACTACTACTACTACTACCGTCAGCACCATCACGACTACCGCTAGTAACTACTACTGCGTGCTGCTAGCAATTACTACTGCTACCAAGACTGCTGGGCCAATTATCGTCTTCTTGCGGCCGACCGGGGGCTGACTGGGGGCTGCGGAAGATGAACTTGGGTGGCGCCTGAAAGGAAATCTTGGCTTGCTCGTGTCGGTGAGAAAGGTCCAATGCCTGCAGCGGAGCGGCTTGCGGGCGGCTCACATTCGTCATGTTCACTCGTTGTCGAGCCAGTGCTCACTAGCACTGTGCCTATACTTATCACTAGATTTCGATTACAAATTTGACTATTTCTCTTGCTATTTCCATGACGTCTTCTGTCGCAAATAGTCTACATGCAAAACGACTCACGCCGAGTAAGTGTTCATCTCACCGACATCGGCTTTCATGGCCCCTTGAAGGCAGGGCCTCTGCAGCGAGGGACTCGGCCTTCGCCTCCAGGCGCTCCACCTGCACTTAGATTTTCCCAAACTCGTCTCTCGTCTTGTGGGTTTATGTGGGTTGAGGGCTTAGGGTTTACGCTTTGAAGGTCTTTCCCATCTCCACTCTCGACTTGTTGAGTCGCAGCGACTTTCGGACTGCAACCTGCTATCACACTCCCCAAAGTGCCTACAGCCCTGTTCATCCTTTTGCTTGAGTCGTCTCTTCCCGCCACGGGAGATCCTAAGCAGGCGGCTCTCCCTCTCACTTCTGAACATGAACATCTTAGGTCTCTAGGCCTTGAGAGGTCATCGTGGTTGGAGGGAAACCGCAGGACATGGCTTCCCAAGCTGTTGTTGTGAAGCGAGGTGCCAAATACATCTAAACAGTACGCCGAGAACTTGAAAATCAGGAACGATCTATGTTGTACAAAACTCTGTCTCCGAGCTGCCTTTGCAGATCGAGTCGAGACTCACACACGCATTGAGGAATGCCACTCATCGTGTTGTTCACTCGTGGAGCCAGGGCAGATTGTCGAAGCTTATATCCTTGTAGCGACACTCACCATCGCTTGTTACAGTCGGCCAGTACCAAATGCAGCCCGGTGTCGATAACTCCACCGGCTCTTGGCAAGATGGGGTTGGTTGGGACGCCCTGAACCTGAAACGACATTGTGGAGTAGAACGGCAAACGCACCACCATGCTAATGTGGCAAGAAGCCAGCTTGTCGGTGCAACCGACGGCGTGGGTCCACCACACACCACTGGGATAAGCTGGCTGGTTCTTGATGTGACCACCTCGGTAGCTGAGCGTGTGAACATGGACTTCACTAAGAAGACTAGCATGATACTAGTAGCACGAATGTCATACGACTTCAAGACAAGGCTCAGCTGTAAGTGTTAGGCTGGAAGTTCGGGTTTCCGAGCACTGTGCTGCAGTCCTGGCGAAGGCTGGAGATGTGTGGGCGAACAACACAGACCCGGCGCGATGCGCCAGTATCTGAAGCAGCAAAGCTTGTACCCGAACAGCTTGTGATAGCTTCGCTGGATGATGGATGAGCTGACCAGGCTAATGTGCACAGACGGCTGAGCAGCCTTGACCCCAACAGAACAAGAATGGTTAGGAACAGCCTGCGGTCAGCAGTCCTCATACAATACCAAATGTCTGGTCGGCTAATTAAAGTATTTCGTGAAAACCTGGTGGATAGGTGAGTTTGAGAGGCAATGCTTCCATGCTCAGACAGTTCTTCACAGGGGCTGTTCGGGCTGCACTGAAATTTGTGCGGAACTGCCAACGTAGAACAACGGAGAACCTTACTCCCGACACGCAAGGACTGAGATGTGAAGTACACCTGCCGACGAATGCTCGCGAACTCCACGGGCAGTCTCCCTACTTCACAAAGGATAGTGCTGCCAGTCAAAGAGGCAGGATGCATGGACGTCAAGCCCAACGTCCGAATGCGAAGATGTTCCGAGACTATGGACATGCTGACATGCGTGTTCCTCGCTGGGCTGGTCAGCAGCGCCATAGCCGCAGGTGGGATCAATGCACTTCCATTCCTTGGGAGCCCCAGTCTTTGAAGGGTCAGCTGCTCCAAAACGAAACACAGCAGCTTCGCCAAGCTTCATCCATAGCCCAGCAATAGGTCTCTGCATTGTTTGCCTAAGTCAAAACGAAGGGAGAACGGATGATCAAAGCGGCACTGACCCTGTTGATAGAGATTTTTTGCCTTTGTGCTCTTGGAGGCTTGGGTCGTGCTGCCAAAATGCTGCCTACATGTATGACCGTCCGTGCATATATCTGAAAAGTAACTGACGTGGGGTTGGACCTCCGAACGGTTCAGTGTGTCAACGCCAGTCCGCACTTGTGTCCAGTGTGGGAGTTCCAAGACAATTAAGCAAGCGAGTGTGGCAAAGGCGCATAGAGCCAGCCACAATAGCTCTCGGAGGTCTCATAGCTTTTGGCATACCATTGACGACAGCGGTGCTGGCCTTGTGCAGGCTGAGATGCAATTGCGAGTACCAGGGCACAGTCATGCTTCAGACAAGAAAACACCGTGTCGGTCAAGCGACCGCAGGGGTTGTCGGCCAGGGATCCGGGGCATCCAGTGTAGCAAGCATCCTGAACAAGCTCTAATGTCACTTCGCCGCCTGCACTTTTCTGTAGACTTGACGTGTGACTGCCAAGCGGCCGTATTGCAGCTTGGGTTGTCCGGCGAGAAGACGGGGCAGTTGCATTCCCCATAGACGTGCCTTACAGTGTGCGGACAACATGGTTTGTCGAAGCTGATGACCATCAACAACAGCATCGGAATCAACATCATCTTCATCGTCATCCTCCTCACAACGACCATCACTTTCTCCGCAACCATCAATATCAACATCACCATCACACCCGTCATCAGCACTGACATCTGCCTCATGTGCTGGCTTCGGCAGCTTCTCCACCTCGTTACAACACTCATCAACAAAATCATCACCGACTTTAGCATCGTCACCACCACCATCATCATGATCATCATCACCGTTAGCCTCATCACCTTATCAGTAGCATCAGCATCAACATCCTCATCAACAGCAGCATCTCCATGATTGTCCGCGTGAATACTGCATCATCTTCCTCGCCCTTTCTTGGCCATCATCATCATCGGCATCATCATGGCATCATCAGCAGTGCCGACTTCGCCAGCATCATGATCAGCACTGCGACCATCAACTCCTTAAACGTTGCAGCACTGTGTAATTCTGTGCAATGGTTCTCAATATCATTATACGCAGTACTCTGGGAAGTCTCACATTCTCTATCGACGAATGAGGTGCTTGTCAGCCAGAACTGTAGGGAAGCCAATGCCAGGAGCAGGCTGGATCTTCAACAGAGATCCGGTGAACTTGCCAGGCAAGGCAACCACATCCTCAGCACAACTTTTGGATCTGGCACGCTTGTGACCCGCCCGAGGCACGTTGCGATGCAGACGAAAACCAAGACGTCTGCTGTTCTAAACGACTGGCATCTACTGGCCAAGCAGGTTGTCTTTCTTTGACCCAGCAGCGGTCTTCTTCCCATTGCCATCTGTGTAATTCATGGTGACACCTCCGGACACTCCTTCCACGGAGGTGAGATCCCACGACACCACAGTGGTAATCCTTGGAACTTGGAGCCATGTGGGCAAGAACGAAGTCTTGGTTCTGCTCCGAGATTCGTGAACTCGACCTGGCTCTGGTATTGAGGTCCCATGGACAGCCTTGGAATTCAGGCTGTGAGACCGACGGGGGCCTTCTGGAAATGCATCTTGCAGATGGCTGCATGAAGCTACGCGTCCTGTAATCCCGTGTCTCCACTGCACTACAAACATGTCCAAACTCCCTTCGACACTTGCAGTTCACCCTCAAAATGCGTGCCAAATCCCTTCACGCTTTAAGCTTTGACAACAAGGGGCGAGTGCTGCTGGTTTGATGCTATATCCTGGAACCAGCAAGTCCCAGAAGGCCAGTTTCCACCTTCACCAAAGAAGAGATCGATCCTTGGCTAAACGCTGCGCAAGAAGTATGATTCATCTGCAGGAAGGGTGCATTCTGCATGCAGTCCTTCCAAACAGCAATACCTGGCTCCCAGAACACGCATTCCTGAAACACAAACAATATCCCTGGGCATGGACGTACCTGCGCAACTCTCGTATTGTCCCCTTCAACATCCATGAGTTACTGTAGCTTCAGACCTCCAAAGATTCCTCTTCCGGCGTTAGTTGCCGGGCTTTGCTAGGCGTTGCCAATTGCTTAGTCGGCCAATGCATAGAGCGGAAAAAGGTATATTACACGGGTTATCACGGGTTACTATGACGGCAGTTCCTAGGCTTACCAATAAGGAAGTAAAGGTTGCTACAAAACCTCTGAGGTCTACATGGAGTAAGCTCACTTCGACTGCAAGTCGAACCCATCAAGTCAACAGCCAGGGGTCGACTCGCCCTTCTTGAGGCCCATGCACAGAGTCGTGAGAGCTGGGACCTTGGATCACGTCAGAACTCTTGGATGCAGAGATCCAGCACGTCGGCCTGTCTTTGTGTGTAAATGCGTCTTTCTTGGCCAGGGTGCACCACTTCCATACTCGTCATTCCCAGTGCCCTACAGCAGGACATGCTCACAGCCCTTTGCATTGCCGTGCTACACCTGGCGTGGAGAATCAGTAGCTTTCTAGACGTCTAAAGAGTCTGAAAGGACATTACCAGATGGCTCCTACCATAGCAGCAAGCCGTCCGTCATTGAGGACATGCAACATTACTGCAACATGAACGGTTGCCGACGAGAAGACTGCCTCGGAGCAATCCACGGCTGAATTTTTGACGCTTTGGGTCAAAGCCGCGTCCAGATAGACCGTGCCTTGCAGCAAAGTGGAGAACAGTGTGCATTTGCAACATCTTGTTTTTTGTTGTCTGCAATATCCCAGATGTGGCATACCATGCATGGTGCCATTGCGGGCGGGGCACTCAGCGCATCTTGCGGACCGCGACAGAACACCACACCGTCAGACCACTCCTTGTTGACGATGCGCATCGTCAAGGATGCCTGAAGTGGCAGACGAGCAAGCGCACACAAAAGGCTGGCACGCTTCTTGCATCTAGGACGCGGCGGTATCGGGTGAAGGAGAGGGGGCGGGAGCTGGAGCTGGAGGAGCCGGCGGGCTTGGTGCCTGATGGCAAGGCGCGATGCTGCAAGGATCCTTACCAGCGAAGGCCCGACATCGTCCTCCCTGCCCGATTTACAGCAGAGATGCCGGAGCTGGGGTGTCACCGGACACGCAGTCCTCCACTTTCACCGGGTTGCCGCCTCAACTCCGAGCGCTGACTGCTCTTGGCTACCAGAACTCGGCGAGAGAACTTCGGATTAGGATGTGAAGCACGCTTGCGCTGGAAGCCAAGTCGCAGTCATGGAAGTCCGGAGAAGCAGATGGGCAAATGACCGAAGGACCCCCCGGTTGAACTGGGGGACAGCATTGGTTTCCAGCCTTGCGCGGCACGCGCTACGTGTTGAAATCCTGGCTCTTTGTGTGTGTGTGTGTGTGTCTCTCTCTCTCTCTCTCTCTCTCCCTCTGGCTCTACCTGTGCACATCACAATGTTCAAAGCAGTTGAGTTCTTTGATTCTGTGCCGGCGAAGCGACACAGCTGACGTCGCTACCTGGGCAAGTGACCTGAGTTGCAAGGGACCTCCTACTTCCGGCATGCACGGAGAGATCGGATGTTGCTGCAGTAATCATAGTAAGGCCAAGAGGCATGGGCACCGACTACACAGCCCTGGGGACAAGCACGGCGATTGATATCCACAGCATGCCCTACGCTCAGCGAGCCTTGGAGAGATGCCGCCCCGTCTGGTGCACCGTCTGGAGCAAGGAGTTTGGATCGCAGGAGCCTTCTCAAGAGCTTGGAAGAACCGAGCGTGAACTCGTCGACACTTCGGAGCTTCTTCGTGCAGCTCAGCTACCATCGGCACCACAAGTTGCGTTCTCCACTCCCTGCGCGAAGGTCAGACTGCAGAGGGTCAGCCAAGTCCTAAGGCGGGGCGTGCTGCTGGAGCAAGACTGCGTTTTAAGTCGGCAGCAATGACCAAGTTGGTCGCAACTTGGAGTCCGAGGCATGGACCGTCGAGAGAAGACCATCCTTTACAAGGTCTCCTTGCAAACGGAAAGCTGAGTGCCGACGTACGTCAACCTTCTACCGACAGAGCCGGGGAGCTGGGGACTCGGAACACGCGCAGTGGTGCATGTCAAAGGGCTTGGCTGAATCACGGTCTCAAGCACGGAACCGACCAAGCAAAACCGCATGCCCGGCCTGAAAAGATTCCAAAGACTGTCTACACGTTATGGTAAGCGACTTTGAGCATCATGAAGGCTGCGCGATTGCGGCAAGCACAGCGTCGACAGACTCAGCACTGCAAGCAACCCTGTTAACGTCTCCCCGCATGATTTGCTGCCAACTCCATGATCAGTGGCTTGCAGCTGTGGACGTGTAGATGCGCCCTGCCGGACTTACCGCCATGAACGAGCATCTAGTGATTCCGGTGCGCCTCTGCCCGCTGTTGGATAGTTGCCTGCTATCAACTCTCTGTGCTCTGCACATAACAAGCTTAGTGGGAGCCAGCCTGGTGCTCTTGTGACACAATCTCATCTCGTGCAGCTTGGAGCACCTGACACTAAGTCATGCTGTGTCGTCTATCACATCTGTCAGTCTTTGGCACGACAGAAGAGAGAATCTCGACAAGATCATGGCCTCCAACTGCGCGCGCAGGCCCAAACTTTGAGCACGGGCAGCAGAAACTTCCTCAACGAAAGGTTTGTCGCACACATGCAACACAGTCAGCCTTACAATTCCCTCTCACAAGCCAAGGAAGCGACGGCTTCCATGTCCGCCAAATTCGCAGAAGACTCTCGCAGCGATGTCTCCAAGCTGTTGCCTCAGAATGCATTGTCTTTCAGAGCTAAGCTTTGCCTTCGAGGTCTGGGGAGTGTGGCATCTCGCTGTCTTCTCGGCCACAAACTTGAATGGTTGTACGCCACATTTGTTTAACCGCACATGTCCACGGCGGGAAGGCGCGCTTCAGACTCGGACGGCGCGAACCCAGCGTCTCCACCTCTGCCGCAAACTCCTTAGCCAAGCATTCTGATCCTCTCTCAATCACAGCACCTGGGTCATTCGCACTCGCGGCCGATCACGGTAGGTTCTGCGACGTGGTGTGTGTGTGTGTGTGTGTGTGTGTCTAGCGTCGTCACTTCGCCGGACATGAACCATGAGGGGGGGGACCGCAGGACTTTTCTGTTTTGGAAACAAGTTTTGAGGTTTACGCTGAGCGCTTTGATACGTCATCTACATGCGTTGGCCGAGAGCCCGTCGAAGCTTTTGTGGAAGACCGAATTAATTGCCCTGCCAGCGGCGGTCCACCACCTCAACGTGGTGGCAGGGTGAACCCTCCTGAGTCGACTAGCCTTACTTTTGGTCATGTCTCTGTGATTCTGTGTGTGTGCGCGCTGTACGGGAAGAGCCAGTGATTGACCGCCGCAGGTAGTGCTTCATGGCCTGACTATAGTGTTGCTCAGTGTTTTTCGCGCGGAAGCATGGCACCAAAGGCTTTGATCCAAAAGGATGCACGTCTGGTGGCTCGTCAGGGACAGTGATGTGCAGCTCGAACACAGGGATGCGTCTTTCGTCCGTGCAAGAAGACACGAGTGCTGACTAGCTGCAGCAGACGCAGTGGACATGTGGCTAGGTTGCATTAGGTTGCCCTTGGAGTGACCCCCGAAGCTGCGGTGCAGCGATGGAATCAATACAAGCTGCTGTATGCTTACACCACTTTCGAGCACTGGTACACTGGTATAGCAGTAGCAGTAGTAGTTGTACGCCGTAGTAGTATTAGTAGTTGTCGTCGTCGTCCTAAGGTCTTAGTAGTATGTTCGGATGATGTTTTGCCTCTGACACACAATGATGCCAGTTCGCGAGCCCAGTACCCCGTGCAGGTTTCAGGGTATAGATGCAATGCCGGCGCCGGCCCAAGAAGCGGTGTTATGGTAATCCTCGTGCAAGGCCGCAGTATGAGGCGCGGGAGAGTAGTGGCACGTGAGCTTACGGGGCTGCCGGACTACCGCTGGTCACGACTCTTCAGTGAAGGAGATTGTATCTCAAGTCACTAGCCTTTACTGTACTTCTTCTGTCCTGTTGCTTCTCGTGGCACGCAAGACAGGCATGAACTGAAGTTGTCACTGTCGCACAGGTCTTCAGCTTCGGACCACTTCCTCGGCACGCATCCTCGCCTGCACAGGAAATGCTGAATCCGCCCTCTGCACGAACTTCGCAAGCATTTTCTTCCTACTTGTGGATGTTGGGCTTCACTGAACTACCGCACCCATAGACCCCAACACCTATCACCTGCAAGCTCAACCCCTAGACCCTGCAGGCAACTTGAACGGAGCCCCCCTCAATAGTTGCAAATCCGCTGCCTGGAATTCGGAGAGCTCCGACTCTGCTGCCTGGCAGCCTTCGCGAAAGGCATAGGTTCTCGGGTTGAGTTTTCCTTTCGGATCCTTTCCGTTTCGCTGTACAGAGTGCCTTTGACAGACGGAGTTCAGCATCTTGCGGTTCTGGCTTCCGGGCTCAAGAGTTTTCGTTTCGCAGCGAGAATTATGCCATGTTGGTGTAGGTTTGGGGCCACTTCGGCTTCAAGGTTCAGATTTCGTCAAGTAAGCCTCAAGTGCAGGTGGTGATTCCTGTGCTTCTTGCCGCTCACGTGTTCACTACTCAAGGTACATGATCCTTACCTTTTTCTCGCCCAATTGCGACTCAGGTGCTTTGGCATCCGGAAGGACACAATACTGCTGTGAACCGCCGCTTCCACCCAACGGGCTTGTTGAGAGTGTCTAAACACATCTTGCACTTCATCGCTTCGCCTGTCAAGACATTGGGTGTTGCTTCAAGAAGGCTTGTAGCTCTGTACAAAGCAATGCGTCGCTTTAGTGCTGCATAAAACTCAACTCCACGTAGCCCGAGCTTCGAAGCTGCTCCGGCCTTGCTGCTCGGAGGCGATGCCTGAGACCCCAGAGCAGCTTTGACCAGATCTGCTTCGGTGGGTGCCACGGCTCGGGAGACAAGAGCTACGTGGCATCATCCCCTGCATAAGATGACAATAAGTTAGCGAATGGGGGGTGATGGAAGACCCGATAAACAGCTTCTCAAATCAGATCGAATCATCCGAGACACGGCTGCGAGTGGCTTCGAGCTCTTTCTGTATTGCCTGCAGGGATGCAACACAAACATCATGGCTATCTGAGCCCCGAAGGTGGAGTACCAAAGCTTTGAGATGCGTCTCATGTCAGGATGGCTTCGCATCACGTATGCATTCAAGCCGAGGCCAGTGCATCGTTGGCAACGGAAAGGGCATCAAACTCCACTCGCGCTTCGGCCTTAAGTTGGCATGGCAGAATAAAGGTAAGTAACAACTGCCACAACAAGAACCATAATATACATAATACACATACTCGATCGTGAAGAGTAAATGAAGCAGTGGAGTGCTTCCCGTGCTCACGAAGAAGCTCTGACAACTAGACTCGACATTTCTGCCAAAACCGCCTATTGAGGCTGATCAGCAGAGTCGATACTTTTTTGACTTACTCGAGAACAGATGAAACTCGACAGGAATCTGAATTGAAAACTTGTATTTTCCAACCTGCATCGCTACCTGTAGCAGTGTTCCTTCGAATGCATCCTCTGACTTGCTGTGACACCCTTACTTGCTTGGCTTGTGCGGAGTCCTGCTACAAGTAAGGCTGGATTCGGCAGCCGATTTCATCATCCTAGCAATATGAGCAAGCCAATCAACCTCGAATGAAGCAATCTCAGCAGAACAGGGAGAGCAGGCAACCTTGGGCCTCTGCATAGTCTCGCTCGTTGACACGTACTCGCTCACTCCTCGATGCTCAAGGCACGCTGTCAGAGAGCTGAACTTTCCATACCACAAACATGCCACCAAGTGTCCTAGCAGAGAGGATGACATCAAGCTCTGCGAGCTTGTCCTGGGCCTGACTTGCAGATAAAGGTCTCAGCCACAATCACCTTGCAAAGACGCAACGCCGCGACTGTGGCCTCTCGAAGTTGTTTTCGAAGCAGCTCGGCTTCGCCTTCCAACTTCGAGAAGCGTGAAAAGAACCGTCCCTGACCCCTTCAGGCCGCGCTGTAGCAGTAGCACACGTATACCCCACATGGTTTCTTTGAGTCCCCGGCCGAAAGGCTGATCTTGTCCAGCTTCTTGTGCAGCTATCCGCTTGCGCTGCCACTCCTGGGAAGCGCACCGAGCCGATGTAGCTTTCGGTGAAGCTGAGGCCGCCGCCAAGTCTTCCGTACAACGCCGCAGCGCGGCCTTGGCACACGTAAAATTTGGCCGTTGTGAAACCCAACTTCGTGCTCATGAATGCAAGTTGCAAGCTTTCTCTCCTGGCCTCTGCGGTGGCTCGGCGCTGCTGGGCCTTGTACAGCCGGCAACTCCCTTGACATCTTCTGCTACGTCCTTGCTGTTGCAAGTCCTCTGCTTTGGGGCAGCTTGCTCATCACGGGGCCCAAGCAGCACACCGCGCAAGTTCCGTTGCCTGCACGGCTTTTGCACTGGGGACAGCGGAAAGAACTACTGTAGCTTCTACCAAGTGGCCGCTCTTTGGCGCACTTCGCACAGAAACGAACAGACGGACATCTAGAGAGACAAACAAGGGAGAGAGAGAGAGAGAGAGAGATGCATGTAGTATGCCCGCAATTAGCCAGGATCTCACACAGGTGGGGCCGGTCCTGCAAGCGCTGCTGCAGGTCGTCACGCTCCTTTGCAGCAGCTGACATGTGCCGGATGCATTGAAACATGTGGAACCATGCACCTCCTGTGTTAACCGTTAATAGGAGGAACGTTACGGGATTCATCTTTGCTGACACGATTACATACAGTTGCTGTCGAAAGACTCGATATCACAATGCCTGTCACGACCTCAAGGAGGCTTAAAGCCGAGGTGTTCAACAAGACCAATGCCCAAATGCAGATTCCAACATGCCTGTGATGCATCCCAGTCTCGCGCAGCAGTGAGGCAAGTGCTGCAGCACCACGTGGGGAACTCAGACAACTAGCGCCTTCGCGAAGCTTCATCGAGTAGACTCCGACAAGCAGTTCTGAAGCAGCACTTGCCTGGGTCTGAGCGCATGTGACCATACCTGAGGATATCTGCAATGTTTCATTCATGTACAGCGATCCTTTGGTGATGGTCAGGTGCATTGCAAGAAGGCCGCACCCAAGAAAAAATCATCACATATCTGTACTGGTTAGTCTCTGTTTGGGCTTGCATTTCCACCTGCCCTCTGGAGGCCAAAGGTCATCACCCTTGCACTGCAGCTAACACCTGGAAGCCGTCTGCCCTCCGAGCCGTAGACGGCCTTGGCGCCTCTGAGTTATCCCGCGAGCGTCGAAGGTTCGCCTGCAGGAATGAAGCACCGTACGGGACTGACTTCGGATGTTCAAGAACCCGGGAAGACACAGAGGACGAGTCCTTCGATGCCAGCTACCGGCTAGCAGCACTTGTCACGAAGACCGGCTCTCCTTTTACACACGCGATCAAGGAGAGGCAGTGTTGCCGAAAAGCGCTTCTCATGGCTTGGGATGCTGAGCTAGCTTGAGTATCCTGCGTACTTTACGAATGTCGGGAACCTTGATACACGCTTGCCATCATACTTGCCACCATCCCAGACATCTCGCAAGCATGTTCCTATTCAAAGCTACGGAGTATTCTGACAGCTCGTCCTGTACATTTGGAAGGCGTCGGCTCTGATTTGCAGGGCCCAAGACGCACGTCCAAGTAACGAAGCTACCCAAAGCATTTTGGTGTTCAACGAAGGCTGTCTGCGAAAGTCAGCCAATTCTCTACAGCGGTGCGCAAGGTGATACATGCATTTCACTGACTAAGACTGATGTGTTCTTCAGAAATTCGTTTGCAACATGTTTGCCAATCAGTTGACGACTGGAACGGCAAACACGAAATCATTCCCTGGAGGATGCGCATCTTCAGCTGTCGTCGTCCTGCCCCGTGTCATGTGAGTCGTGTCTTTCGGAAGCATGGTCAAACTCTATGGCACCTCTACATCATCTCGTGCTACGAATCCCATGTTTGCTAGAAGCACATCAAGTCTCCTCCAGCCAACTGGCACAAACCAGGGTTTGGTTTTGCCAACCCAGGGGTGACAAGATTCTCTGGCTTTGCACAGTCAGGGATGCGAAGCCCAAGACTTCCAGTGAGCGCTTCAAGCCTTGATTCCAGAAAGCGCTCCAGGTCTCAGGGTGCAGGTAGGTCTTCGAAGCTGAGGAATGGCCGATACGAGCTCGGTCCATGCAGTGCTGCTTGAAGTCCTGCTGCGTCACCGTGACCCATCTCCGACCTGCAGTCTTCCTGCAACGTGGACGTGGAGTATGGCCCATGTAAAGCTAATAAAGGCACCAGATGGCGGCCCGAGCCCGAGCTCAGATTCTGTAGCTGACAAAAGATATTTTTGAGAAGCAGCAATGGCTGCAGTTTTGTGCACGTCATACGTGACGATTGTTGCTAGGCCCTAGGCAAAGATGCCGGAGGCCTTCACCACCCCCAGTCAAGGTCAACAACGCAGCTGGACACATTACCGCTGAAGTACGCTGTCGCTGGGCCTCAGCAGAAGCGCCTGGCCAAGACAGTCCCACATGCAGTTTCTCAAGATGTCTCATTTTAATTGCCCATACACAAGAAGGCTGGGCCTCCTTGCGAGTTTGCTGCGAGTGATGAATCGGGCAGAAAACCTTCGAAAATCTGTCGGCAGCGCAGCTTGCAGCAAATAGCTGTGATGCTGCTTGGCCAGGAGGCTGTTCAGTTGTCCCAGATGCTGGTGCAACTGACCGTTGGTCTGCAGCAACGAAGAGATCTCATGCCTCGAAGAAACTGCATCTGATGACATGTCGCTGGAGAAAGCCAGGTGAATTCTGGGCAGCCAGCCGCAAGGAAGCGATCTCTGCGCGATTCCGCTCAGCGTTTGTGACCATCAGAAACACCTTGTCATGAGATACAATTCGCACAGCCGTGCCGTTGAAAGCCTGGACGTGACGCGACCCTGTCTCTGAGAATCGGAGCGGTCACTGCGTTGCCTTGACCGGAGCTGCCTTCCCCAACGGCAAGCGTTCAGCAGCATGCTGTGGCCTGCCGCGTTGTTCACGTCTGCTGCGAAACAGTCCACATCAGCTACTGCAGACGTGCAGCAAAGTATGCCATGACAAATCCTGACGTCAGCCAGTCATGTTGGATCCCTTCCATGACAGGCTCGCCTTGAAAACACCGAGAACACTCTTCAAGGCGCTCCCATGGCCGATTGAAGGTATGCTCCGATGCTCTACGAGCGACGTTCTCTGCAACATGTAGTGGAATCAAGTCCTGATCATGTAGCCGCATATACAGGCATGCTGGTGAGGTGGCAATTGCAAGTTCGGTACTGCTGAATGAGCTCTGGTACACACCATGATTTAGCACGCAACCTTTCCAAAGGCTTTACGTTCAGGCCGTTTGTGCTCTCCGGTGAATTACGTGCAAAAGCTGCGAGATGCAGAGGATTTGTTTGCAGGTCGCACACTGAAGTTCCAAGCGAGATCTGCCAGACGCACGGCACTTGCAGCAAGCATAAACGTGAAGTGCGAAGATGCTAAGACGTGAGCACCCGGTCATCAACAAGCAGACCTGTTGCAACATTGTTCAAGACTTGCTTTCCACTTGCCCAACCTGCCGGAAGCCCTGTTATGCTTCTTCAACCGCCAAGCCGCGAAACCCGTGTTTTCACCTATGGACCCTTTCATTCCAGATCTGATGACTTGATGACCACATATGACGTCACAATTTCGCCGTCCTCTTCCATCTGTGTCCCCTGAATCACCACACATGCTTTACCGCGACTCCTTTATTCTGTTATTCTCTAACAATCACAGTCTTGCTACAGAAGCTGGCAGCACCCCTTTTGCTGCCATCGCGGTTCCTGACACGACCATTGTCCGGTACACAGAGGAGTAGCCTTGCGAACTTGTCGGTGTCTCGATGCACTGACAGCGCCAGCCAAGTGCATCTACGAACTGTTGCAGTTGCTTGGGGACCAGGCTGAATGCCAATGTCTGCATGTGCCTGGGCTTCTCGGGCACGCAAACGGCAGATGTCGAGCACTGAATGCGTGAGTGTTGGTTACGGCTGCTTTTGGAGAGAACTAGCAGTTACCTGGTACTTGGTAGCATCTGGACTCTTCGTGGTTGGTCTGAATTGCTGGCATAGGCTGAATGCTGCCCAAGGTTCCCTGCGACCAGGTCCCGCCCGCCCTCGTAGGTTGCAGCCTGGTCCAGCGTGTGTGTTGGAAGACAAACTTTATCCGAGCTGCGACGAGGCCCAAAAAAGTCAAAGCCGAGAAGGCATCGGGCTTGCTTTCAAGCCACTCTTTCTTCTTACTTCACCATTTCGCCCCCCCTTCTGCAATGTCATCCAACCCTCGTGACAAGCATCCACGCCAGAGGCCCCCACCTCCTGCTCCCTTAGCCAATCCTCCGAGAGGAGCTCCCTCCTTGGCGTGCCATATCCGACGACTTCGGAGGCGAGCCTTGCGGAATCCGAGCTCCGAGCGCGGAAGGCGCTCGGTGCTCGAAGTCCGCAGCGTACAAGTCGGCGCCCCAGAAGCCTTCGGAGCTCCCACAGTCACTACGGGTCAGATTCAGATGCCACTTGGGGCTTAGAGAGCAGCCTCTGCTGTGCTCTACATTAAGCCTGCGGCCGGCATGGGAATGAAAGAGCAGGCTTTCCCTGGGCTCAGCAGTGCACCGCAAGTGTTGCACCCCTACTACTGCACACTGCACACTATCTCCTTTACCAAATTCCCCCTCAGCAAGAGCACTGCCGGCGGTGTCAGCCCTTGCCGGGGAGCTTTTGGGCCAAAGCTCTGGTTCCACTTTGAGGCGCCGACAGGGGATCCCGGCCTGGACATCCAGGCTCTGCCGTGCTTTAACAAGACTTATCAAAATGACAACCGTCTCTGCACTATACTGCGTTCTGCAAGATGGGCATAAATCTTGGAGCGGCACACGTGCGGACCTGTTGTACGGCCTCTCAGCGGTGCTGCAGACTGAACTTCAAGGGCCGGGCATGATGTCACATAATGTCCATTTTGCATCCTGCCTCGCCCAGCACGCGCAGTGCTTCGGGCCGCCCGTCGGCCAAATAGAGCTCCTCTCTCACGCTCCACTGTTGCATACTGCTGCCCAAGGCCAAGAAGTTTCGGCACAGCTTCGAAACCAACTCTAAGTGCATCATCGCACTGGGGTACTTGAAGAGCGCTGCCTCCAGATGCATACACACGCCGAGCGCCGCTATGAGCCAGCCTGCAAACAAGTATCACTTCAAGCAGCAGGGAAACTCGGGAGGAACTTAAATGTCCTCCCTTGACTTCAGATCATGGCAAGTCTCGGAACCAGAGCTGACAGCACGTGCATCTTTGCTGCCCCGGCCTCTTCTGCGAAGAAGCGCCTCGTAGAGCATCCATGACTTGAAGCCTTCTTTGCTGGCTGCTGCCTTGGTAGAAACCGGGCGAGTGAGATACACAGCCACGGGAATACTGAGTCTCAACTCTCAACTCCAGACCTGCAGCTCCACAAGAGCTCGTGCCCTGAATCACCCTCTTGCTCGGACAGGCCTCAGGGGATCCGCAGCGCCGCTGCGCGCGCCGCATCATGCGTCCCCAGAGAACAGCCTCCGCAGAGGCTGAGATGACAGGTAGCTGCGAGACTTACGCAGTATGTCGGCGGCGGAAGCGAGCCTCTCTGCTGGTTGAAGTTGCCCGCCTGCTGCTCATGAAAATGGATGCGAGCAATTTAGTGTTTCGACCATCACCAGCCAACGACCCATCCCGAAATCTGTATTTCAGTCCTGTGCGGCTGCCGCGATAGACGCACCCACACCCCTTGCCTTGTGGCATTGGCCCCTCCGAGCGCTCGCTCCAGGAGGTTGGTGTCCGGAGGCCGCTCGGTGCCTGGTTGACGCAGGTTGACGCGCCCGCTGTGACCGACAGGACAGACTGTCAGCCCACTCCTGTGCTGCGGAGAACAAGCCAACGTCAGAATAAACAGCTTTCGGCGTTGCCTGCTTCACGGACGCTCGGCAACAGCATCCGCTCCAGGCCTCTCCCGCTGCAAACAGACATCTTCCGGACATCTTAAGCCGGAGCTCACAGGAGCAGAGCCTCGCAAGCAGTAGTGCGTGTCGTTCAGGAGCATTGCCTGTCGGTGCTGTGCTGCTGTGCCAGTGACATGCCAATGCTGGGTTTGCATCCCATCCGCTGCCTGTCTGACAAGCATCCCAGCTTCCCGAGGCCTCTTTGAAGGAAGCATTCTTTTTGACGTGAAACGGCCAAGCAGCTAAGCACAGGACATTTCAAGCGCGGGATGTGAGAGTACCTGATTCGGGGATGGGCCGTCTGAGGCTGCGGAATGTACACTCACCCACAACCCACCAGTAGCTGGATCAGGAAGAATACAGCAGATACATCCAAGACTGAAGCTTAAGTCTGCGACAATGGCGAGGCGGATCCAGTGCCTTCGGACTTCGAGTTGGGTCATGCCAAGGTCTGAGTACCACGCTGGCGGAAGCAGGCCGGAGAACAAACTCGGTACGTGGCTCAAGAAAGAGTGGCGCAGCGAGCACCGCTGCGCGGGCCACGTCAGCAGCCTTTGCATCGGATCTCGTGTCTAGTGCTTGCCACCACCTGTATTTCCGTATAAAGCTCGCAAGTTGCGGCCTCCCGGGGCATGCTTATGAACACCTTTGCATGTCAAGCTGACTCGTTGCTAGTCACGGCGGTGCTAACCTCAATAATGGACTTATCAACGTTTCCCAGACATGACGTGCCTGCTGCCCTCCACTTTCTCCCCAGCCTTAGCCTGACGAGCCTGACCCTACAATGAATACTGTGTACAGTAGAGTTGCCTGGTTCGAGACTCGTTGAAACGCAACGGAGCAAGCCAGCTCGTCTAGGGGCTCGGCATCTCTGTAGAATTCATGCCTGGCCGTTATAGGTCTTTGCAGCCAACAATCAGCGTGTATAGATGGTGATTGACAAGCTGCAACGCTTCGACGATTTGCTGTTTTTGCTTTTCTCCACACGCAATCTCATCTCATACCCTTGCCACCCTTGCCAGCCCTTACCAAGGAGTTCACATAGCTCATGAAAAGACCTCGCCACCGAAGGAACAGATCGGAACATGACTGGAACTGAGGTACGTGCGTGTAGGGTAAAATCAGGGCTGACCTAGACTAGTTCGGTGCATCCAAGGAGCCACTGACGTTGGCAGTACCTCAAAAGCGTGGCGAAGGTCGCCACCAGTACTGCCACGGACTTGGTAAGGGCGGGCCTGCCTTCTTTGGGTTGGAAGTTGCTGACCACGAAGCGCTGGGTCTCTGCATCCTCCGGGGAGTTCAGTGAATGTCATGAGTCCGAACCCTCTCGACGGCTGCCGGCCAGAAAGGGCACAGTAGAGCAACATTGCCATGACCCTGCCCTTGCCTGTGTCTGCAAGAAGTCCAGGCAGCCCTGTGGCGATCAGATCTCTTGTGTTTTTCGCGCTTCTTGAGAGGACGTGGCTGATTCCTGCCTTTTTGCCTTCCCGTTGCCTCCAGAGTGCATGTCTGTGGGGCTCTACTGCATGCCTTGCCTGATCAAGCTGCCAAGCCAGGGCAAAGTCCAACAGCTCCTGGCGCCAGAAACCAACTAAAGAGAAACCTGTTTCTATCAAGTTGAAAGGTCCAAAACCGCGACCTACCATGTGAGTCTGGAACCGAAAAAAACATTCATGTGGAGCAAGCTGTTGCGCGTGTAAAACCAGCCACGCTAGAATAGGTGTGGCAAAAACAACCAGAATTGAACTTGGCGGCTCGAGGAGTAAGTTCACTCACGTCATGAAGCAAACACGGATCAACCATGCTCCAGCAATGAACGGCATGCAGCACAAGACGGCTTGACCAAAGTCGCAGCCCCAGTTGTTTCTGAGTTTACAGATGGCACACTATCTTGAACCTGCTGTGGCTGTGGATGTGTAAGTAATCATTGCCGACTCAGCCACTGAGAGTATGCACAACAGGCAGCACCGTAATGGCAACCAGCCAAAATTACAAGAGCAGCAACGGCATCAGCAACAGAGAAAACACCCACCATTGACGACAATAACGGCGACGAGTGCGACAACGACAAGAACCATGGCAACAAACATCACACCAATGAGAACAACAACAACGACGACAAGTCGTCATGACATTCCCTCCCACCCTCCAAGTAGCAAACTTCGTCCCTTTTCATGCTGGATGGTGCAACATCTGGTGCAGCGTCTTCTCCGGTAGCATTACCTTTCCAGTTGCTTCCGGAACCTTAACAGATGCCGCTGCCGTGCCTTCATCCACCTTCTCACTATACAGGGATGGGCGGGCGGGAAACAAAAACTTTCATGTCTCCTTAGTTTGGGCACTTTGTGCCCGAGCTGCGGAGACACCACCACCTCCAATCAGACTTATTGTCCTACACAACACTCGGCGCAGGCTTTCTCGTGTTGTTGCGCGACAAGTCGTCATGACATTCCCTCCCACCCTCCAAGTAGCAAACTTCGTCCCTTTTCATGCTGGATGGTGCAACATCTGGTGCAGCGTCTTCTCCGGTAGCATTACCTTTCCAGTTGCTTCCGGAACCTTAACAGATGCCGCTGCCGTGCCTTCATCCACCTCCTTGCGTAGCGCACGGCATTTCCTGCACGTGGTAGGCTGCTCCTCGTTGACCACGTAGGTGAAGTTTGAGAACCCGTAGGGCCAGCCACATTTAGTCTTCCATAGATGAGGTGTCTCCTTCGCAAGGCCCATGTCCATGTCGTGGACGAGGCCGCTGTAGCCGCTGCACACCTTCCGGTTGATAAGGGCCGGCTTGACCCCAGCACTGTCCTTCGGGGCCGCGTCAAATTTCGCGACCTCCGTGAACTTTTTAAAATTCTCCTGCAGGTCTGCTTTGAACTCCTCGTTGGCATCCTTGAGCTCCTTGAACAAGCGGGTGTGCATTTCCAGCGTCGCCTCCTGGTCCACGAAGTTGTCCTTGGCTTTCCTCTTCCCGGAAGTTTCACCTGAGAGGGCAGGCCTTTCTTCCAAGGCTTCCGCTGCGTACCCGAGCACTACGTCGGATTTCCACCTGCCCAGGAACTTGACCTGCTCGAGCGCGTAGCCTGACCGGATGTAGTACAAGGCGCCCGACCTCCTGGCTGAATGGCCCGTAACCTTGACGTGGAAGCAGTCCTTCCACGACTTCACGGTTTGTGCCTTGGACGCCTTGAGGCCCGTGTTCAACGGTGAAAGGTACTGACCCCCCTTCGTGGCTTTGACCTTGTGCAGGGTGGAAGCCTTTGCCACGAGGTCCAGGGAAACTCTCTTTGGACAAAGTCTCCTGCACGACTTTCCTAAGCACCTGCACTGGAGCACTCTCAGGGTGCCTTCCGCCTCGATGTCGGTCTTCGAGGTCGCCAGGTAAACGAAGACCAGCTTGTCCTCAATCCGGACGTCCGACACCTCGAGATTCTCCAGTTCGTCTTCCCTGAGAATCCAAACCGCGCCGAACAGGAAGCTCTCCTTGGGGAAGGCCAACCTGCCCTTCTTGGCGGCCCAGTTCTTCGTGGGTTTGGCCTTCGTGACCGCCTCAAGCTCCACCTCCGGTGCTTTGTTCCTTGGGCCCCTGTTCCTCCGAACTGCCTTCTTGCAAAGGTCCAGAGTCCTTTGCAGAGTGTGTGTCCAAGGGAATCCGGCCTCCACGTGCACCAGCTTGAGTTCCACGAGGTACATCTCCGCGGACTTGTAGCCGGCCTCCTTGAAAGCGGCGGCTGTTCCTTCCAAGACTTCCGAGGTCAACGGCAGAGGTGTAGTGCCCCTTTCTCGTTCCTTAGCAACTTCCGCCGCTATCTTAAGGACCAGCTTCTTCCTAGAAGCTTTAGGCTTCCTCGTTGTCTTCGCAAGAAGTCCTACCTTAGACGGACCAGTGCTTCCCCAGGGGAGGCCGCAACAGCCAACAGCTGCTTCTGCAACTTCTTTCCTTGGTCGGCTTGCGCGTGGCTCAGAACACCTCCCCTTTTGTTCTCAAGCCACTCCCTGTGGGACTGCCTCTTCGCGTTGGTCGCCTCGGTGTCGAGCTTGCCCGACGTCAAGGGACCCTGCACCTTAGAGAGCACGGGCCCCGACCTAAACCCTAGAAGCTTCAAGAGGCCCTGGGTTTCGCCTCCCTGCCGACTGCCGAGAGGATCTCAATCCTCTCCACGCGCCAGGCCTCGAAGGATGATCTCCCCCGCGTCCTTTGCCCTCTCTCTGCAAGAGTCTAGCGCCCTCCTTGCTGCCGTCTTCGAAGTCGTCGGCGGATTCCCTCTCGTAGGTGGGCACGATGAGGGTGGCGCTTCGACCAGCGAAGGGGAGCCCGGCATGTAAGCTGAGGTTCCCATTTTGTTCCCCTTCGAAGCCTTCGCCCTCGTACTCGCCTGTCTCGTCGAAGGTGCCACTCCCGCCAAGGTCGAAGAGCCCGGCAGGGAATCCAGCAGCGGAGGGGTCTCGTTCCTTCCTCTTCTCCTGTTCCACGTAGCTTGTTCCCGAGCCCTTTCCAGCGCTCTCACCTGGTTCATAGAGAGCGGAGATGGCGCCGAAGACATTGAAGGGCCGCATGGTTCTTGTGAGGGGTGAGAAGCCGCGGTCAGCGTCTCCCCGAAGACAGAGGGTTTCGCCCTTCTCGTCGGCCTCGGGAGCCCCTCCGTCCCCATTGGGCTCGGACTCTTCACTCTCCTTGCCGAACTTAGGTCCGTCGCCCTTCTTGCTGAACCTGGGCTCCTTGGCGTCCGCCGCAAGAGGGGCGAGACGGCGGTGGTCAGCCAACGCCAGCAAAGGTGTAGGCCTCGCAGGCAGAAGGCCAGCCAGGCCAGGTAGCCGGTGGCGATCATGAGCAAAGGCCACCATAGCACTGTAACATCTACTTGTTCCATGATTGCGTGGCTGCGGGTGGGCGGGACCTGTTCAGGAAGCGAAGCGAAACGAAAGCACATGCAGTACAAGCACACCACCTAAAGGAACCCCCCCAAAACCCTGAGACCCTCCAACTCTTTGCACTCACACAGCGGTCCTGTCCTCACATCTCGTTAAGGAGATGCGGCCACATGTCAAACTCCCCCATTTGGGGGAGCGAGAACCTCGTAAGTCCTTTCTGGCAGAGGTCAGGTACGCTTAGTTTGGCGCCTTTGGCGTGCGCCAGCTCTGCAGGAAGCCCTCCTTCGCGCTCGTGGGGTCGGCTGAGGTAGTCGGCCACTTTGTTGGCTGCCCCTGGTACGTGTACTGCCCTCAGCGACTGCAGGCCCATCTCTTCCAGGCGGTAGGCCATCTCGGCGCCCAGGCGGTTGAGTGCAGGGCTTTTCCCCGACAGCTTTTCGGCCATCGCCAGTGCGACCACGCTGTCCGACTGGAGGGTCACCGTGACGTGAGAGGCTAAGGCGTCCTGCCAGTGGAAGAGTGCCACCAGCAAGGCCAGCGCTTCCATAGCCCCTTGCGAAGCTGCTTCCCCGTACTTGGTGCCGAAGTGGTTGGCGACGGTAGGCGTGACCGGGGCCTCGAAGTACTTCACCACCACGCCGTTGTAGGCCAACACTCCACCCAGCCCGAGGGGCGAGGCGTCGGTGGTGATGGTGACCTTGGTGTCCTCCTCGGGCCGCAGGCGGACGTACTTAAAAGGTTGCATGGCCACGGCGTCGATGACATCCAGGAGCCAAAGGTGGACCTTGTTGAGGCGCTTGACGTAGAAGAGGTTATTCTTGTTGCGCTGGTCCTTGCGGGTCTTCTTCCTCTGTGCTTCCTGGCCGCTCTCGATCTCCTTGAGGCGCGAGTGTAGCACGCTGTAGAGGACGTTCACCGCCCATCTGGTTCTCGGAGGATGCCCGCCATCCACGCAGCCTTTCCCGCCGCTTTCCTCAGGTCCTTAATGGGGGCCATGCCATCCGATCCCCAGGCTTTGAGGATGTCCTTGAACTCCGTGAGGAACTTGCCGTTCACGCCTATATAGGAGGAGGTTGTCGACGCTGTCCGAGCAGAACGTCACCCCGCACCACGTGACTTCTCGGCCCCTCGAGCCCTTCTTATAAGACACCTTAACACCCAGGGCCGCCATGGTGGTGAGGACGAAAGCTAGGACCTGGTTCCTCCTCCTCCTGCCCCCGAGCAGTGCCCAGAGACTGTCGTCCAGGTAAACTTGGTGGCTGCCTTCCGCTGTCTGGACGCAAGACTGGAGAAGCCTCGCAAGGAGCGCCGCCACTCTGCTCCACAGTAGAGGGGCGGTGCGGAATCCGAAGAGCAGGGCGACGAAGATGTACACGTCCTCGTCGGTGGTGGCCTCTCCTTCGCCACCTTGTGCTCCTCCCTCGCTCTCCGCGCGCACCCTTCCCGGTGCCATGCAGTGTGCGAGCTCGCCTTCCGCCACGGCCAAGTGCATGAACGCGTCGCTGACGTCAATGACCACCCATTCACGCGCCCAGTCTTCTTCCTCCCAGCCAAACCTCCTGTACTTTGCTCTCAGGTTCTCTTCCTCTTCGCACTGGAACGTAGCCATTCTCACCGCATCCACTGGCCTGGGCAACGTAAGGCGTTCTGGCAAGGCTGATTTGGCATTGCCTCCGGACCTCCTCAGATCGATGATGATCCGGCGCTTCAGCGTCCCATCATCCTTCTCCTTCAAGATGAGGCCGAGCTTAGAAACCGTGCCGATACCATATCGGCGCACTGCCTCCTCCATCGTCAGCTTCACGGCGAACCCCTCCTTTACGTACCGATCGAGCTCGATGTAGGCCTCCTCTGGGTTGTCTGTGACCGAAGAGTAGTTCCGCATGCCCTCGGTGGTCCTGGAGGTCTCTGCGTCGGCTGACGGGTCGGCTTCTCTTTGCTCGTCAGCTGGAACCGCAGGGTAGACGCCGCAGACCGGGATGGGTTTCTCGATGCCCAAGGGGGTGCCATTTCTCACCCAATCTACGACGTAGACCTCCGGGTCTCCAGCTTTTGCCACCCATCCTTCCAAAAGTTCTGCATCCAGGGGAGACTTGTAAGGAGTGGCAGCTGGCGCTAAAGAAACCGAAGGTTTCCCCTGCGCTCCGACCTGTCTCTTAAGCTCTGCTTTCCATTCCTCGGTCCTACGCGGGCCCTCGCAGTTTGGCGTGCCGTAGGTGTCTGCGACCTCCAGAGCGTCCGGGTACTTCACGGTGAACCTTTCCCACGCCGCCATGACCTTTACCCCGAGGTTTCTTGCAGAAGAGAGCCCCAAGACGGCTTTGGAAGTGTTCCTGGTGCCTCCCAAATGTGGTGGGTCCTTTGGCTTGGGCTTTATCCTCTCATAAGTGCCCTGGCCACCCTTCCACCCTGCTAGAACTGGGTCTGTATCTGCAACGGCCCCCCTTCTCGGCGATCTGCTTCTCGCGACCTTCGGCTCTGCACCCTCCTCCAGGTTTACGGTCGCGTTCTGGCCCCTGCTCGGCGATCTGCTCCTCGCGACCTTTGGCTCTGCACCCTCCTTCTGGTCTAAGGTCGCGCTGCCCCTTGGGCCTGCCCCGGTTGCTGTAGCGCTCGAGGCCGGCGTGCTCGCAGGAGTTGAATCCGTGGCCTCGGCTGGCGGTGCTCCTGCTGCCTTCGACTTCGTGAGGATCGGGAACTTGTGGAACTTGACCGCCGGGTTCGAGTCTGTCGTTGCAGCCTTCGTCCCTCCCTCACCGGTCGCGTCCTCCACTTTGCCGCTCCCTTCCTGGCTTTAGGTTGCTCCCTTGGGCAGCCGTGCCTCTCGCCGCCCTCGGTTCCCCTCTCGCCTTGGCTTGCTTCTTCGCCTCCACGGCCGCCTCCACCAGTTTCTTCCGCCTCTCCTTCGCCACCGCGCCCATCTGCAACAGGGTCTCCACGCGGTTCTCCATGACGGCTTCTTGGCTTACTTGTTGTGGTTCCTCGGGCCTGCCGGTGGAAGAGGACGCCGTCCGCGACAGATCCCGGATCTCCGTCTGCAGCTCCACTTGTCTTTGTTTGAGCCACTCCAGGTGGCCCATCTTAAAGAGGTGTGCCACGATCTTGTCTGCCAGGGCGTCCACCAGCTGCTCCGGGTATTCTGCCGCCGCCGCCGAAAGTCGGATGGTAACCGGCACGTGCTACCGCAGGGGCACTGACCCGACAGCTTGCTGAGGCCCTCGATGGAGCCCAAGAACCTCTGTGGTTTGAAGTTCCTTTGCGCCTTTGCCCTGCCTCGCGGTCCCTCTGGTAGAGGCAGGTCGGGAAAGCAGCCCATTTCATCTTCCCCTGCTCCAAGGCGTAGTCGGCAAACCGCTTCAACTCCGGGAGCTCCCAGGCCGACAGGTGGTGCTTGACCTCGGATGGAGGTGGGTTTTCCAAAGAAACTGGCGGTGCTATCCCGGAGTCGTTCCCGGTGAACAAGACCGCCCCTGCCATCTCCACGGACCTCGCCAAGAAGATGGTGCCCTTCTTCACCTCCTCCTTCTGGTCGTCCCCCAGGTCCGGTAGGCCGTAGGGGTGGTCCTTGGTTCGCAAAGGTGGTGGGAACGCCTCCACGGGGTTAAACCTCGCCCTCGAAAACGTAGAGCAAGGGAAGCCGGAGTGGTAGCCATCGTACCCGCCTGCTTGTGCCTTCTTGAGCTGCTTCCCGTAGGGCTCCTCGGCCGCAAGGTCAACCCCTGCCTTGATGTCGGAGGACTCCACCTTCACCTTCATGCCCACGAGGCTGGCCTTCTGTTCGATGGCCTTCCCCAGCTTGTCCTCTGCTCCGGAGAAGTGGTGCAGGTAGTTGAAGGTCCGCTTCCTTAGGTACTCCTTCAAGCCCTCCGGGAGTTTGTCGAGCTCGGGCTTGAACTCTTCTTCGGTGGTGTCTCCTACCTCTTCGATGGGGTCGTCCTGCTCACCTTCGCCGCCTTGCTCTCCTCCGTCTCCACCCTGTGGCTTCCTTCTCCTCGCTCCCCCCTTCTTCTTCTTCACGCCGTCCACGGGTTCCTCCATCCAAGCCTCTGTCCCGGTCACTTCTTCTTCTTCTGCGGGCAGTCCTTGCTTGGGTGTCCCGGAGAGCCGCATATGGTGCACTCGTGCACCCTGGGCACCTTGGCTTGGCATGGCGAACCCGGCGAGAGTCCAGCACATGGGCCATTCCCATTGTTCCATCCAAAACAAATTGGTTTCCTTTGCCGTCTGCTTTTCCCCCTCCTTTGCCACCATCTTGCTTTGAGCTTGTACTTGTGTTTCGTAGCTGCTTCAACTCCTCTTTCTCGGCGTGCCTCTTTCTCTTCCTTGCTTCCCTCCTCACCTTCGCGGCGCCCTTCGCGTCCCCGGTGGCCGGCGGAGGGATATCCTCCATGTAGGTCTCCATTGGTGACCGCGGCACGCCGCGCATCCCCCTGGCCATCCAAGTGAGAGCCGGCTGGTGTAGTTGTTCTTGCCAGAAGGGTTCGTCCCCGAGGAGCAAAGCAAAGAGCGCGTTCCAGGGTCTCGTCGCGCTCCAACCGTCCGGTGGCTGGCCGCCCGACGCCAAGCTCATCTGGACCTTGAGCTTCAGCCGTCCCAGCTGCTCCGAGCGGGCTCTGTCGTCCGCAGACGCCACCAAGTGCCATGCCCCCACGTAACGCTTCGTCACCTTCTCGATGAACTCCTCGTAGGCCTGCAGCACACTCAGGGAGGCGATGCCCAGCATCAGAAGCGCCGTCTTGTAGACCCTGAAGCTGTTCAGCCACGCCGTGTGGTCCGGTGGCCCCGGTAGGTCCTTCGCAACGAAGCTGCCGTCCTGCTGCATCGTCCAGGTCTTGAGTTTCAAGGCCTTCAGGTTCTTCTTTGCGAACGGAACCCACACGGCGAAGTCGGCGTAGGGCGACAACTGCAAGGTTTCCACCCTTCTCCTCATCGCCGAAAGCTGCTCCGCCGTGGGCTCCTGCTCCGGTGAAGGTGGCCCCCCCATCAAGTTCACGTAGCGCTCGTAGGCCAGCATCGTCACCTTCGCGTCGTCCAGCGTGAACTCCGAGTCGTCCCCTTGATCGAGTACCCCGTTCATCTTGATCTTTCTTTCTCCCACCGTAGATGTAGTCGAGGGGGATCCCGTAGTCGCCGAGGTCGTTGTAGGAGGTCCCGGGGTCGAACTCCAGAGCTGGACTTCGACCCAATCGTCCCACATTTTCCCCGCAGCAACCCAAGCTTTCCTCCTCGCCAGCTTGTAGACCTGCCCCACTTGCGTTGCCTGCATCACGGTCAAGTACTCCCCGGTCGCCTTCTGGGCATTTCCCAAAGCCGCCTCCATCACCTGTGGCGGGAGTACAGCCAGGAGGCGGTAGTCGTCGGTTGGGTCTCCAACCTGACCAACGAACGCTGCCCACACGGCCGGGTCCACATTGTACCACCTCACCAAGTCGGCCAAGGTGTGCAAAGCCGAGGCTTCCGAGGCCGAAGGGTACATGCAGGCAAAGCGCGAGGGAAACAAAAACTTTCATGTCTCCTTAGTTTGGGCACTTTGTGCCCGAGCTGCGGAGACACCACCACCTCCAATCAGACTTATTGTCCTACACAACACTCGGCGCAGGCTTTCTCGTGTTGTTGCGCGACAACCCTACCACCACCACCACCACCACCACCACCACCACCACCACCACCATCAGCACCACCACCAGCACCAGCGGCAGCACCAGCTGCAGCAGCACCACCACCACCGCCGCCACCGGTAACAGCAACACAGCAACGACAGCACGACCACAGCAGCTTCAGCAGCAGCAACGCAACGACGATGACTGCTACGACAACGACAGTAAACCACAGACACGATGACAATAAGACTGCCACCATGACAACAGCAGCACAAAAGCAAATCAGCACCAGCGGTCAATGCCAGTCAGCACCAACAATCACAACATCACAGAAACGGACTTATTGCACAAGGGGTATAGTTGGATGCCGCTGCCATACTTCAGGGCTATGATGTCGGTTCTTGTCAGTTCTGAAGCTCTTGTGGTTCACACCGGCCACATAAATTCCACCCGTCGAATACTTCCTTCGCCAAGGATCTGCTCAGTCTACGTGAGGTTAGTGTCGACCAAAGGTATTTTTTGAACGCGCAAGTTCCAATCCGGGAACCGTCAGCATTGTGGAGGTGGACGGTATGGAAAAAGAGAAACTTATATGAAGGACCTAGATATAAAATAACTATCGAGAAGGATTGCTTAGTTGAAGTGAAACAATTAGGCTGGTATGGACCGATCGGGGGCTCGGGTTTCGTGTACTCCGTGGGTCCACAGGGAGACACACCCTCCAAAGCAGCAAGACTAACAGTCACTTCAAAGTTGCACCAGACAGGAGGTACCCCCTTGAGCATGTTGATTTGGTAGCCGCACGCTCTTCATCACGAAAACCCCTCATCAATACCGTAAATCAGAAACGTACCTGGCAGAGTCTTTAATGTAAGTGGTGACCATGTTGTAAGTAGAACGCGGCAGCTTCCCGGCCCGCCTCTTCGGAGGCATCAACTGCCGGCAGCGTGAGAGCCCGCATAACCAAAAGGATCAGTGGCCAATAACACTTTGAAGACCGTCTTGTGCAGAAGGAGATCCACCCATAATGTAAGTGGTATCCATATTGTAAGTGGAACGAGGCAGCGATGATTCGACTCGTAGCCAGCTTCAGTGGAGCATCGGAGAATCTGCTATAGCGCGGGAAACACCATATCCAAATTCAAAGTCGGTAAGCCAGCGTGTAATGGCGCGGCCAGTCCATAGCAGAACGAGTGGACCAAGAAAGACAAGGCTCACTGCTGTGCACGGGCCTCGACCAAAGGTATAGTATAGAGTATATAGCATACAGATGCATACACTATACAATACGTATATATATATATATATATATACGTATATAGTATATAGTAGACAGTAGTATATAGTCATATAGTGTACTCAAAGCATGGGCCCGGGCTCCTCCTCTGAGACTGAGGTGACGAAAGCCCTCGGCACGCCGCGAGGGCCTTTGCCTGGTTCCCACTGGTACTGCCGGGGCTTTCTCTGCTGACCGGCGAATCACGCTATCTCAAGTCACCGCTTGCCGAAAGAAATATGATATGTGATCCGTGTGTCTATGCAGCCGGTGCTTGGAGCAGCATCCGCCGGTTTAAGGCATAGACGTCTTCTGCGATAATACACACGGCCGATTTTAATGTGCACCCTCGCGCCCTGTGCTGTTGTAGCTACAACGGCAAAACTGTAGCGCTAAGCATTGATTCTGAAGAATGCCTTGGCCGCTATTTCACTTGACAGTTCTCTGCCCGCCTTGTGCCTGAGGTGCTGGAGGCCTGCATCAGAATTAGCGAGCTTGGTACTTGTGCAAGCATCTGAATGCACGACATGCGCTCGGCTTCGATATGCTTCGATCTTGTCTGTATGTAGATATATGATATATGCATATGACCCTCTGCCTGTCGTAGGGTGCAGCTCTCACAGCGATGGGCTGAGTGCTTCTGGGCCAGGAGCCGAACGCTCCTATAGGACCTTGGCAACTCATTATCATTTCTCAGCCTCGCCCTTCCGAGCAACACCAACACCCAAAAGGACAATACGTTCGAGCTAGACCCTTAGGGCAGCTGGAGCCACAGAAGGTCCCTAAGCTCAAGTAACATCCGCTGACACTGTGAGCAGAGTTCGGAAGAGGTTTGCATTGAAGAGGTGCTGTCTGAGATGTTGCTAGCAAGTGCAAGATCCTTGATACTCTATTCTTCCTCAGGAAGACTCGGGCTCCCGCTTAGTGCGCTGCCTTTGGCGCCGCCTTTGGCTCCGCCTTTGGAGCCGTTGGAGGCTGCTGCTACCTCGCCAGCGCTCAAGATCTCCTACCGTGCTACCGGTAGGAGCAACATGCTGGGCCGAGGGACGGATCTCAAGTAAGAGATGAAGAGGCCCTGCGGGTTCTGCGTATCTGGTCGTGGCTGAAATCCAGCCATGACGGCGCGGGCCTCAGTGCACATGGCCCTTTCAAGCGCCTTCTACCGGAACGTCTTGAGGCACTGTGAAGGCGTGAAGCACTGGATCCAAAAACCAAACCCATGAACATTGCACGAGCTCCGGACAACGTCTGGCGGCTGTGAGAGCAGCTGCCTGAAACTCGAGGCATCAACATCATGCCTGATGGGCTATCCTCGTTCCTGTCCCTTCGAACTCCAACAGTAGTCTGTCTATTCTAGGAGAGCAACGGAGCACAAAATGCAAGTGCCACACGAAGGTGACTAGATCCATTGGCGAGTTTCCGAAAGCATTCGTCGTCCAGGCCGAAGTGCTCCATGAAACTGCGCAGCAGGACGAAGTGCAAACAGTCCAAGCTAGGCTACCAGTCGCGGTCGGCAGTCTTTTGCATGCTTGTGATTCATCTGAGTCGTACAGATGTGTTTGCGCCCCCGTCGTCGCCTCAGAGCATCGTTTTCCAGATCACTGGCAGGCGGCAGTTGCATGGTGGGCGCCCCCGTCTGCACCGAGTGGACCGGTGTGCCTCAGGAAGGGGAAGGCTAACAGGAAGAGTCCGAGGGCACTCTGTGCAGCTGCTCCCTGCTTCGGCCACGTTGCTCCGACCCCCGCCTGCCACAGATCTCAGAAAGCTGAAAAATAGATTCCTGCACGGCGCAGGAGGCTGAGCTTTCCATGTAGGAATGCTGTAGCCATCTAGACATGATGGCTCTTTCTGTTTGCACCAGTCCTCATGTTGCGAGTGTCGGGCCGTGGGTTGAAGTTCGCCATTACGTCCGCGACGACCTGCGAATGTTCACAGAATTACATGCAACGAACCCGGAAGCCTGACTCTAAGTTTCGCACACTCGTGCAGATTCTTTGTCTTCTGACTGACTGTCTGAAGCATCACATCGTATTGTGTGAGTGTGAAACACTACGTAGTAGGTTCATCAGTGCTTCGTCTAGGCTTCATGCGGCATGACGATCCAGCAGTGTGAAGGAACACATGCGCCACGGAAGAGCCAGAAGTTCACGATCAGACCAATCAAAGCATGCTCCCAAGCTTGGAGCTGCTTGGCGGTCGCTTCCCAGTGGCTGCAGGCTGGCAGCGTCTCATCTCATCTTGCAATATACGTTGAGACTGCCGATGAAGCTGCGCCACGGAATCTATCGAGTAGCAGATGGCGAACTCGCGGCGTCCCTGTGCTGGTAGTGATCGCGGCCAGGCAACAAGTAAATGCGCAGGGTGCAAATGACTCGGGTGGTCACGTCAGGAACTGACAGCAGTGGCTCCAGGCAGTGACGATACCGAGACTGCTACAGCTCTAGCATATCTGGCGTCTGCAGGAGCTCAGCCACTTTATCAAAGCCCCGTCGATGTGCAATTTTCCAAGCAGGCCCTCCGTCACCAAGAGCAGAAACGTCGGCACGCCATTTCAGCAGCATTTGCACCATTGTCATGTCGCCGTACTTTGCTGCAACATGCAACGCCTGATTGCCTTTGGAGTCTCGCTCGTGCACAGGTGCCTTGTGTTTCAGCAGCAGCTCGGTCGTATTTCGGCATCCAGACATAATCGCTGCATGAAGTGGGGTTCCCATTTCGCTTCGTTGTGAGGCACCTGCCCTCTTGCGTAGCAGCAGTTGCAGCACCGACGCGTGGCCTTGACGGGCTGCAAGATGCACTGGCATCTCCATCTTTCGGCTTGCCGTGAGCTCTGAACGTGTGCCGAGAAGAAAGCGCACAAGCTGTAAATGCCCACGCTCGGAAGCAGCGTGCAAGGGCGTGTGCCCATCGTGGTCCCTTGCTTCAATCGGTGCAGAGGGGCTCAGGTACAGCCAGCGCAAAGTCTTCAATGCTTTTAGCTGTCCTCCTGCTGCCGCAAAATGGAGGGCCACACGACCCTCGGCATCCGCAAGTACGAGCTCTGCTCCTGTGCTGCTCCAGAAAACACTCAACAAGGGCTGAACTCAAAGCAACAAGCTGTTGCGACAGAACTGAATAAGTTCTGCAGAGTTTCCCAGCTTCGAAAGAAGGTGCAGGACCGCGCGGTGACCGTTTTGAGCTGCATTTCTCAACGCATTGCCCAGCACCATAGCAGTGTGGTTCTGCAACAGAGGTCCCCTCTGCTGGGCCAGCAGCTCTACCGCTTCCGTGTGACCCAAGAAGGCGGCGATCTCCAGGGCGATGAATCCTCGACACAGAGGGTTAAGGGTTTAAGGCCCGACCAGCTAGAAGGACCCGGGTCAAGTGATATCGAAACGACGGGTTGTGACTGGATTGCGTTGCAAGAGGCCCATGCCTCTTACATCACCTTACTACAGTCCTACGTCTGCTCTGTTCTTCGGGGCTGCGACACCTGGAGAGACGTTTCATGAAGCTGGGAACTATGTCACTAAGGGAACCCATCTAATCTGATCTGGGCGTGAGATACAGGGCAGACGCGTGCTGTTCAACCGGCAGGACGTGTCTCGACACGTCCGGACTGCTTCCTCTGCAACGGACAATATGTGAGCTGCCTGACCTTCCCAAGGAAAAACCTGATGCGCACAAATTATTTCGAAAGAAACTTGCGGCAGTAGCCTGCCAGTACCTGCAACTAGACTGCAACTGTGTGGATGCTTGTTATTGTTGCTGTCAGTGCCAATGACTCTGCAGTCCGGTCACCAACAGACTCAGAATAAGCTTCTTCAGCAGCGAACCCCAGGGAGAGCAGCTTCCGCACCTGGGCGAAAGCGAGGAGATGGCCGCAAGAGGCACCGTAGTTGCAAGGAAGGCTACTCTACTCTTTTATGCCGGCAGGCAGACCTTAGCCACATCCCCGCTCTCGGCAGCCGCGTGAATTGGCGACGTGGTACCTCATGGCATTCAGCTTCTCTCTAAATTGCCTTTTTTCGCGTGGAATAGCCTACGCACGGCTCTGCTTCGTGACTGCCGAGAGAAGCAGGTTCGTGCGACTGAGGCACAGTAGCCCACTGCATGACCTGCAATGCGGAGATTTCACCCACTCCCAAACGGCTACAACACAAACATGCAGCTGGTGCCAGGACAACTTTCAAGGGCCGTGGCCTGTGGGTTCGTCCACAAAGCTGGCTGCATACTTCATGAGCCTCCATCTTCCGGCTGACATTTTGGCCGATGATTCAAGCTCACGGTGCCAGCCTCCGAGCTGTCAGCCGCTGCTGAAGACCCAACGAACGCTGCAAGGCCGCTGCAAAGGACGCGCGTGTCGGACGCCCCTTACAAGCAGAGGCTCCTCCTAGGAGGCTCAAGATCAACTGAGCAAGTGTTGCCGAGTGTCCTCTCCACTCTTCTTGAGCATGGTCGTCACGGCTTGCGCATCCCCGAGGCTGGCAGCCATCACCTCAGCACGGTGGAGGACGTGGCATGAAAAACATACTCACCTCACGTGTTGAGGACGTGGCATGAAAAACATGCTCACATGCATGCGCTCCATACTCTGCATGAATGCGGCTTGGCTACAAGAGGCGGCCAGTCTGCGTTGCTGCCCTGAGACCCCAGGCCCCACACGAAGCTGTCAATATTGCAGGTGGCATGGAAGGCATCGTCCGGGAAATACCTTGGACACGCATGCAGATACATGCAGATGTGAGGTTAATTCCAGAACAGGCGGGAAGGAAGCAACTGGACTCACCGAAACAACAACCTCCCCCTGCCTCTACCGACCAGTACCGAAACGAGACGAGGGGCACCACCTCTCCGGGTTGCTGGATGCAGAACTGATACCCCGGAGGAGTGCTTGAGTCCATGTGTTGACACGGATTCCTTCGTGCAAACGTCGAAGGAACGTTCGCAGCAGGCTTCTCGCTGATCCACCAAGCTTTGCGCCCGCTTAGCAAGAGAAGCCAGGTCTCTTCATGTTTATGCATACCTGGGCTCTTGTTGAGAAACTTGATTGAGAAGGTATCATATATTAATATATTACGGATACACACTACATTACATGCATTCCACAATCTGCTATCTCAAAACAGCTAGGCTCCTTAATAAGACCGGAGATGCTGGTACCGGTGCCGTTGATACCCAGGGTAAGGATTGGAAATGCAAGGGCCTCCTTCAGCAAGCTCGGCAGCTTCGGAAATTTGGAGCTCCAAACCGATCGACTCAATCTTCCAGTGAAGCCGTGCTCGAACGCAAGCTCCTGTCCACCTTCAAAAGACTCCACGGCCTAAGAAACGTCCAGCTGAAGCGCTCAGGCTTGGCCTGTTGGCTGGTGGATGTAGCGGTTTAGCGAGCGCCACTCCTTCAAGCAGCCGAGCCGGTGATGCTGTGTTGGCACGTCTGAGCCGTTGCGGGCGCAGCTGTCCTTCGTAAGACGGAAATTCGCTGCACTTTCGTCAATGCCAGTCTCCAGCTGCATGCGCATGTGCCCGAAGCTTCTCAACATGGTCTCCTGACGGCTGAGGGTCCGTGAGCAAGGCAGCCGGCATTGGAGGACAAGAAATCCAGCGCATGAAACTCTCCTGATCCGAATCCTCGAGCACCTCGGAAACCTAGGAAGCCAGCCCAGGGCCGAGGAAGTGGTCTCTTTGCCGACGTACAAACTCACTTGCATTAAAGAAGTTCCTTCTACCTTTCCAACTGGACTCTTCCTTTGCTGCGGCCAGGAAACATCTGGAATGGAGTGAAGGATCAGAGGCCTGTGCAGTCACGCGCTGTGCTGTGGCTTTGCACAGCTCCACAGTATGACCCGGCAACTGGTAACAAGCGCTGCGAGTCGAGTGTAGGAACTGAAGAGATGTACCAAACGTGGTCAGGCTGTGGCAGGCACACAACCCAACATCTTCAGCTAGCGGACGGATGGCCCTCCACTGAAAGCAAGGCCCAACACAGCCTGCGTTGGCTACGCTCAGGCTTAGCATCCAATTCGCTTGAGAAGGCACCCCGCTCAAGAGCGTCCAAACCTACTTGCGACCCTATAACTCGGAGTACAGGATGAGGGCATCTAAAGCTTCGAAGTGTGGAGTTGCAAATCATTGCAAAGCTATGGACAAGAGGCCAGGTGCCTGTGCAAGATCTCACGAAGTATCAAAACCTCCCTCGCCTCCGTTGGGCGCGAACTTCCTCGCTGAAGCCTTCAAGCGAAACATCCACGCGCCGGAAGCTGCACCCGCTGACGGCCTGGATCGGCTTCAACGAGGATGTGATGTTCCGACACACGGCGTTATTCAAAACCGAGTGCTTCTTTGACTGAGGCCTTCTGGGATACCTGTAGCGCTGCAGAGGCCCAGAGCAGCGGGCTCCATTGCATGCTACCAAGCTGGCGGTATGCTGTTGACACATAGAGCCAAAGTCGCTGCAGGACAGCTGGCTCCTCGCATCTGCATGGTGGGCAGCATGCAGCAGGCACTCTGTGATCTCTGTGCAGATGCGTGACCTGCGGAGGTTGTGCCAGTAGCTCCCCGATACATTCGTCATCCAAGCCCCAAGAAGTGGCAAACCTGGGTGCCGTCGGATTCCGAAAATTCCACCGGAGCCAATCAAAGCACAACAGACCACTAGGCGTGTCCTCTTTCGAGGACACGCCCCCAGACTTCACAAGCAAAGAAAGCTCATCATGATGTCTCAACGGTTCTCAACGTATCCAACTTGCACTCTGGAGGAAACAAGTCAAAAAGTCAGCCATAAGACCGATCACAAGTTCATCCATCACTCAATCGAATTTGTCTCTGGAGCAGTCTACACCAATCCGAGCGGCTTGACGGCCTCTTCTTGCAGCTGTGCTGCTGCATTTTGGGCCTCATGAGGCAGCGACCAATCATGACTCATCACCAAGTCATCACAGCACAGTTTGTCTAGTCGTAATGCTCCAAGCAGCGATGCTTGGCCCAGGCATGGCCGGCATGGCATCTTTGCCTTTGCCTCGGCCCTTCGCGCCGCCCGGCGTGCCCTTCCACTGTGTGTGCATCGGGCCCTTTGGGCCCTTGCCCATGCTCCCTGATTGCTGAATGGAGCGAACGTAGCCCATCTCAGCTGCAGCTCGACATCGGGCTCGCGAGACTGTCTTCATCAGTCTTACTTGCAAACTGGCGGCGAAGAGTCCGGAGAGGTTCTTCGTTTCAGGCTTGGGCTCGAAGCCCTGCATGACTGTCTGCCTCCTCAGTTTGAGCTTCATTTCGCGACTCGCAAACAGTACAGTTCAGGTAACTGAACAGGCCAAAATGATCAGCCAAGCAACGCATCATAGTCCAGTTCGAGCAGCTTTAGAAAGCAGGCCTTTAAGCATGAACAAGCTAAGGCAGTCTTGTGTGGAGCTGTCGCATGAACCATCGGACTCAGCATGTTCATTGAGCCCTGCTGTATGTTGCGGGACGGACGCCCGTTCCCGTTCGCATCAGTGCCCAGCGACTTTCGGATGACTCTCGCACTGCGTGAAACGGGCCGGAGGGGATCACACTCGGGCATGCTTGGCTGGACAGAAAAACACCATTACTTCCGCCCAAGGAGAGTATCGTCGTAAGTCGTTCAAAAACGTTCGAAGCTGAAACGTCTTTTCAAACGTCTTAACATTTCCATATCCCTCTTTCGTTGAAGGTGCCTCATCCAATCCTTGACCTTCGCACCACTGTTGGCAAAGACTGTCCATGGCCTGATGGACCCCGGCAGAGCAGCATGAGTTTCTTAATGCGTGACCACCCATCAAGACAGCTGCGTTCGTTTCGGTAGTGCGTCTGGTTATGGCGAACTGACAGCGTTCAGTTTGCTTTCTTCAATGTCTTCAATTGCAAACGTGCTAACAGTATGAGGGGGCTTCTTCTCAAGCACCTACCTGAACCAAGGCCACATCAGGTTTTGCTCTTTAGGCACTGCTGCGGCATGGACCCCTTGCTGGATGCTTCAACAACCTGCCGAGCCACACTACCGCCACCCACAGCGCATGGCGCAACTTCTGTGGCACGACTTGTCACAGCGTTGAATCTTGATCTGTTATAAATCTGCTATAATATGCTATAACATGTTATAATGTTAAGTTTCGGTCTCCACATGTTTCGATGGAAGGATATGCTCCATGCGAGCTCGGAAGCTCAGTTCGTGCTCTGCAACCTCGCCGTGGCGCTCTGCAAACTTCTCGAGCAAATGTTGACAGCACAGAGCCGTAGGACCGTGTCTGCAGATGGCAAAGCTCTCACAGAATGCCTCTGACGTCAGAGGTGTTGTTATTGTTACCCTTGTCACTGTTCTTACTATTATTTCCAGTGATACTACTGTTACCAATATGATTGCCAGTATTATTGTTACTGTTGTTGCTAGGGTCGGAAGCGAGGCAATCGGACCTGCGTGGAGCGAGCTCAAGAATCACTGTGAGGAAGCGGCTGCAAACGTAGCCCATCCTCCTGTGCAAGAGAAGCGCAGCGTTAGGCGCAGGCCGCTAGAGGCCCCGAAAGCACGTATTATACTGAATTAAACTGCATTGCAATATGTCGTGCTATAAAAAGTTGCTATTGCTACAGATAGCAGATCCGAAACCCAAAATATCAATGCGGCGCACGCGGCCTCCAGTCATTCAGCCCTTGGCATTGCCCCCTTTGCAAGGCTGTGCTGACCTCTTGGAAAACACAGGGTCGGCTTCACGATGCTCCATGGATCTTCTAAACGATGACCGAGGCGAGTGGCCTCCATCTGCGTGGACAGGAACACTGCACTGAAGAGATCGTCCTGGCTCAAGAAGCTGACGTCGGCTAAGCTCCCTCAGGCTCTGTGTGAGGGATTCCGAAAGCCTGCTCTGAGAAGTGTCTGAAGGCAATGCCCCCTACTGTCAAACATGGCGGTGTCCTTCGTCCAATTGACCGGATCTGCTAGGTCCTAGCAGTGCCCAGGGGTCCACCGATTCCTTACCCTGACACGTTCTGCCACACATCTGTGAAACTTACTTCTCAGCATGTTGCTCAACATGCGCCGAAAGCAAACTGCCTCAGTCAGAAGATTGAAAGAAGGCTGGTGGAAGCGCCTGATCACCATGAGAGAAACCCGAAGCGTCCCAGCAAATGCAAACTGCTCGTGTCCTCTGGATTGCCGCGAAGCCGATCCAAGCGAGGGCGTAGCAGCCGCATGAGTTGCTCGGAACCTCCATGGGACTCTCAGTCCATTCTTGAAACCGACCGCTCTTGCAGTGCCGAGAGAAGCATTGTGCAGCAGGGCATTGAGCTAGGGTGGACAGCACAAGGAGGGCAAAGGCTTGCGGAATCTCAAAGAAGGACCTCCGGTTTCAGGCACAGTCTATCCCAGGAGCACGGTAGCCAGCAGCTGCCACAGGAACACGACATGTAATAACAGAAGTCTCCCATCGGCCTTCTTCGACCCTGGACTCTCCTTGCTCAAAGCCTCTGAGGGCGGAGTCCGTGCTAATCACCTGGAGCTCTAGGCTCACTGTGGGCTCAGGGCATGTGGGCAGGTGTACATTAAGGACCGTTCAGCGCCGTCGCATGTCCAAACGGATGCTGTGTAGGGCGCGAGCCCACGTGACCTCGTTGCTGTACTTGGCACCGCCGAGTGCTGTTTCAACTGCCTCGCAAGGCAAGACCCCTCAGGTCTTCATTGTGTTAGGAGCTGATATATCCTGATGGTCCCTGTATAGCTTTACCGCGTTGTACCCACAAAAGCCCTGCTCCAATTATCCATGCCCCTACTTTTTTGGCACCCAGGCGACATGACACTCTGAGTTCGGTCGAAGATGTCTTATCTTCCCATCAACGAACCTCGGAGGCTTCGTCGCCGCCGCCCTTGGCCTCGTGATGTGCAGGATTCAGCTTCTAGAGCTTTAAGGATTTTAGGGTTTGGACTTTTCTATCTCCTTGTGTAGGATTTCGGACGCGAGTGGAGGGTTTTGAAGGACTTGGCATTGGCCGAGCTGAGGCGAGCCGTCTCCCAACATCTGAAGACCCTCCTCCGCGTCAAGCGAATAGATGACACGCACTCACACATGCATGTATCAGAACCGTTGTGGACATATATACATGTGGGTGTGTGTGTATATATATATATATGCAAAGGTATATACCACCTGCCTACATTCCTAGCTAGCTGTGCGTGCGCGCACGCAAACCCGTCTCATGCTCTCGGGCGCAACCAAATACTCTCTTGTTATTTCGTGCCCGTAAACTGCAGTGCATTGTGCATGAAAGAAACATGACATGATAGCAAAACCTGCAAAAACACCGGTATGACTCATGTCTATTTCAGTAACGTTGCCAAGGCAAGCACCGTCACATCTGCCATGGCTGCAAGAGGCGAGCAGTCGAAGAAGCCAAGACTCCGAAACGTCCTAGCACAGTCGAGTAAGACTTAAGACAACTACATGCATGTGTAATTAAAACGTATGTGTGTGTATATATATATATATATATATATTACAACATACCCCCATATTGAAAAAATGTGCCTGCGCGTGCGGCATATGTGAATATATTTATACACATATAAACATATCTCAAAGGTAAGGGGAGGGGAACGGGCCCCACCCCGTGCTCCGGGTGCCCATAAGGTATGGGGCAGAACTTCGGGAGAATGCAACCACGGCAGATTCGCCCATTACACATCCACAGGACACCCGCAATACCGCTGCAGTAGAATGCACAAGCAAATAAGAAATCAACCCAGGTGTTCAGCTCAGCACACGCAAATGCAAGACCCCATCCGTAAAGAAAGAGGTATCCATACATGAGACTAGCAGCAATTTATGCACCCTGTTGGTCTGAACCCCAAGCCAGTCATGCATGATCCAGAAATTGCCAACCTTTACGACCGTGGTGTGCCGTCCTGGAATCGGACGATGGACGGCAGTACACATAGAAGAGTGGAGGAAGGGCCATAGTATCTGGGCCGGAGTACCCCACGCCATTGATAAAGCATAACGACATGGAGATGCTGACTTGCAACATGGGCACTCAATCTTCACGCAACATGGCAATACACTCACTCGGGCCTACGATACCCTATGGTGGTTTGGTCCGACTCCTGCTGTACAACCAGCAAAACACTCTGAAGAGCAAGCGCGCCCCAGCGTGGACCAGGCGCAGGTGCAAGAAGCCCTGACGATGATTTGGGGTGCCATGTTGCGCTGTCGTTGTTCCAAGAACACAGGCCTCGTAGACCAGGAGGTCTTGCAGGAAAAAAGGAGTGCCCACCTGAGTGTCACTTCTGATACATTTCATGCCTTCCGGGTGTCAAGATGACAATCTAAGTCCACTGCTCGGGGCATGTGCTTCTTCAAAGCATCCTCTGCGTCACCAGAGACCAAAAGCCTCGTTTGCTTTCCGAAAGAATACTCCGCCAGCTTTCTCGACGGCTGCATACTGTCGCACGATTCGTCTGATCTGACATTGAGAGAACTCCAAGGAACTGTGTCTCGGAAAACTCTGCGCATCTGTGCTAAACTGGGGCACGTGCTTCCAACCTTCAAAGTATGCTGCAAGCCTGCGACGTGACGCCAAACCCATCTGTGATCAAAGATAATGCGGACCGGCTACGCGAGCAGTGATGCTACGAGCGCAGCAATTGTCACGGTTCAGAGCCTCCCGCTTGGATCGCAAGAGACTATGTGCATAATAGCGCGCAGCTGAAGCCCAAATCGCCTGCACACCCCCCTTGTCCAACCTGAAGCAGTCCACGTCCAACGCTGAACGTCGTGGTCAATGTGCTCATTCCACGCTTATGAACGCACGAACTTCTTCTCTACCTGCATCCCAACTCCGGCGTGCCTTGGCCTTGGCACGACTGCAAAGCGATCATTAGCAAAGAACTCGCCCTGTACCTCACGGCCGGGCGTTCAGCCGCTCACAAGCCCCTGGCCCCTCTTTGCTTGTTCCAGCCAAACATGTGTCAAACGAAAGAAAAATCGCAGAAAAAATTGTCAAAGCTCACGTACCGGGGTTTGTTCGAACATGCGGGTGCCTTCGGCAGCCATATAGCCTCCGAGTCGATCTCCTGCCAGGAAATGAAAGCCAACAGCCTGCGCATACCTGGTCTAATATGCATGCTCACCAAGATGGTTTTGGGATCCTTGACCAGAAACCCTAAGCCGTCCTTGTCGGGTTTAGAGCTGCGCTTCGTATTCTATTCTTACGATGAATGTTACTCAATATTAACATTCAGGGTCATGCCTGCAAAACTGGTGTTTCATTCGGCGAGCATGATCAATACTTATATGATGAAAATGTCTAGTATGCTTGATACCCTGGTAACATGATTACTGTTAGTATTACTATTGCAAGTCATGTTTTTATCACGGCCCGGAATCCGAAAACGCCTGCAACAGCTCGAGGCCAGGAAAAGGAATTAGCCAGTGAAGGTCCCATCGGGCGAAAAGGACGTGCGAGTACCTCCACCGGTGAAGGGGGTTAGGGTCTGGAAAGTCTATCCTCTGTGATGTCCCACTCAAGCAAGCAACCAGTAGCTGATTGATTGGTAGAATACTTGGTTTAGCTTATTGCGTTTCGTGATTCAATTTTCTACACTAGGTAGCTTGTTGCTGGTTGGTGAGTCAATTAGCTAGCTGGTAGTTAGCGAATTAGACCAAATTTCTTCGCTCGGCTAGTTATTCCTTTCGTTCTTGGCTTATGTCTTTCTCTCTGTCGTTCTTCCTTTCTTTCAGCCTTTCATTTTGGATAGTTACAGCTCGTTGACTAGATTACCTAGTTAGGTAGCTAGGTTTGTCAGTTAGCTAGTTAGCTAGTGCGTTCAGCAGCTGTCACTCGACTTTCCACGAACTGTAGTGGTAAGATCCCCGGTGAGCGATCAGGCCAACCACTCTGTCATGCCTGGGCATCCCTGCGCATCTGGGGTATCCCATCTTCCAACTGCACGTGACGCGCTTAAGCCATTGACAAATCACACTCCGAATTGCCCCTAAGGGCGACAATTGCAACACACCTTTACATTCGCTGATCAGCTGCGTCTTCAGTGCAACTTTGGCGTTACTTCGGTGGAAGGGGCACGAAAAGTTGAGAAAATTGAGTTCATGCCACTTGACAGCATCCGCGCACCACCTGGCGGGTCGTGAAATTCAGAAACGACTGACAGGCACATCTGCGGAGATGAAAACCAGACAAGACTATGGCAAGAGCCACCGGAACGCATCTAATATGGCTGCTTCACGTTGCTTGTATGGTGAGACCGAGACCCAGGCTGGAGGGTACGCAGCTGTGACAGTCCGGCGCTTGGCCGCACCTGGTGTCCTCCCAGGTAATGCAGATCTTCACGACTTGCTCTCAGCTCCAACACACACGATAGAAACGGTGGAAGATGCGAGTGCTCCAGAGATGGTGCCTGAGCTGCCGTCCGTGAAGCGGATGCCAGAGCTCCGTGCCTTTCTAGAATCGTCCGAAGTCCTTAAGGCATGACGAGCACAGACTATCAACCAGCATTGGCCTGTCAACTGCACAAATATCAATGTCTGTATGCTGACGAAGTGTTACAACCTGTCAAGTTGCGTAGGATGTTGTTAGAGGCTGAAATCGCTCAGGCAGTGACCTCGCAGTCGGTGAAGAACCTGTGATGTCGTCATGGCCGACATCAGGCCTTACCAACAAACACATACATTCTACAGCTGCCAAGCAATGATACGAACGTTCATGAGTGGCCTGAATCACAAAGCAAGCAGTGGACCAGACGATGGATGAATTCCATCAGAAAGTCAGTATGTCCTAAACGCCCAAACAACGCCAAACCCAACCACCCTTTTCCACCGCCTAACACCCTGAACCGAAGGCCAAACCCTTGAGCTCTTGGCTCAAAACTCCAAAAACAGTCCTACACTCCCATGTCTCCCTTGCAGAGCCTTCCAACAAATCTGATGAAATCGCAAACCCTGATGCCACATCCCTTCCAGCCCCAGACCCTAAACCCTTTATACAGCTCCTTACGCCTCATGAACCATACAAGGCCCTAAGAAAGGTAGGTTCTACCCAATCCCTGAAAAAGGCCCAACTTTGTGGGACCTCCGAGCCCGGCGCCTCTGAGCCAGACCGCCGAGCCACGGCCCCGGCCGCGCCGCCACCCGGCGCCAGGCCGCCGCCGGGTGCTGAAATTCGAGAGGTCTAGGATTTGTAGGGTTTTGAAAGTTCTAAAATTCGATAAGGACAGGTTCAAGAAGAGTCGCAAAGGGCTTCTGCCGTAGAGGTTCAAAGGGATTACAGGGGCTCTAGATGGGTAATACGAAAGGTTTTCAGACCGTTGTTCTGTTGGGACACGGCACAGTGCTGTGGTTCCTGGGTCGAACTCCAATGCTGTGCTCTTTCATTTAAGCTGTGACGACATACAGATGTTACGGAGAAGAGCACATCTACGTTTTAACGTACCAGGATTCGTGCTGCTGTCAGCTTGCACGGTTGAAGCCTGCATAAGGCGGAATGTCTTGGTATCCTGACGTCACAGTGGCATGGAGCGGTCTGGTGAAGTGAGGGAGCCTTGCTCAGCAACTCCATTGGTCGATCGCCCCAGGCCACCTCGCAGACCCGGAAACCAAAGCGCGTCACAGAAAAGCCCTGTGCAGCCAGAGCCGTTGGAGGTTGCTGGCCTGCCCCGCGACGGCGTCTTGGAGAAGCACCTCCAGCTCTTGCCATTCTGATGCCGTCAGCCTCGCAGTCTCGCAAAGTCAAGGCATGGCCCTCGCATAGACGACGTGAAGAAGGGTCCAGGCAGCGACGCGCCGTCGCCGGCAAAGCGGCCAGGCTCGAAGTTCTGACCCTCCTCACGTTCGAATCGGTCACGCTGGGACGAACGTAGCAGTGGATTCCTCGCTGGAGGGCGCCACGCGTCGCAGCTCCTCGCTGAGCCGACCTAGGCCGTGGCCGAGGCCGCCAAGAGTGGAGTGAGGGAAGCGGCACTCACTTCTCTGATCTTCTCTGTTGGGGAAGCGGCCATCGCCCGGAACCGTTTCAACCAGGCGATGTGGCTGCGGGCCTGGGAGACCCAAAATGCAGAAGACTGCGCAGACACGGGGCAGGCTTCTTGGAGGAAGAATGACCTCTCCTGCGAGGCACAGGCAGTCTGGTGCCGCGGGTCTCCGCGAGGCGGTCACGAAGGTGAAGAGGTCGGCAGGCCTCGGGAACAAGACAGCTTTCCGTCTTTTCCTTGCTTCCTCTCGCCGCAGCTCCGCATCGCTACTCCGCTACTCTTGCTTCAGAACGAGGAGAACTGTCTCACGACCAAGGCGGAGGCCGCCCGACACGGTCGAGGAGATTCCGCCTGCATCCCCAATCAGCCCATGTTGTAGGCGTTCACGTGCATTTGCATGCTCTTGCACACCTGCCTCAGCAGCTGTGCTGTATCATCAAAGAACCGAGGCACACCCAGCAGGCAAAGCCTCACAAGCACCCCTGGATCGGATTTGTCATGGTGAACGAATGCAATGTGTGGCAGCCACAGGCATGGGTGCCGAGGGCAAGGTGAAACGTTCTTAAACTGAAAGGAAGGAACGACGGGGGTTGGAGCGATGCTGAGGGCGTAGCGCGACTCGAGGCACAGCACGATTTGGTGCTTTCGGCGCCCGGCTGCGCCACTCCAAGGTGCAGGGCGCAGACGGGTTCCGCGCCCCTGGACAGCTTCAGGCATCGAGCTTGACGCGTCTCCACTGCCGATGCTCATTTCATGATAGATGCGCTTCGTGACGGTACTTTGGCTTTATGCCTGGCTGGACAGCTTACAATGACAATGAGACAGCGTGTCAGTCAAGCAGATTCAACAACATGCCACGTCACGACCACATTTTTTCATGTCCACCAGCTGTTAGCGCAGTCTCTTCTGATCGGTGAATCAATATACTAGCTCGTCACTAGATGGCTGTTACGCCAGATCCTCCAAAGCCTAGCCGAGTCAAGTTCGTAGCTCGACTTTCCTTTGCAGGACAGAACAGAAACGTGGAGACTGTAGTCTATACAAACTTCAGCTGCATGTCCCTGCCTCCCTCACGCCTCACAAGGATCTCGGGTCTTGGCAAAGTCATGACAGAGCCGCAGCGAGTTTATGATCAAACTTGACAAGAGACGACACCTATCCAGCACACTCCCTTGCGCTGTGCTCGGAATCGTCCGGGTGCAGCTCGGCATCCGTGCAACTGCTCTTCATCTTTGCACCTGGGCCATGCCTTGTGTGGTAAAAGTCTCGCCGATGTGCACCCATGAATTCAAAATGTTGCCCTTTCTGCCAGAAAGTTTGTGCTTTCAGCATAGTCAGGCATGAAACAAAAGATGCTGATTGCTCCTCCCTGTTGAATCTGCTCATCCAAGCCCACCCAAAACGAGGAGGCTAGCCGAGCAATCGCAGCATCTATGACCTGAAGGTGTGCTCTCCTCAGTATAGGGAGCATTGTGTACGTCTCAGAAAATCTGCATGGGGCTTCATGGTGAAACCCACTTCTAGGGGGATTTCCTCATCACTTGTGCGTCATGTTCCAATGCGCGTCTGCAAACGAGCCTGAGGCAGGGATACAGTGCAGACCTAGGGCCCAGGGGTGGCCCAGGGGTTGGCATGTTGCCCATCTCCCACAATGCCTGTCTCCATGGAGGCATAAAAGCTGAGCTCACCGGAGAGGGCAACACCTGGCCAGTTCCGGTGAGGGGTCTCAAGCACGTGCTGCACTTACAAACAACGACAGAAAAGAGACAATGCAAGAAAGCCCACCTTAGACAGCCTACTCCCCCCATTCCTTCCGCCCCACCTGCACAAATCTCTGCAAGCTCGTTGGCACTTTCCACGCCCATCATGGATCGCGCGGCCTGGAACTCAGTTAACCCCTACACTCTCGACGATTAACAAACTCTGCAGATGCTGCCTTGAAGGATGGCAGCGAAGTTCCGCCTCCAACACTCGCGACCTCCGATTTCAAGATGCCAGATCGGGAATCTAGATTTGGCCAAAGCTTGTAGCTGTTCCGATTCGCTTCAAGCCCTACTGGCACAAGGCATTCTGGTTCTTTCAGGGATAAAACAAGCGGAGTGCTACAGACAAAGCACATCCGAATAAAGCATCAGTCATTTTCGATAACGATACTCAACCCAGCCCAGTACAATGACAGAGAGATTCCGAAGAGCATCCTGGTTTTGCAAGCAAAGCTTGCAAAATTGATCATTTCATCCGCATGATCGATGGAGTGAAGTCCCTTGTGGACACTATTTAATCCCGTAGTCTTTAGGAAGCCTCTCCAAGGTAGGCATTCCGAGCCTCATTTGTCTTGATTCATGTCCTACATATTCTGTGGAGGCTCTAGCGGTTGAGGGCTTCGAGTCTCCGGACAAGTGTGCTGATCAAGTAAATGGCTCCTCCGTCTCCGGGCCAGTTTGCTGATCTAGATTGTATACAACAGAGTTTAAGCGATTCTACCAGTGAGGATTTGCCTCAGTCACGAAGTCCTGGGCTGCTTTGAGCAGCCAGACTCACAGGAGCTGTGGCTGCAAAAAGTACCAAGTCCACAGCGTGACTTTTGCAAGCTGAATCTTCATGCACTCAGTGCGTCCAGGTAGCGATGATGGAATTAAGCGTGATGCTTGCGTACAAGTCCTGGTCGAGGTGGCTGGTGGATCCTGCGATGCGAATCGCAGATGTGGGTTGCATGCAAGCTCCCGTCTCCCAAGCGACAGGTGCTTACTTGGGAATCACGCACCGTCACGGCCTCCGGAAGGGTTGACAAGGTCGAAGTGAGTCACTGCAGCTTGAGACTCGGCCTCAGTTGGATCAGCTCCGGGGCTCATGTCCAGAGCTTTCCTCTCATGGCTTGCCCGTGCAGACACGGCTTTTGAAGTCGGACTCGGATGTGTGAACCATGGCAATGAAAACAATAACCAAAATAACAGTAACAGCAAAAGTAATCAACATAACAATAGTAACATTAATGGCAATAGCTTACCTTCGAACTTGCATTCGGCCGGCCGTGCACGCAGGGTCATTGCCGGTGGCAATGTAGAATGCTGCCAAGCCATTGGCCACGTGGGCTGTGCCTCGCACAAAGGAATCAAAGTGCGGCAGCCACATCGGGGTGGTGGACTTGGTTCCAGCAGTCAGCACGGCGCAGCTTCTGTAGACAAGGCTCAGCTGATGCCGCCCATGAACTCGTTCGTCCTGTTGTGCATCTTTTGGAAGCGCTGCAGCCTGCGAACATGGCACCAGCACTGGCGAAACCGTTTCGGAAGCAAGGATGGCATTCATCTTCATGTCATGCAAATCAAGGTCCGGCTGGAGTGCCTTTAGGAATTTGCTGATGTATAATGACACAGAAGGAAGTACAATTGCAGTGCAAAGTAAGAAGCGGCGGTGGTGGTAGTAAAAGCAGAAATAGAGACGGTGCTGGTACAGTAGCCTTGTTGGTACGAGCAGCATAACTGTCCTCGCATGCAAGGGATGCAGGCCAGGCTCTCAAGGGCAAGAGATCAGTCGCTTCAGCAAAGAAGACGGAAACATAAGAGCCGGGCCAGAGGATGGTTTTTATTCTCGGAGCTGCAAAACCGGGAGATTGAAGCCAGATTATGACTCTATGACTCAAGTGTCCGTGATCATGAGATACAGGGTCTTAGGTACATCCGCGACCCAGGCATTTTTGTGATTGGGACAGCAAGAATGCCTACAACGAGTATATTCGTGGTCAAAGACAAGCTTCGTACGCCGTCAACGTCTCAAGCGACAAGCTCCATGGATGGTGAAGGTTGGCATCACAGAAAGTGGCTCATCATTCCGTCCAGCACTTGCGCAACTCTTGCCTGTAAGGTGTAGTTCTCAGAACTGACTGGCACACTTCCTGCAGAGCATAAGTCATGGCTCACAGGGCACCTCTGCAGCATCGGGATGGGTGCATGCTACAAGACATTCAGCGAAGTGACTTCAAGCACCCGCTGTGCACGGTCCTTTGGAATGATGCAATCCGCCACGAGAGAGTGGCCCTTGCCGAGGAGTGTGTGCATGACGGAGACGCGCCTCGTCCCCACGAGAAGGAGCACGAAACTTACCCCCCGCGCGCAGTGCTCTCTCGTCTGGCAAAACGACTGTGGGGTCTTTTGCTGTACTGCTGACTTATTACTGTTATTTGTACAGTGTGACGGCGTCTCCGTCTCCGACTCTGGGCAACAGTGTGTGCTGAGTGCACTCAATAGAAACCGAGCCGCTTTCCCGCATTGAAGCCGCCTGGGCGAAAGGAGCAAGGAAATTTCAAGATTCTGAAACCACGACACCATGTGGAAATGTGCCGATTGCTCCGTGGCTGGAGCATCCAACGGCAACATCGACTGATACACATGATGCAGCCGGATTTGCAATCAAGGAGCCTTCAATGTACATCTCAGGGATTGTTCCGGGATAGTGCTCCTCCCCGTAGCTGGCACTGCTACCAGTAGAACATTCAGAAATCTAAGCCACATTAAGTTTTGACAAACCTGGGAAGACTACTGCTTCAAGCTCAGTTGCCCTTGTAGAACCGCTGAGTCATATTCAGACCCACCAACATGAGTCTTCGAACCAGCTGTCAGCAAAGCCGGAGCTCCGGCAAAGCAGATGCTTCGGAAGGAACACATGTCGTCAGAGCTGCCTTCGGCTGCTTCTCAAGCCGGTCTCAGTCTTCGTGACTTTCCACGCTGCTTCAACATGAGCACCCCACCAAATCTAGATAAATGAGCCCTGAAAGCCGCAAGGGAATAGAACGACGCAGCATCCCTGGTCCTTGCAGAACTTCATCATCAAGTCCCCCGCATAGGTCACCTGCCGCAGCAAAGGCCCCAGAGTCCCAGAGCCACCCAAAAGCCTACAACCCTCCGTAAGCTCCTGAATCATCCTGAATCTTTCAGCACTTGACTGGTCCAGGACCCTAAGCCCTAGAGCCCGAACCCTGAATCCTAAACCCTAGACCCCTAAACCCCTGAACCTTAAACCCCTAAGCCCCTAAGCCGGTGCCTTGTTTTGTCCAGCAGCATCCTGGGAGTCGATGCCCACAGAGATGTGCACTTTCCGGTCGGTCTGGAACACCCTGCGCGCTTGCGGCGCCATACTAACGTCGGGACCTGAAAATAGTGTCACTAGCGTATACTACGGTTTGGGTTTGGAGGGTGATGCTGCACTTATACTATAGACTATAACTAGAACGGCGGCTTTCGGTTTTGAGATGCTTTGAGGCTGCAGGTATTCGAGGGTGTGGAGTTTAGGAGTTCCGCGCCCACTCTCCCAAACACAATATGTATTTGGTCGCTGATGGCTGGCCTCAGTCGAGTTCGCTCCTCGGTGAGGTGTCCGATATTCTTGTGCAGGGAATCCTTGATGCCAGCCTGGCAAAAGGAGCATGTTTAATGTGTTTTCCTGGTCATGCAGGATGAACTTTATCGCCTTATGCTCACGATCATGAGAATGATGATGCTGACAATCAGTATTCTCAGCCCTACTAACAACAGTACACTGGGCTGGTCCAAATCGCCACATGGGGCCGCTCCTGATTCTCCTCCTTGTGGGCCCACCGGTAGAACTCATTTGCCTCTGCGATGTTTTCGAAAATGAAAACCTGAGTGCTGCAGATCTTCCAGCTGCTGGAGTTTTTTTGGATGGTCTTTTGGGCTTTACAAAAGATGGAGCTCTCTGGCTTCTGCCCTCCGATAGTCCAGGACGGGCGGACAAGCTAGCAATGTCAGGAAGACACTCTCGCTGAGGAGAGGTGTCGTGAGTGATAAGAACCTCAAGCAGAAATTTCTCGTAGATCTATGCAGGTTCGACATGAGGCAGAGAGGCTGCACTCACTTACTTTATGCTACATCATTCTAGATAAGGTCGCGCAGCACTAGCCGTGCTTCCCCTGCGGTAGCATCCCGTTGCCAAGCAGCTGGTGCACGCAACATGCATCGAGTCTTTATCCGAGTGGTCACACCGCCACCAGCGGTAATCGCCTGTTAGCAGCTTCCGAAACTCTGACAGCCCCTTTTGGCTCAGACATGTCCGGAGCTGGACGGACGTCTATCTGGAGTGGCAGCAACAGGATCCTGAAGCCCTTGGTCAGCCTTCTGCTCAGATTCTCATCTTAGTGTGTCTGTGTGTGTGTGTGTGTGTGTGTGTTGTGAGCTGCAAACCCAAGCATAGCGAAACTCGATCCGCCTCTCTGCAACCATCCTGCGTTGAAGAGGCTTGCAAACATCAGTCCCTTTCCGACAATTTTTTTGCTGCATAGCTGCAGCACGAGTTTTCCAAGGAAGCATGTTCGTAATGCGCCAGCATCGACCCTCCACCAAATCACATGCTGAAACCGAGACCCTGCAATAGTTCGTCATGCTGTGCAGGGTAACGCGCATTCGTCGGCTCAGTGCGGTGAGGCAGGCAAGCAGCGGTGTGGATGGGCTAGACAAAGACTCGAAAGCAGGAAAGGCCAAACAAAGCCCCACAGGAAGTTCACAGCCCCCCTCGTGGGCTCTTTCATTCATGGAGGTGCCCGGCAGCTTCGCTAGGTTCTCTTGAAAACTAAGACCTCTTTATTATCGGCAGCAGGAGCCACTCAGACCCTGCCTTGGCCCCTCGGCTATAGGAGGCAAGTAGAGCACCTCCACTCAGACCACGTGCAAGCCAGGCGTGCAACGAGGCAGCTTCTGATGCATTCGCCGAGGCCTTCGTGAGTCGCCATGGGCACCACATACTCCTTCGTCGCGTACTCGCCGTTTACCTGCGCACTTTCCATGAAGCTTGGATAAGCTTGGCCTGCTACAGTGAAGAGTTCAGCCTTGACGAGAAACACTCCCGCTGCTCTACCAAACTGGATTCTGGTCAAGTGGACCCCAGGTTGACAGTCTGAGACATAGTCTAGGCGAGTCTAAGCCAAGCCTTCAAGGGGCCGATGACACCAATGGGGTACTTGACAGTACCAACGTAGTTCTCTGTGTTATTCCTGCCGTACAAACATGAAAACACAAGGCTAACCCGCACAAGACTGACGCTTCGACGATGCTTCAGAAACTTCTCGGCAGCTCCTGTAGATCTCCGCATCGTTCACTGACTGCTCATCTGCGACATAATCCTTGACTGGAACATGCTCAGCTCTGCAGCACTGGCGAAGTCCCAGTAGCACCGATTTCGCCGGGTGGCCCAGTACTCTTTGCTTACGGGAACGGATTGTCCCCGAACCTTCAGCTCCCTGCGGCTGCTCAGCAAACAAGGGCCAATGAGTCTCATGAACGAACTCTGGACACCCCCTGCCTCGTCTGACGATCAGACAGGCACGCAGGCCGGGCAAAGTGTCGCGTTTGGAAAAGGCTCGGTACCAACCGCCGGAGCAGTGGCTGCTGTCGGCCTTGGTGTGCCAGCTGCGGTTGAAAATTCGCGCTCTGCCTCACGGGTCTTCCGCTGACTCCGAGCCGAGGGCTCAGAGCAGGGAGGGCGCAGCGGCTCAGCATCAGTTGGACCTGCAGCTGTAACTTGCAAGAACCGGAGTCGGAGTGGTTGCAGAGAAGTGGACGTTCGCTTTTCACTGGCCCATGCCCGCGAGGTTCGATGCTCTCGGAGCTCGAGACTTCCATGCAAGTTACCCGCAAAAGCCGGAAGAGTTCCAACGACATCGTCATCCCTTTGGGTAGAAACTGTTTCGTGTAGGCAAGCACGATGCGCGAGATTGCCGAGAAAGACGTGGTTGATCGAGTCTGGGAGAACTGAGCCTGCAGAGCACGGTCTCGTATAGTTGCTCTGTGACGTGTCTTGCAAGAAGGTTCTGAGTGCACTCCCTCGGTCTCGTATAGTTAGTATCGTTGCCCTATGATGTGTCCTGCAAGAAGGTTCTGAGTGTACTCTCTGTACATGCTGTGCTGAGAAGTTATCCTCCCAAGCATGATCTCTCAGAGCCCGACGCGGAAAAGGTGTCTTGGCGCGGACTGCTGCTGGATCCAAAAATGCTACTGGGAGCCATGCAAGTAAATTGCGCTTGTGTGGCTGAAACTCTAGCACTTCCGACATCTGCGGCATCGACTACCACTGCCTCATGCATCATGTCCCCACCTCGGGAAGGAGCCATTGCTTGTAATAGGTGCACAAGAAAAAGCCTCGAAATCCATAGAGTGCCGAGCAGGTGTAGCTGCTCCCAATGCTTTGAGCGCTGGGTTCAACATTTGTGGTTAACAGTCTCTGTGCCTGTGTGTGCTTGTGTGCGTGTGTCTGTGTGTCCGTTTGTCTGGATGTGGGTGTTTGCATGTTTGAGTGTTGCAATGGGACATTGCATCAAGATGAGCGAAGGCTCCTGAGGAAAAAGCTGGCAATAGCTCAACGACGGTATGTCGAAATCAAGATCTACCTCGTTTATCCGGAAGCACTAGTCCGTTGCGTCTCTGCGGTACGGAATAACATGAAGTGCGGACTTCACGGATGCATCACCTTTTTTCACGGTTGGCTCAAGCAGCTCGGTCTGTGGCCCGGCTCGCGGATCTTCCGGAACCGGGCAACCGGACGAGCTACGGGATATGTATTCGGTAACCGGGCAGATCCAGAGGATAGTCCCGGTACCGGAGAACAAGGCGGCTGGGTTAACGGCCTACGGAAGTGCAGACGGAAATCCAGCTGAAAAACACAGAAGGTCCAGAAAGTATGGATGGACCACCGAACGGAGGCGACAAGGGGACGGTGGCGGGAAACTTTAACTAGCTGAACCGTACCGGCTGAGATGGCACGGACGGGCAGCTTAAGTCGAACGGCTGCGGTAGGACTTGCCGTTGCGATGCTTCCGGAATAAACAAACCACGAACATTCGAATCCCCGTTTATCCGGAAGCACTAGTCCGTTGCGTCTCTGCGGTACGGAATAACATGAAGTGCGGACTTCACGGATGCATCACCTTTTTTCACGGTTGGCTCAAGCAGCTCGGTCTGTGGCCCGGCTCGCGGATCTTCCGGAACCGGGCAACCGGACGAGCTACGGGATATGTATTCGGTAACCGGGCAGATCCAGAGGATAGTCCCGGTACCGGAGAACAAGGCGGCTGGGTTAACGGCCAAACTAGTTAGTCCCTTGAGGTGGGGGACTACCCGAACCGGGGGAAACCCAGCCACATTTAGAAGTCCATAGCCGGAAAAAGGGACAGGTTCAGGGCACTCGACGGATGGTATGAAGGCCGAGGAGGCCGAGAGATGAGGGCCCACGGAATATCCACCCGGTCACAAGGTCGGAGTCCAAAGGTGGCCGGGTCAGCACCTCGGCTAAGACCGTCGGCAACAGTGTTCTGGAAACCCGGAACATGGTCAATATAAGTAGATATGCAGAATGCACGCTGCCAGGCAAAATAGGCCGGAAGGAGGGAACAAATTCCCCGGGCAGTGGAGAGGCCTTTCCACGAGGCAGAGTCGGAAGGGGAATTGTCACAGCGGGTGACAACGTGGATGGGGTGAAGGGAAACCGGAATCAAGAGACCAATCACCCAAAGGAGAGCGATCTGTCCGAGAAGTTCCCAGGCAGCAATGCAGGCTTGCGGAGAAGTGCCAACCGGAAACCAGGGGAATAAGGCAGCGAGCTCCGAAGCGGAAAACCGGTGTTGAAACCAGGCAGTCTTGCCGGAAGGAAGCGTGACGAAACCACCGATGCCGGCATGCTGTGCATCGGCACAGGCGTCCGCGAAAGCCTGGCAGGGGAATTCACGAGCCAGGGGCAGCGGGAACGTAGGGGCAGCATCGGCGAGGCAAGCGTGCCACATGTCCAGCACCGCCAAGGATTCTTTGGAAAGCTTCCGGTCGGATTCAGGTGGCATACGCACGGAAATCCAGGTGCGGCGTTCGCCAGGAAAGGACACCGGGACCTGGGAAAGTGAGGATACCTCACGGCCCGATACCGAAATCAGTGTGCATAACTTCGGACAGGATGCGAGACCCACGTCAGACTGCAGAACAAGGTGTGAGTCAAGCTTGGAGCGGAAGGAAGCCCATTTCTCCGGACTCAGAGCAACATGTACGACAGGGGGCTTGCCCTGGTCGGAATACAGGGGAGCCAAACTGGGACGAAAAGGCCGAAACAGGGAGCAGACCCACAGTAGCTTGCCGGTGAGCTTGCGGAGAAGATGCAGCGGGACAGAATCTGACCCCCGGATTTTGGCCAGGAGGTCCCGCAGCCGGTCAAGCTTAGGAGCTTCCATGGTGGCAGAAAGGGAGTGGAGGCAGATAGACCAGCCAATCCACGTCGGCCGGGGGCCCAAGTAGGCCTTATGCCAGCTCATCGGAACGCGGAGAATGAGCAACATGATGCACATCAATGCTGCCCACACCGGGCCGGACGGGCCGGATAGCAGAGCAATCAAATCATCAACATATATCAGCAGGCAATGCTTGACAAAGACCAGGCGGTGAAGTAGACGGGTCAGCAAGCCGGCCATCCGGGACCAGTAGAAGCCAGAGGCGCGTGCGCCAAAGTTAAGCGTTAAGCATTGGTACAGCCGGTTCCGGTGAAAGAAGCACAAAAGGCCACGGTCGGAGTCACGGATTTTGATCCGGCGGTGGGCTTTGCTGACGTCCAAAATCAACGCGATGAGCCATTCTATGGCGTGCTCCGGCGGAAGGCACTGGCGAAGACCGGAGATGGACGGATTTGCGGACTTGTTGGGAAGTGAGGTGTGTTCGGTCACACCGGAAACACTGCTATCGACGACCAGTCGATCCGGCCGGCCGGGGGATTTGACCAAGCCCAGCTTCCCAACAGCAGTCTGCTGGTAACGGGCTGTAAGCTCGTCCAGTCCACCGGGAACTTCGCGCACCCACCCTTCTGAAATCTCTTCGGAGAGAAGGCTATCCACGGATGCTTGATCCGACAAAGCGGAGCCCCAAGAAGAGGAACAATGTGTCAAGTCCATAGTGGGAGCGGACTGTCCGGCCGGGGGAAATAGGGTCGGACAGGAAGGCATCTCGGAATCAACGCCCAGGGGGACACCCTCAGTGAGCAAGTCCACAAAGGAGGTGTCGGGATCCTTGAAGACAGACAACAGCGCTTCCAACAGAAAGAGGCGGAAAGGTTGTCCCGGCGGGATGGACAAAAGCGCGTCAAAGTCCGGGGCGGACAGCCGAAGGAAGGATCGAAGGTCCTCAAGGAACGGGGCCAATTCTGGGTCCGACAGCGGAGGGGCCTTGGATCCGGAGGACAACTTGGCCTGGAACTGGGACAGGAAGTCCCCTGAAAGAATGCGGGCACACCAGGCTTTCCGGAGGGAGCCGAAGCAATCAGCACCTCTGGGAACAGACCAAGAGGCAGATGAACAAGTGCCGGCACCATCTTCCACACGATTCGCCGGAATGGGCCAGAAAAGTGTGGCAGGAAGAAGCGAATGCCAGGAACGAAAAGGAATCTCGCCGGTGTGTGACGAGAGCAACGGCTTGAAAAGGTCAGCAAGCGCAGAGCACAGTGACGAGGGATAACAGGCGGTATCCCGTGTGAGGAAAGCACCGGAGGCGGTCCGGCGTCCGGAAGTAGTCACATGAGAGCCGGGAGGATGTTGGCACACAGACGCGAGAGAGCTCAAATCCGAAAAGTTGGACACAAAAAGCCAGCTTTTGCGGTAGTCCAAGGCGTGGCTGCAAGCGGCAACTTCAACCGAATGCATGCAGTGGTGGCGGATCCAGGATCGGCAGCCCGGGACAAGCCAGAGTAAGCTGGAGGCCGGGTTTTCTAAGATGGCAATACCTCCAGCCAACATGACGAGCGTGAGCAACTCCCGGGTGAATGTGTGCAACCGGTCTGAGGCATCCAACTCGGCTTGTTGGCGTGGGGAAGGCCGGGGAATACCAGAAGGGTGTGCGGGTGTGCGCACCGCCGGCGGGCCCCCTGGACGGAGACGGGAACGGCTGAAGCTGGAACAAGGAGGAGCCGCAGCAGCCACAGCAATCAAACCACTGGAGCAGAGCCGGCGCAAGGAGGTTTGAGTGTCGGGGTCAAGCAAGTCCACATGCTCCCCGTGGAGACAATCGACGGGGGAAATGCGGTCCAGACCAAGAGCAGCGACTGCCCGGGAGAGCGGCGCCGAGGAGCCGGAAAACAAGTCAAGAAAGACACGGTGCTTGCAGGGTGCAGGGTGAGACACAGGTTCCGGCAAGGTCTGTGTCAACGTCTCCGGGGCAGGAGGCGGGCCCGACACTGTGTGTTGTGTCGGTGGAGCGGTACAGCCAATGCGGCGTCCCAGCGGGACGCGAGGTGGTACAAAAGAGAAGGAAAATCCAAGGCGTGTCCGGCGCGGAGAGCGGGACCGTGCTCGAGTGTCCGAGGGAGCCAGAGGTCCAACCACCAGTGGAGCGGCAGGCCGCGTAACAGATGATGTCGGGGGGCACGGGCCGCACGGCGTGGGAGAGACAACGCACTCGGATTCATCGGAAGACGAAGGAATGCACACAGGAGCAGGCGCGTTCAGAGCGCCGGGCACGGAGCCAGTAGGTAGTCAATGCGGGGTTTTGTTGTGCTTGTTGGCCGTATGCTTTTGCCCACAGGGCTTTCCGGACGGAAGCGGAATAGGGCACGTGTGGCTGAAGCGGCAGTTGGACAACTTGCACCGACCAACAACAAACCGGCGGCATATCTCTTTTCCGGACTCATCCACGGAGTGCCAAGAATCGTCCCATAGTTCGGAAATGGGCTTCTTCCCGGTGGCCTTCGCTTCGGCTTTAGCCTTACCCTTAGGTGTGGGACGGGGTTTCTTGGGCGGGCGTTCCGGAGCATCCTCCGGACGGGTGCGGTCAAGGTTCCGGAGTCCAGGTTCCCTAACCGGAGGGGCCGGGATGCTGCGCGGCCGGGCCACGAGAATGTTCGGGAGCATATGCCGCGTGACAGTAATCTCGGTGACCGAGTCCGGGAGGCTCCACTTCTCATCGCGCATCAGGGTGGCAACGTTCGACCACACGGTGCGTTCGGCAGCAATGACCTCCTGCATAGATGGAGGGCGGAGGGTAGTGTCGATAGGCTGCTCCACGGCAGCGGCCACAAATGCTTCAAGAAGCATTTTCCCGGCACGGAGGTGAAGGTCACCCAGGAAGGCAAAAGCTGTAACCAACAATCCCAGATGGCGGCGCAACGTAGGTTCGACCGGGCCGGAGGTGGGAGCGGAGGATTGGGCCACCACAGGGTCCGGGACACCCTCAAGCAAGCCCCGCAACAACTGTGCATCCGAACGGGGCCGGCGGGATTCGTAGAAATGCTGCAGATCCGACTCAGATGTCCTCAAGCGCCACGGAATCCAGAGCGACGTTGGGGCATCAAGTTCGGACCGGAGACGGTTCAGAAATTCGACGCTGGGAGTATTAGCCGGGGACAAGAGTTCCCCCGGGTAATCGGTGATGAACTTTTCTCGCATGGTCTCAGCTGCGGCGGCAGAGATTTTGGCCGCAGGAGCCGAAGGAAGGCTGGTTCCAGGGATGGGTGCAGGGGGTGCAGGCGGGTGAGCAACCGCTTGGGTTTGTACGACCAGGCGACGTGCAAAAGCAGCAGCAGGAGAGACAATGGCTTCTGAAGATCCAGCCGCCGGCGGCCAGAGTTTCCGGACAAAGTCATCGGGGGACCCATCCTGCGGGATGGCATACGCGATGCTGGCCAGGGACTTGAAACCTTTAAGTGTCAGCGCTTCCAGCAGCTCATCAGGAGCGTGCCACTGCTTGAGCAGAGCGACAAGCGCAGCGGGGTCGTCGAAGGAAGAGGGGGCAGAGGTCATGGGGACCAAGGCCGGGGAAGTCCAAAGTCCAGTGACAGCCTACAGCACAGCCTACCTGATGCTAATGAGCCAACTGCGGAGCAAGACGCTACATGACAGCAACTTGCAGAAGCGGCGGAAACAAGGCGTAACCACACAGAGTTTTGCGCCCTGCTCGGTGCCGGATGCAAGATCATTGCGGCAGGTGGCAGACAAAATTCACCGGCCGGGCTAGTCGCGTTGGCCAAGAAAACGGGTTCACCATCCAAAACTGTGGCAAACCCCACAGGCATGGTTCCGATGCTGGCGGCGGCGAGTGACGTCGATGACCCGGCCACACACCTGATTGCATTCCGGATTCACGCAAGGGAGGTGGCAGGTCACCACTTGCGGCACCGGGCGGAGGATCCTGCCGATGAGGCGGGCCAGGCGTGCCAAGAAGCCAGCCGAGCACCGGCGGAGCATGGCCAGCAGGTCCTCATCGCTAAGATCTTCCAGGTCCACCAATTCCGGGACGGAAGGCAGGAGGACTGCGCCGTCATGGCCACGGGCCGCCCTGAAGGTGTGCCAAACGTCCGGAGCAGGCGCTTGCTGGGAAGAGGCCGAATAACTCGAGGCGGGGTAGTCGGCAGCCATGCTTCTGGTGGCCGGAACCCAGACTAGAAGAACCTCTACCTGAAGGCAAAACGGCTGCGGATGTAAACAAGCAGGACCCACAAGGCAAGGCACTCTCAAAAAGCATGCGCGGCATGCAGAGCGGCAACCAGTTTTCATGCACAGCGCGAGCGTCTAGTCGTCCCGGCATGCTCGGCGGAGGCACGGCTGAGCACCCACAGGAGGGGTCGTAAACCAGCAGTCGGCAGACATGTGGGCAGTAGAGGCACCACATGCCGGGCGCGCACAAAAGGGCTCAAGTCCATCAAGCGCAATATTCACAGCATGCGGAGTGCAGGCCGAGCAGGACACCGCTTTGTGAACAATGTTGCTGCGCGGGTTTACCAGGAAGGCCCGAAGGTCATCAGATGTGTGGGCCGCCGGGCGCTTGGGCCGGACGGCCAGCTTCGATTTTGCAGGGACTGAGGTTTCAACGTCACTGGCGGACGCAGTTGACACATCAGAGTCGGAACTGTCAGCCGAGAGTTCCGGAACATCATCGACAGGGGCTGTGGCACTGGGCCTGGCGTGAGGAACCGGAGAACGGGAACGAGGGGGAACATCTTTAGGGGCCTCGCCTGCCATGTGGCGGTCCGGAGGGGGCAAGGAGACCCGGAAGTCAGGAAGAGGGCGGGACGCACCACGAGCAACCGGTTGCAAAGGGCGGAATCCCGACCGGATGCGGTTGATAACTTCGGATTGCAACAATAACATGGGGCCAACATCGTCCCTGCTATAGACGCGGACGGATCCTTCCATAGCGGACGGCCGGTGATGGCCCTGCAGGCGGCGAAGCTCCGGACTCAAGTGACACTGCCGGGCCCAGCTGAGGACGGTGGCTTTGCACGAGTGCACCCCAAAGCGGGCATGTTCCGGAGGGGGCGGAGCGGAACTGTGTTCTCGCCAATGTTCGTCCAACAATGCCCGGAGCCAGGGCATGGCCCGCGACCGGTGCAATGGAGAAACCATGACCAAGGATTCGGTATCCGGAGCAAGCAACGGCAGCAGAAAATCCACAGACCGGCCGGGGAAACGGAGTCGGGTGTCCGCCAGGGCACGGTTTACCAGATTAAGCCACGACAGGCCCCAGCAGGAAGAAGGGCCCCCGGTGAGGCCGAACAGTTGACAACCCCACGGCATGGAGGCACGGCAACTTTTCGTGCGAGTGGCCAGGCCAGTCACGGCGGAAGAGTCGTACTGAAGCACCAAGCGGTCGGGCGGAGACCACAGCCCGTCGTTCCAGCGCAAGCTGGACCAGATCAAGCATAGCACGGATCCCATCACCAGGGCATCCCGGGCCGGCGTGTCCGGACACATAACTCGACGTTCCAGCCAGGCAACAAAAGAGACGGAGAACGGTAGGGATTCTCGTCGTTCAATGGGGATGGTAGCGGTGAGGAACGCAGTGCACAACGGAGTTTGCAGTTGCGCCGCCAAGGAAGGCAACCCAGCAATGCGCGACATCCAGCTAAGTGACTTGAAAGCCGAAGTTGCTAGTCCGGAGGGGGCGGCGTTCCGGTGAAGCCAATCAGGAACGGCCCCAGGAGCCGGGTCGGAACAGCTGAAACCGAAGCGGCGACAGTGCAGAACCCAGGCACTCCAGAGACGCAGATAAATCGTGAGGGTAGATGGGGCAAACTTCGCGACCGCCCGGGTTTGGAGCTCACGGGGGGACGGCACCAGTTTCGTGTGGAGCCAAAGCGTGCAGTCATCACCAAGGTCCTGCACGGCATCGCAAAAGGCAGCCCTCAAAGTCACAAGGGCGGCCTCGGCAGCGGCGGCCATAGAGGACCCAGAGTCCGAGGCCGAGGCAAGGGGAAGAGGCCCGAGGATGTAATTGCCGGATGGGGCCGGGGTGTCATCGCCAGCGTCGGGCAACAAAGGCGATTTGGAGCCGGACCCAGAAGACACACGACGCCCCAACGGCATAAGACGGGGTACAGGTGGAGAGAAGACGGACGGCCCACAAGGGAACACAGGAGCGCGGCGGACAGGGACCCGAGGGCAGAGAAGAAGTCCAGGCGCGGCCAGGCGAGCAGGGCTTGGGCACCGGCCTAGGGCGCGGGCACCAGCCAGGCAGACGCAGGCTGTCAGGAGGGCAAGCCAAGGGCGGGACGACCAAGGAAGCCAGGCCAGGAAGGGCCAGGTCAGACACACCAGAGGCAGATGCAGGAGAGTTGGATGAAAAGCCCGCGACCAGCTGAAACCCGGCCTCAGTCCCATCCGATGCAAAAAGGTCCGAACCAGGGGAACCAAGGGGGCTCAACGGAGGGCGGGCCGCAACAGGGGTGCACGGCTGGGCCTCATCCGAAGGCAGATGCAAGCATTGCCCTGGACACGGGCCCGGAGCCGGAGGCTCACAGCACGGTGCCGCAGGCAACACAGGTGCAAATGATGACGCGCCTGACAGGAGCAGACTCAGAGGAGCAACCTGTGGAAGCACGCCGGGCCGCGGCCACGAGGATTTCGGTGTTACCTGACAAGGGCAGAGTGAAAGGCAAACCAGAAGACTGACAGCACAGGCCTCGGAGGGGAGCGGAACCTGAATCAGGGCAGCATGCAAGAGTAAACCGTCAGAGCAGGAACATGCAACATGTAAGCGAGCAGAGGGCTTTTGCAGTTCCGCCGGGGCAGCCACATCCAGAACCCACCGGTCGGATTCGGATGACCGGTGAGACGCAGGGAGGATGGCCACCGGAACGCGGGAGGTAGTAAGACTAAAGCCGGGTCGAAATAATGATTAATGCTTCAGAATCCCGGGGAAGAAAAGACCATAAATGCTCATACCACCGGGGCGGATCAGAGGCCATCCTCCATACAATTATGGCATTTGTGGCCGGTGTGAGCCGTCCGGCTGTAATACAATATCGGCCGGAGGCAACAGCGCATGCAGCGTGGGCCTCGCGCCGGGCAATCATGGCTACAATAGCCACGGATCCGGAGGTGCGTCAGGCCGGACGGGGGCTGCTGGATCGGCACCCATGGTGGTAAGTCCTCCAGCTCAAAGCAAAAGAGGTCCGCGTAAGGCCATGTTTCCGGATCGCGGACAAACGGGCCGGGAGAGTCCGGAAGGCAGATGGACAGGCGCATCCAGCCCTCTGACTTATTCCACGGACCGGTGTTGATACGTCTCGGGGTCAGCGGGGCATTCGGATCGAACTGGGGTGTCACCGAGGGCCGGTTCCGGTCACAGTGCACCAGGGGCACATCCAGAGGGATTGCTCGAGTGTCGGTCCGGGCAACGCGGGCTGGCGGGAAGCTGGGCTGGGGGCGGGCCAGGTTCTCCTCAATAGCCGCGGCACCATCACGGTCCGGTAAGCGGGGGCCCTCCGGCATGGAGCGTGCGCCAACCGGACGGTACTGCCCCGGAACGGCGGGGGGCCGGGTAGACTGCTCGGCCAGCACGGAGATCGGCGCCTCGACGTCATACTGCCCCAGGTTGGCCAGGGCATAGAAGTTGTCCTGGCACACCTCGGAGAGAAGCACCATCAACCGGGCAGCCTGGCTCAGCGGAAGGTCGGCCAGACCGGCGTAGACCAAGTCATCATCTGCTTCGGAAAGGAACTCCAGCATGACTTGGCGAAGGGCGCGCTCTCGATCCGGATCATGCGGCGGAGCCATCCACTCGGCCGGGCGCTGCTCAGAGCCGGACGCTGGCTGACCGGATCCGGAAGCTTGCTGACCAGAATCCGCCGGGCGCGTGTCAGCCGATGCCGGTGGAGTCACAGCAGCTGGCGGGGGGTTGGTAGGCAGGCCACCGGTTGTGGGCGGATGCTTGGGAACCGCTTTGGTTTGGATCACCGGAGCGGCAGGCTGGGTGGGAGCGGCCGGGGCAGTGCCATCACCAGCAGGAGCACCAGCACCAGAGCGGGCTCCGGAGGCGGCTTTGGAAGTGGCCAAATACCCGCCGGGGGGGTCCACAGGAGCGGCGGCAGGCACCGGAACCGGATCATTGGCGGCGGCCGGCTGCCCATCGCCAGCATTGTCGGCCGGGGCAGCAGCCGGGCCAGGTCCAAAGGACGGCGTAGTTGGGCCGGCTCCCAAGCCAGCCTGAGCGTACCGCAAGCCACGGGCCAGATCGCGAAGCGGGTGAGATCCTCCGAAGCGGTTCATGCTGGAAGCAAAGAACGGGAAGGATCGGGAGGCAGAAAGCTTGAGAGCGGGAATGCTGCTGGATGCGCGCAACCGGAGCTCAAGCATGATCAAGCAAATCAGAGGCGAACGGACATAGCGGGCAGTCCGGGCCTCCGCGGCGGTAGCAGCAGGGGTCGTCGCACCGAAGGTGGACGGACCGGACTGCGGCCTCAGAAAAAGAAATTGAAAAAAAAAAAAGGGGGGCTCACCGGAGGACCGAGCGCCAGACACGGGCACCGGAACGGAGGGTGAACGCCTGAAGCACAGCGGCAGATAACAGTAACCAAAGTGCTGGGGCCAACCAACCTCGAAGCGGAGGAAGGAGACCGGCGGCTGCTCGATGAAGTCGGAGAGGGCTGCCACGCGTTTGACACCCAACCGGACTCTAAGGCAATACCGGAAACCGGCCTCCCGGCGACGTCGAAGGCGACGACGGCGGGGCCGGGGAGTGGAGTCTGAGGAGGAACTCCTCGGCATCAAGCCGTGACAGCCTAAACTTTAACTAGCTGAACCGTACCGGCTGAGATGGCACGGACGGGCAGCTTAAGTCGAACGGCTGCGGTAGGACTTGCCGTTGCGATGCTTCCGGAATAAACAAACCACGAACATTCGAATCCCCACCCTATATTCTGCGACCAGCATCCTGACCACTCCCACACATGCAAAGACCACACAGACATGGATCGTAAACATCCTGTACTGTAGTACTGTAAAGACAGATCTTGATCTGCGTGTTGGTTCTTTCCCTTTCGTTAGCCCCTCTGTTGCCTTGCAAGTGCAAGGGTGTTCGCACCCACAGGCAGCCAGTCAATCAATCAATAACATTTTCCGCAACGAACAACTTAAAGCCTTGGCAGAACAGCCTCTTGCCCAAAGACCCCTCATAATCAGCACTGTGCACACTAGCAAGTCCTGTCCCAGAACCAAATGCGTCGGGGACAACGGGCTCTTCCAACTTCCCCCTCTGTTTGGGGCTGTGAAGCCCCAGACCGGTCATTTCTTGGACACTCCGACTTTGGGAACATCTCTAGGCCACAGGCCAGACAGCATTGTTTGCAAGCCAGTGCGAAAACGGCTTCCGATTAAGGGCGCCCGCAATCTGACTTGATGCTTCGCCATTGGTAGGCGTTCTCAGCTACCATGCTCATCAGGATATGTCAAGAAGAAAGTGCCGTGCACCCTGGCCACATGCACGGCCTTAATCTCCCATGCACAAGGGTTCCGCAGCTTCGCTTGTGCATGCGAGTGGGTGGGTGGGTGGGTGGCTGGCTGGGTGGGTGGGTAAAGAAGCGTGCTCGGAGCTGAGGCCCACTCTGGAACAGAAACAGGCGCTGCACGATGGATCATACGCTACGGATCCTGACCTTCAGGCCCTCCACGGCCTACTTCTGTCATGACCAGCACCATTGTGTGAAGGATTGCATTGCTTTCCCCTGCGACATGTCATTCACTGTCATGCTACCCTCTGCACACAATCTTCGTGTATTCTCGCGCACATGAAACGATAAACTCAACTCAGCGGCCGTGCGTTGTTTAGCATTGCCTTCTATGTACACTTGTGGCAGGCACTGCCCGACATGAAATGCAGCTTCTCCTCCTGAGCAACTCGACAGTCGTATGAGTTCAGGCACAACTGAACGCAATCAATCGTTGCAAATTGCAGATGATCAATGAGCGTGCTTGTTTTGGCACGGAGGGCATGGAAGCCGGGAATCACCAGCTCACTCACATCCAAAGCGGCAGGCTCATCCTCATGCAACGCTACTCCATGCCGAAGCGAGGGGACTGCCAAGTACTGCTGCTGTGAAACTGAAGAACTGGGTCGATCTCCTCCATACCGCAAGCTCGCTGCCATGACGCACGCTGCCCACCTCAAAAAGTGAGCAGGTGCTTTCTGCTGTTTCTCTTGTGTAACATATTGGGGAAAAATATTTTTCCCCAATATGTTAGTGATTTCGGTGTCTTCGCCGATCCCCCTGGCCACCAGCAACATCTCTCGTCCCCCAGCTGGACAAAGGCCAAGCCACCTGCGAGGCTTAACTTATAAGTAGGCTTCTAATTGGGATAACTCTAATATATATATATATATATATATATATATAGGGTACTTTTAACTCTATACTTATAACCTAGTGCAACTACCCTTCATGGGACTGGGCCTATGGTCTACGGCAGTCTGCAAGTCGTCGAACGATTGAACTTGCCGACATTTGCCGACTCGCCTGGCACCGTGATCAGCAGGTAGTTGCTGCCGAAACCTGCGAAGGAAAACTGCATGACATGATGCTGCTGCAATTTACCCTGCATGTTGAATGCTTTTTGTGTGCTTCATGGCAGTGGTGAACGACACCTGCGGCACCCTGCCCCAGACAAGACGAAATCAAAGGCCCGGCATCCCTCAAATTAGGAGCTTCAACAACTAGAGCTCTTGTTTCAGGGAGTGGGCACAAATCAAGATGAGGCCTTTTGACAGTGAGAAATTTTGTTAAGATACAAGAGAGTCTCTGTCAGCTTGCAGGACACGGGCACCACAACACTTGCAGATGTTTTTATAGAGCGCTTCGGCCAAGGAGCGTTTCTGCATAGCTGCCAGAAAGATCGTGGAAAAGAAGCCTGGATGCGAGGTGAAGCGATGTGGGTGCATATGCGCATGGCTGCGAAGAAGGTATGGTGTTGTTACACATCGATGTTCTTGCACATGCCGACATCATGCCAGGATTCGCAGCTCTTCCATTATGTCAATCAGTGGTGACAAAGACGGTACCGAGCTCTTTCCACGCAATGCGTACTTTGTAGTTTATCGCAAGGAATGCCTTCCAGTTAAATTTCAAACGTGCTTTGCACAGACATCTCTCAGCAGTAGCAACCCAATTCACACCACAGAATCCAGAAAATCAGAATATGCCAAAACCCCTGTGGCTTCGATTCAGCTCAGCCAGGCAACGTCCCATCACGCTGCAATGCCAAAGCCTTGGCAATCACATGTAGCTTTCGCGGCTCCGGCTTTCAGTCGAAACGGGAATGCTTTTGCGGCAGTAAGGTCCACGCGGAGCTGCCTAGAGTCACCAAATCGGTCACCTCCGAACTAGCTCTCACGGGCACCTGGCTGAGCAGTCAGGGAGCATTTGCCAGCTTTGACTTGAAAATGTCACGTGCACGTAAGGCAAAAAGGGAAGAAACAAGTCTAGATTCAGAACAAGTACAAGCCAGTATACTGTCTTACTGACTTGCCACATGACTACTACATCACTACCGGAGACTTTAGACGACTGCTCGGTTTCAACGATCTCGGCATGCCACACATTCGCGTCTTCAGCAGACATCGGGCACCTCCAGCAAGGGCATCAGGGCCGCTGATGCCTTGTGGTCCTCGCAGTTTACAAGGCTGCGCAGGTTCCAAAACAACGGCGATGGTCATGCAAGAACCCTTTTTTGACGACACTACCGTAGCTGGTTAAACTATGTCACTGGAACACAAGTAATGCACACTCCAAGACGAGCTGAGCACAACGGGATGGACTGCGCAGCAATCCGATGGTACTCGAACGACGACGCGCACAGCAGGACAGACAGGTGCTGCAAGAAAAAACGACTGCGACCTTGTTGTATGCAAAGGGTAGAGGCTCTTCCTGGGATAGCAGCGAGCAGGCCTGCGGCAATCCTGCTGCCTTCTGAAGTTGTGAACCGAGCTGGACCAAGGCGTTTCCCTGCGCTGAAATCTGCAAGACAACATCGTTCATGGAATCAGCATCGAGAAGCCATTTAACGACAGGATCATCCAGGTGCACAGAGGACAGCTTTCAAATCTTGTTGCCCGGGAGCATGCGAAGTGCGGTGAAACAAGATTACCAAGCAAGGCTTGCTTTGCTCGCAAGCCTGCATCGGGCTTGCAGCCAATCACTATTTGGACTGTCCCAGCATGTCTGTCTGTCGGTCACCGCAAGCTCACGGACTAGATTTGAACTCAAGAAAAGCTTCATCATCTGATGTACTTGCTGTGTCTTGTAGTCGTTCTACGCATGGTTGAAACTACGTAGGCTGCGATCGGTAATTCTCTTCTTTTCTTCGGTCATGTCGGCCGTTCGACGGCGACTGGGGTGACACTGCAACTTAGCCTTATTAGGCCAGATGCATCAAAGTAATCTCACCTGAGCGACAACCGGCTGTGCTCCCAAGGGAACCTATCTGCAATCATAGTATAATGGGCCCCAAAACCCTATACAAATCATTAAGCTACCTGTAGCCTTCCTTTCTGGGTCGAGAGGCTCGTGACAAAGATCAACCGCGGAGCTCCTCGAGTTTGCCTTGGCGGCACTTGAGGGTAAGCATTGTAAGCATGTTAGCCCCTGCGCCGCTCTGCTTCAATTGGAGCATGCACGGCTCGATCTATAACGATGCGGGGCCGGCAAACAGGCCGGCAGCCTAGCTGCTTAGCTGTTGGGATTTGCACTTCCTGAGTCTCCTGCGCTCGACCATGCTGACAAACCCAGCTTTCACCTGGTCCGTGTTGTAGTAATGGACACGAAGCAGCTTTCTCAGAAAAGTTTGGCTGTGACGACGACGTGACTATCTATATCGCGAACCAACTGCAACTGGGATACCTGTCCACATGTTCATAACGCATCTGAATCCATCTAGCTCTAGCAGAACATCTGTCGATTACCAAGGGGCCTTCTGCCACACTGGCACAAGCTGGTCTTCCGCGATTGCGCCTGCCAGACACTGCAAAAAGCAAAATGTCACGGGCACACCTTGACTTCGGGGAAAACTTTCGCGAGTCCAGGCTGAGCAGGAGCTTTGACACAACCAACGACACAATCTGCACTGTGCTTTCACTTTCGGCCTAACACCTTGTGCGGGGACTGATCAAGGTTTGCAATCGGAGGAAGTGAATTCGTTGGGTGGGCAAGAGAGCGAGAGAGAGAGAGAGAGAGAGAGAGAGAGAGAGAGACAGAGAGAGAGAGAGAGAGAGAGAGGAGGTAGGCGGCACTGTTTGCAGAGTCACGTGTGCAGTTCAGCGAGGCCTGTCGCATCAGGATCGAGTTCCTCACAGGCTGCGATCCACTGCTCTCCAGCGAAGGCGTTGACCTTGTGATCCAGTGCTCCGTAAGTCGCCGCTTTCACACCCAGCTCCCGGCCTTCTCGTCTTCCGGCAGGCCGTATGCAGACATCCTTAATGACTCTGGCATCGGGCTCGCTGGGCATTAAGAAAGTTCGATGTGGCTGCATGGACAGTGGGCTGCAGCGGCGGATTCTCAATGCAGTCGTGAAGCAGATGTGATAGCAGTGAAAGCGTAGGAGAATCCTGGCACGGGTCAGATGTCTTGGGCAGTAGCATCAGCAAGAAGCTTGACAGCTCTTGCGCAGAAAGGATGCTCGCCGTGAATTTGTCCTGGATGGTTATGGAATGGAATGCTATGGGAATCGTTTCTCGGGTTTGTGCTTCTGCTTGAGACATTGAGAGAGTCATTCGCTCTTGAGGTGAAGGCTGAGAAGCTAGGTCAAGCATGGGATTCAGGACTCAGGCTTCAAGGTTTACGAGTCAATCTTGAGGGAGTCAGACTCTGGCTCACTATTGTATACAAGTACGATGAAGAGAAAGTGGTCTTGTGCGACAGCGTGCAATTCGTGACAATCGGCCCCGACCACGTCTTGACACCGCTATTTCCTACGGTTGTGGCGACAGTGCGTCGAATCGGCCAGGGTGCCAGGCGTAGTTCTCTGAGCAGAGATTACAGTAAAACAGCGCAGGCACGAGATCGCAAACTACATTATGTCTGTGTTGATGCTCACTTGGGAAGACCCATTGACATCAGCCCGTCAATGCATCACCTACCAGGACCTACCAATGCACACAGAAAGAAAGTGCTGTAAACGTCCGTGGGTAAGGAAATGCCAAAGATGCCCGTAGATCTTGTATCTTGTATTGCATGTTGCCACACCACCCGCCGCCCGCCCCGCCCAGCCCCGCTCCCACACCCGCAACCTGCCGGTCGTTATGGGGGACGGGCGCACCTCGTCCAGCTTGTAGGACAGCTTACCGTCGGCCGCAAAGGTCTCAACCTCTTGCCTGGCTTGTGGTTTCTCTCTGATCCTGTGTGCGTGTGCCAGGCAGATGGCGACTTCACAACACCCGAAAGATCCCGAAAGACTACTGTACGAGAATGTCATTGATCGTTCACACCACCCCGACAACAACTGCGAGCCAGGCGTGTGATCGACCGAGACTTAGCTAGACCCACTGCCGACTGCCTCACTGTTGCCAATGCCTGCGCCGCGAGGTCATCGGTTTGCGCAGCCTCCCGTGGAGATACGTCAATTGCAGCACGTGCGCAGCTCAGGTGCGGCGGGACAATGCCTGGACGGCCCGAGGCGGCTACCCCAAAAAACAGATCTGCATTACTGTGTCCACCCTTCCCGGTGAGCTTCTCAGCCTTGGCTTTCTCTGCCTCCACCTTCCTTGGTGTCCGGGCGATGGACGAGAGAACAAAGAACAACCCCTCAAACAAGCACGTCCGATCTGCCACTGTTCGTCGCGATGCCAAACCTGTTATTCTGCCCAGCATCTGAACGTACAGCTTGACTGCTTTCTTCCGGCTCTCCTGCAACAGTCGTAGGGATCATCATTTTTCAGAAAAGTCGGCACGTCCCGCACCAGCAGCCCATCCTCGCAGAAGGGGGAGACTTTGCTGACTTCAACCTCCTTCTCGGCCAAGTCATCCATGTACCTGCCCAGCCACACGTGGACTTGAACCACTTGAGCCTTGGGAGCTGTCCTGACTTTTGCGGGTCCAACGAAGTAAGCTGGAGCCACAGTCTGGTCCTGTGCATCGAAAGCATGACAGAGCGGAGAGCTTTCCAGGAACCAGAGAACAAAGCAGGGTGAAGTAAAGGCTGCGACGGCTGCCCGCGCAAAATGACAGATTCGTGGCTTGTAGTCCCCGACTTGATAGCAGCAAGCTGAACCACCGACAGCAGTGATAAGCTCGACCAGCGCAACCAGTCCTCTATCTCCGGAAGTGGCGTGGCCATGCAAATGTCCCCGACCTTGCAATTCTGCCATAGCTCCGAAACACAACTTCCAGGTAGACTCAGGCGTCGGCATCGCAGAACGGATACATGTACTTCTTGTAGAGATAACCTTGTTTAGCACCGGTTCTAGCCGAGCTCATCCTCATGCTTTCAACTCCGGTACACATCTGTTGTAATCTTCTGTCATGTAGAACAGTTTGGTTCACCCATGCCCTCTAGGATGTACGTGCCAATCAAAGCTTTTCCTTGCAGCCCTTGACCCTGCCGGAGGGCATGAGGTGGTGCCCCATTCCAGCTCCAAAGAGTCCGAGTGCTTCAACCTCCAAGGAGTCCCAGCCATCGGATGGCTTAGGGCTTTTAGCGGTTTTAGGATGTAGGGTTCAGGGGTTTCAGGGGGTGTAAAGGGCTTCGGCGTTCAAGGAGACGCAGCGACCTCCAGCCGTTCGGATCGTTCTCCGCAGCTTCGAGCTCAATCTCAATGCCTGCCCACTGCCAACTCTGGCATCGGTGCCAACTGCGGGAACTCACTACGAACCCGAACCCCAAGGCCTTAAACCTAAGAAGCCCCAAACCCCAAAACCTAAAGCCCAATAGCCCTATAAGCTCCAAACATCTCTCTTTAATCCTCTACTTGGGAGTTTCCGAATATAGGACCCTACAGTACCCTAAATAGTAGGATCCCTATTATAAGGACCCCACACATAAGGTACCCCTAATTTTCAGAAACTCCCACTTGGGCTCCCTCCGCGAGCCTTTCGGCTCGACGCCCCGCTGGGCCAGGGCCTTTCGGGTGGCCAAGGCCCGACGTTTCCGCGGCTCGCGGTTCACCTGCAGTTTATAGGGCTTGGGGCTTTAGGGGTTTAGGGTCTCGGGCTTTAGGAATCCAAGAGTTCAGGGTTGCGAAGAAATTCTACGAAGCAACCTGGGTCTGCTAAACGCTGGCTGCATTGCTGGTGTCATTCCACAGCGGGAGATTGTCTGCCAAGCAGACGTTTGGACGTAGGCTTGCTTAGGTAAGGTCCTGTCACTGCAAATGTCCTCACGACCCATGCTTTCGTTACACCTGCCATGTATACCGGACACACCTATAAGATGTGGGAGCAGGTTGCCACGACCGGCTAGAGACTTAAGGCCCCTGCGTCCACGACCAGCGAGTCCTCCAGCTTCTGAGTGACTGTCATGAGGCAAGCGCCTGCCACCGTCAGTGAAATGTAGGCATTCACATCGGCACGGCAGAAACAGCCTCAAACAGCTGCTCATTACGAATCAAGCTAGATCTGCATAACTGAGGTCGTCAGCATGCCGGAGCAACAGCAAGACTTGCCAACCAGATGCGTAATGAGAAGACTGGCTACTAGTAGCAAGACTCGCTGCGAGTCACATTCCTCACGCCAAGAAATCCGCAAGTTGTGTCGAGACTTGCAGAGAGGTAAGATAATCTCAGAGGGAGGGTTTTACTCATGCTTTGCTAGAGCTACAATACCTTCCGAGATGACAGATCCAGCTTCAAGACTCCAGGCAACCGCCTTCGGGCATCTTCTGAGCCAGCTTCGCCACCGCTTGCATTTCCGGGTCTCCGAAGGTTGTGGCAACCACCACCGCGAACGTTACCTGGACATGTTGCCGACAATCGCTCTTCGCTCGGTAATCAACCAATGGCCTTTTTTGTGGGGGTGGGTGGTGCTACGAGTAGCTAGTCAAGCTAGCCAGGGTCCCCTGGCAATTTCGTGGGCCTCCGGGACAATTGCCTCCAAGACCGAGTCGAACTCTGCCACGAAGTCACCTCGGCTCGATATCATAGGAACGGAGACTCTCAAGATTGCCGCGAGAATCTCGGGAGCATGCCCTTCACAAAGCTCAGCTCCGGCTTGGTCATGCCTTCTGGAAGTTCGACCTGTCGATGTCTTTGAGAGTCTCTCCACAGCTGTCGGTGATGCGATGTCAGCTCAGGTGCTCGGGCCTCTGCAAACTTTGCCTGCACGGCGGCCTCGACGTCGTTGAGGCTCTGAAGCGTTTCGACGCCGATGATCTCAAGAGGCTTTGCTGAACTCTGGTCCAACCCGAACCCTACACTCGAACTAGGTCCACGCTTCGCGGATGTACTCTGTTACCACTAGCTCAAAGCCGCGGGGTCATTGAGGAACCTTGGCCCACCAAAGAGCATTGGCGAACGGTGGCCGATTGGGTGCTGGCATCTTTGCAACAGTATTATGCTTCGTCTTGAGGAAGTTGTGACGGTGCGCGGGGGGCGCAGCAGTAGTGATCTTCAAAAACATCTTCGCAACATGACACCTCTTGCAGTTCAGGCATTTCCGAGCCTTCTGGAAGGGATGGAGCAGTGCTGCTGCCAAGCAGTTCTTGCCGGCGCCACTACCCAAATCCAGAAAGACACCTGCGTGCAATTGCAGCCACGCTAGTTCCCGCTTCTAGACCGGGAGACGCAGGCTATCCATACTTGCTCCCGTCTGCAATGGGTCGTGGAAAGCAACTACAGGTTCTTCTGTAAACAGGGTCGCACGAACCACCATCGGCATTCAATTTCTGTACAGACCTCCTCCCTGCAGGCAGTCAAGCAACACCGCATTCGGCAAGGCTCTCATTCGCATGCTGAGGAAGGAGGAAGCACCGAGAGTCGCTACTCGGTGCTCCGTGCAGCTCGTAAGGTGACAATTCAACTGCTTGAATGCCACCGCGACCTACACAAACTACGACTACATCACTGCACAGACAGCTGATGAGGGCGGTGGCCGAGGTCTCGCAGATAGCTCTCGCACTTGGCGGTTCCCACCAGAATGCTGCGGCTTTACTGAAGAAAGCTCCTCTTTGCCACGTTTTGAAGGCATGCTCGCCGAGCGCCGGTGATCTTCCTCCAGGGTCTTAGACCGAGATTGCCTCGCGCTCGGGGCGCGAGCAGCTGCATTCAGTGTCTGGCGCTGTTGCCTGGCCTGCTCCCTTACATACTTGGAGTACTTCCCCTTTTTTGGGCCTCAGCAGCCCATGGTGACCAGAGTCTCGTCTTCCAGAGGACAGGGCACTGCGACCAGTCAAGTGCGGCGGATGTAGCACCGGTCTTGAGCCAAGTTCAGCGGGTTGCCGAGAATTTTGCAGAGTGGCCACCTGCTCTGAAAAAGAGAACATGTTACATATTGTGCAGTATGCTACGTGTATGTGTGTGTGTATATATATATATACGTATGTATACAGACCGCTTCCATCTTACATGTACTGTATCTTACCTTACTCAAAACAGGAAGCCAGCGAAGTGCCTCGATTCGGGAAAAGGGGTCCGCACTTCTCCTGCAGGGCCGGCATCGAACATCATAGAATCCACTGCGACAGCTCTCGTAGAGTTCCAACAGATTGGGAGTTTCCAAAAATTAGGGGTACCTTGTTTGGGGGTCAATTTGATAAGGCTCCTACTATTCAGGGTACTGAATTAGGGCCCCCTATATTCGGAAACTCCCATTATGCCCAATGCATCAAGTGCATCTCCTTCACGAGGTTCACGAAGCGATCCATCTTAGTTTATTAGCTTTTCGTCATGCGGGTGCCGGAGGCACCAGGTCAAGCAAGAGCAGGTAGCAACACTGCAACATGCCATACTCAACCAAGCTGCCACGGAGAAGCTCAGCTCGCTATAGGCAAGGGCGATGTTGGGTTCAGGCGCCTGGGTGATATTACACGTGTATATGTGTATGCACATGTTTGTTGTATGTACTACTATGCTAGAGTTAGAGTTCTGCTGGAAGGAAATCCATCGGCCTCGACCACCTCTGGCGCATCCTCGCCTTCCTCACGAGGCGGTGGCGCCTGGGGCTGCCATCTAGTGGGCAAGTTTTTCTTTAAGCACAGGCCATGTGTTCAGGGCTCGTCTTCAGTCGTACCAGCATTCAACAGATTCTGGAAGCAAGCAGCGTGCAGGTGACCTCACCTGCTACTATGAAGACAGCGAAGTTACAATCGAAAGTGGGTGTCTGAGGATTTGTTGCAGGGTTAGTGCTGACAAGTGATTTCCCGGTACCCCTCAAGGCAGAACGTGGGAGAGTGGCCGCAGATTTGGCATCACAGCTGGCTTTCAGCAACAACCTGGCCTCCTTCTCTTTCCGTTCGGCCATGGACTTTTGCTTGACCTTCCCAGGCTAAAACTGCATGGAACAAGTTCTGACGCCCCAGTAGGTTCAGACACCATAGAACACTACTGCTAGATGCCAGACTACTGGTCATGACCATTTACTAGAAGACTTGCTCGCCTCCAAAGCTGGATGATCCTTGAAGAGTTCTTCAAAGATTGCGGCTCGTGCTTCCAGCTCCTCTTCCTGGGTCCCATTGCGCTCATGCGCTCGAAGATGTCGACAGCAACAGTTCTGACTTCAGTACAGACACACATTATTGAACCCTTGCCTATCTCGCTCAAAGGACCAAGCCGACTTTAAGGGATCGAGCAGACGAAGCTTTCGCCACGAAGCATCCCAGAGTGGTCCGTTTTTGTCAGAGTCACCAACCAGCTCGACTCTTTCGTAGCTTCATTGCAACAAAGCTTCTGTCAAAGGAGGCACGGGCTCTGGCGGCACCTCGGCCGCCTGCCGAACGGATCCAGAACACCCGGCTCTGTCCCGTAGCCGTGTGAAGGCACTGCACCCACTACATGTGTTAGAGAAAGCAATTGCATACCTGGCGCTCCTTGGGCGAGCTCCAAGGTTTGCGCAAATCGTTAGCGGGCTGCATGGGGGTCAATTGCACGCGAGGTTTCGGCCCCCCACCTCCTCCTCAGCCATGGCCTGAGAAAGCAATGAAAAAAGCAACTGCAAGACAAAACGACTCACCTCCCTCAGGCTTGGAACCACGAAGTGTAGAGTATACAGATGCAAAGTGAGGCCTTCTGTGCCGCTTTGTGTCGCGGGGAGGGACAGAGGGTCCTTTTGAAGGCTTAAGCCGCCGCATCAGGAAAGCTTCACGCGAGCCAACAATCCATGTTAGACATTCCCTAAAGCTTGGCCGCGACCTGCAAGTGAAAGGACAGCCACTAACACCACAAACGCCTTTCTGCTCTGAGCACTGGCGTACAGCTCCCAGATATCTAGCCCATCGGCTGTTGGATCTCACGCAGAGCACAAGCTCATCTAGCTTCGAAGATCCGGCTCATCTCGCTTCAGCCAAACAGCAAGGATTTTGCCACCTCCTCCCGGGTAGGGGAGCAGATGGAAAGACACAAGGAGTTGCAACAAAGATGTCCGGGCAGGCACACTGCTTGGAGCTGTAAGACATGGGCACCTCCTTGAGGTCATTGGATTATCACTGCTGTGAGTCTTGGAATCCTTTCGGCGAGCGTGGATATGTAACACGCAGAAGGTAACGGTAGCAATGCCGTGCAGAGTGTGCCTGCACTCTCCAAGAAACGATTTATTGGCTCTGATGAACGATATCCACTGGTGGGATCAAAACTCCTGTCAAAACGGCCAGTGCCTCCACTGGCATTTCGCGGCTGCTTCGCACAGCAACCCGCAGCTCTTGATACCCTGGGCATACGACCCGACATCGGGCAGCATGAAGTCCGTACGTAGGTTCTGTTCCATGATGCGACTGACACATATGGGAGTTCCCGAATTTCGGGGACCTTAATATAGTACCCTAAATATTAGGATCTTTATTATAAGCACCCCAAAATAACCCCCTATGACACTGTGCCAAGAATCGTGCAGAACGGGCCGCTTTACGATACATACGAGTAGCTCAGTGGGGGGAAGAAGGTTGTAGGTGCTTCGTACGCGCGCGCAGGCATGTCTCCTAGGTGGGCTACCTGTGCCGGTGGTAAGAGCTGCAATTGCGCCGAGGGCGTTCTGACACATGTCGAGCTCTGTTGGAATGCGTGTCCGTCTTGCATGCCCAGGCTACACTTCCTGAAAACTTTCCAAATCAAAAACACCCGCTATTTCGGTGTCCGGGAGCATGTCTTTGACATGCTGGGTGAAACTACGGGGTTGCAGCTCTGCTGCCTTGCTAGACACTTTTCTCCACACCATATCAAACAGTCATGCGCACCAACAAGAAACACAATAGATCCTAGCACGGGATTCCCGTCTGCAAAATCCCCTGCACCAGCCGACTGGTGAACGTCAGTCACTGTTTGTCAGAGGGTCACCCACGTCTGGCCAACAACATGCGGACTTGCGCTTGCCTGTGCCTACACAGGATGGAGAAGTTACCGAGGGAGGCGTTACCAGCGACAGCAAGTAAAGCCCTGCTCTCCGAAGCGAGCCATGGCCCACCGGGGACTGTTTGCGAGTTGCAAGATCTCCAGCTGGGGACGTCTCGATGGTCGTGTCCTGCAATCCCACTGGATCCCACATGCGGTGCCGCAACAAGTGGATGACACCTCATGGGTGTCCTGGAATGCTTCATGACAAGCAGTCCTCGTAGTCAAAAGGATGGTTGTGCTTGAAGGGCTCCAGATCCTCTCCGAGCAGAAGCTGCAACTTCGTGCAACACTTCGCACCAACACGCGGCTAATCCCCGCTTCCTTTTCAAGCTTTGGGTAGTCTGGATTGGCACTCTGATAGTCGAGGCACGCCTCGGTTGCATAGGCAAAGGATGCGAAGCATGCGAGACGGTCAATAGTAAAACTATGAGCTAAGAAGTGCACCCCTGTCTCCCCGATGGTTTGCCCTGGGAACCACCACGGTGCAGCAGCAGCAGCAGCAGCATGTGCAGCCGCTAACACAAAAAGACTCCCTCAAAAACAGGCAAAGACAAAGAGGTAAAAGGCTGCCAGATTTTGCCCAGAAGCTCGTTTCAGGCAGTCAACCCACTCACCGGGCTTCCGAGGAGCAACGAAGTTAATCATCCACTTCGGGATGATACCCTGGCCCCAAGTGAAGGGTGGAACCCCCCACAAGTCAAAGGACAACGTGGAGAGAACATGGCATCTGGCCTTCACATCGGTCATTGTCATCAGAAAAACTTTGGTGCCCTTCTCCTTCCTGCTGGCGACGCTTCCACTTGCTTGCCGCGAAAACTAGGCTCAACCCGAAAAATATCTATGCACTTCGTGCATCTCCCTGAGAGCGCTGCCCATCGTCGTATGGGCGCATGACGTAGCCGGAAGTGAACGACTCGGCACGGATGTACCTCAGCTCTTCACGACTCATCGCGACTCCAGGACTCACCGGAGAGGACACCAAACCATGTCCGACAGTTCCTAAGCCCCCTGGTGCTGAAGGATGCAGGATGCAGGGGACCAGTGAACTTCGAAGGCAAACATGCAATCACGGAGAGACCGTCTGTTCCTGCAGTGCTCAGCATGCAGCCCGTTCTTCTCCGGCATGTCGGGGTGGATGGCCGAGCGAAGACTGATGAGAATTGTTCCGTCCTGTTGCGCATGCTTGGTTCGGGACCACCGGCGAGACCTCCCAGCCATCTTTCTCTTGGCCCAACTTCGTTCGGAATCCCAACCCTGACTTGTTACCCTGCTTACTTACTAGGACCTTAGGATCTGACCACAGCTGGCAATGTTGGCCCCACAAGTGCTTGTCTTCTTGGTTAAATAGGCCTAATGGCAGCCGCTTGACTTCCTACGTCCCATGTGCCCTGTACAAGTTCAAAGAGCTTTCGACACCCTCCTACAAACCCTACAAGGTAAAGTTGAGCAGCCTGTGCCTTCTCATTTCCGCGAAACTCCTTTACTAATACTCAATTAGGTTCCTAGTAGGTTCAAAGCTCGTGTCTTCACTTCGTCTGCAACTTGTAAGCATAGAAGGTTCTGAGTCCTTTGGCTTGCGCTAGATGTTCTTTCTCAGCCCTACCCTGCCGTGACTGTTGCGAGTCGCTCGAAAGCAAAGCGTTGGCGCAGCACGGGCACGGAAAAAAACCGAAACCTTGGTGTTAAAATTGCCTTCGCAAAGCTGCATCATATATCCGCTGGTCTTGCTCAGCAGTTTCTGTATAGTTGGGTATATGAGCTTGTTTTCATAAACATACTTCTTGCTGAACATGACCCAAAATTGTCTTGGCCTACTCTCTTCTCTCCATAGTCTATGCTGCTAGCGGAACTTGATGTAAACGAAACTTGCCTCAACGGATCTACATCGGAACTTCGTAAGATATGGCCAAGAAGTTTCGCCTTCGTGATATTTAGTGACCGGTAGAACTTTCCTGGTGTCGCCAGGACTTGGGAATGCTTCATCAGATGCTGCTGCAAGAAGTCTGTGATTAATATTTGTGCGGCTGATATACGTCGAAGTCATACCCACAATCTTTCGCGAACCACGGTATTGAAAGGCATCCAGCTTCTTCGCCAAAGCAGGTGTAAGATGAATTGTCTCTCAACCATAAAGTAGCTTACTACGGATGATCGCATCATACACAATGCTTTTCCATGTCTTTGTAGCTCTGGTTGCCTTCCAATACGCATTCAATTCAAGCCATGTGCAGCGAACTTCTTGCATCTTGTTCAAGATTTCATGTGCGATGTTAGCATCCCTATTTATCTCATTATATGTGAATGTACATACATATATATGCCTGCAGACAAACAGACAAAGACATACCTACAGGCGGACGGACAGACAGATACACAAACCAACAGGTAGACAGATACATAAACATGTGTGTGCCTGAGACCTATCTATGTCAGATATCCGCATGAAAATGGCACACCAAAAGCACCATGCGAGCAAGCCCTCTTTTGCATGGTGGATTGGTGTGGCTGCCGACTCCCGGGATATTCCTTCGGTCGAAGACCTCAGACTTTTGAAGAGGCCGTTTCAAGCAAAGGAGGGTCCCCTCCTTCAGGGCCTACGGCACCTGGGATCGGGAACCCTCCTTGTACAGAAAAGAGAGTTCCAAAATTTTGTGCCGTCCAGAAAGAAGCCGAAGCCGCAGGATGGACGGCACAAAAGAACCCCAAAACTGAAAGATGTCGTCCATCTAAGGCTGGCCTTTGGAGGCCAGTGCCTTGTCCAGGTCCTGGTAGGTGACCTTTTCTGCTTCCGAGGCCGTGTCCACGGAGTCATCCGTGAGGCTACCTGAGGAGGCTGATTCACTGGAGTCTTTCGCAGGGGGACATCCCCCCCTCGAAACTCCGCCGGCAAGGAGAACTGGAGGAAGCACCTAGCACACAGGTTGTAGGAATCCACGTCGCCCTGGTAGTCAATGGCGTTCAGGGCCTCCACCTTGTCCATGGAAGGGCTCCAGCCACAGCCCACAGCTCGGAGGTCCTGATTCAAAAGATGGATCCGCTTTTTGTTGCAACTTAGTAGCCACCGGAGTGAGAGGCCCTTGGGGCGGATGAGTCGCGCACCGGACGCGGAGGGCTCCCCCCCTCAGGGCCACTGGCACCTGCGACTGGGAGCCCACCAGCAGCAGGACTCTCCTGGGGGTGCTGTGGGTCCTCGCGGGAGGTCAATGACCGAGGTGCGGGCGCCGTCCGTGTCGATCTTGTCCAGATTGGAGGTGACCTTTTCCCAAATGGCGCAAACCACGTTCCTCTTCTCCCGTGTGTAGACATCAGCAGTACTTTCAGCCATCCAGTTGCCAAGGTACTGCCTTTGATCACGAGGAACGTGGGCTTGGAAGGCACAGTCCGGCATGAAGACCCGGAAGGAGTGCCAGGTGAGTCCCTCCCACAGGGCCTTGTCGATCTCCTGTCTAGACATGGCCGAGCGCAGCCAATTCAGGGCGCGCTGTGAGGTGGCAGGCCTCGAAATGAAACCATCGTAGTCCTTACCAACGGTCGGGATGAGATAGTCCATGGTGTCGAACATGGGGGTCGCAGCCAGTTTGCGCCAAGTGGAAATGAGAGGAGTCCACCAGTCCTTGCCCGAGAAGGAGTACTTGGGGCAGATGAGGGGGACCGGCTTCTTGTGAATCGTCACCGCCGAGTGGGTCTTGGTCTGCCATGCTGAAAACTCGATGGTAGTGGAGGTCACCTTGAGGCTTGAGGGTCACTGAAGCGGGCACTGGAGCCGAGCTGGAACCTTGCAATGCCACAGATGAAGGCGTCCATAAGCTCGATTCTTGTGGCCGAGCTGGAGAGCGGGCGAGCTGCAACCTCTTCCGCCTGAACCACGAAGGACTTGGAAGGGACCTGAGCTTTCCTCATCGGACGGTGGACCGTGCTAACGAGGGACTCAGAGAGGGACTTCTTCTTCTCAGTGAGCCGAAAGGCCTCGTCAACAGCAAGGAGCCCGAACTTTTTACCAAAGCACTTGAGAGTGTCCCACACCTGCTGAAGTTTGTGAGGGGACACTTCCTGATCCCGAAGAGTGTTGAGGAGAGCACGAACGTCGTGTTCCCTTCCAAGGTATGGCCGTGAACCCAAGACGCCTGAGCTCTTCATAGGAGAGGCATCGCAGGTGCGGAACCTGGCGTCGCCTAAGAGATCCATGAACTCCCCCTTCAGCTCGAGAGAAATGAGGGTGGTGCCAGGGGGCATTATAGCAGCCATGTGCGGGATCTGCCCAGCCACCGGAAGGAGGTAAGAAATCTCCCGCAGGCCTCGTTCCAGGGCCCGCTGGTTTGTGGATTTCCGGGCTTCCAATGTCGCCATCGGCTCACCGTACAGGGGGCAACCAGGACCCCCTCTCTCAGTTCACGCCAAGAGAGGCGATCAAGCTCCGCCCGTCGTTGAACCACTTCCGACGCCATCTTGATCTCCACCATCGCCTCCTGGCCCAGGGAGTTGGAGAGTGAGCTGTAAATCTCCGGGAAATGCCGGAAGGCCTTCAGGGCAGGGTGATCCGTTCATCGCATACGGCTCGCAGCCGCATGTGCGCCTTGGAGTCGTGGATGTCCGCTACAGGGAGGTCCAAAACCACCTGCGGCGTCCGGTTGATGAAGACCTTGGCGGCGAAAAAGCTCCCCATCTCGCGATAGAGCTGCTTCCACTCCTGGTCCGTCGTGGGCACCGGGAGGTCGTGCAGGATCACAAACTCTTTGGCCTCCTTCATGAGAGCGCGATGGTCATCACGCCTTTGAAGGTTCTGCTGTTTGTTCTTATCCCCCCGCTTGTGGGCCTTGATGGTGATCGGCAGGTGGCTCCAAACAGCATACAGGTGTCTGGCCGAGTAGGTGTGGCCGAAGCAGGAGAAGAGGCTTACCAGGTCCCACGTCTGCACTTCCTTTTGCCAGTGGGTGCCATCATCCCCCTCCGCATGGAAGGGCCCGATGATCTTGTTCAAAGGGGGCCTCGTGCGCATTGCGATCTGTGCCTCAATCTCCTCCAGGGTGAGGGCGATCGGCTCAAAGAAGGGCTGCCTGAAGGAGCAGGGGTGTGTCCTCATCCAACACGAGCTTCTCCGGTTCAGGGAGAGGCTTTGCCCACATCGGGGCCACGAGGGGGCCCTGCAGCTGCTTCCATCTGCCCCCGATCATTCGCTGCTCCCCCACGTGCAGCTGCATGATCTGGAACTCGACCGAGCCCAGGGGAACACCCAGAACTGCCTCAGGGGACTGCTCTTCAGGGCCAAAGGCACCTGCGGAGGACGGCCCCCTGCTTGAGTCCCGGGCAACCCGTTCGCCTTCACGCTGGAGCGCGGCCAGACTGGGGAGCTCCTGCAGCAAGGAGGCCGGGAAGGGGTTCCTGCTCTGGTTCAGCAGGAACTTCGTGTTGAGGTACCTGTCCTTCATGGCCTCAATTTCGTCCAGGTCCATGTCCTTGAGCGGGGTCTCCGGGTTGAAGACGTTCATCTCCAGGGCTCCACGATTACATCCAGCTGGGGATTGACGCGCTCCAGAAACTGCGCCTCCGTGGGCTTCTTGGGCTCCTTGTCCACAGGGCCCGCGCTCTTCTTCTTAATCTCCATCGCCGCCGCAAGTTGGGGGTGGAAAGCCCTGGTCTCCTGGCTCGGCTGCCAATCTTCCCGAAGGTGCGGGCGATCACCGGCGTCCTTGTCCGAAAACTGCACCTCGTCGAAGGGTTGGGTCGCCACCGTGTGAGCCAAGCTAAACCTGGTCGGCAAAGCTGAGCTCCTTCTGATCCGTAGGTCTGGGCGGGGGCTGGGCCCATGAGCCAATGTCCACGGAGGCAGCTGCCTTCTGGGCCTCGTCGGCATCCGTGTGCCAGGTCACTCCCTGGGGGGCACAAAAACATGAGCCAGGAAGCCGAGCCCAGCTTGATCTCTGCGGAGGGAGGGCCCTTGTCCACCGCAATGACCGACTTTTGGCAGAGCTTGCACTTCCCTCAAACCGCAAGTCCAAGGCAGTTTCGTCCACTTCCAAAGTCGTGAAGGAGGTCAGGGTGGAATTCACCGTCTCATCCTCATGGGCAGAAAGATTGTGTGCCAGGGTAGCACGGGCCAAAGCCACATCATCATCTGGCTTCTCCCATTCCGGATCACTGTCCCCTGTGTCACGAGGGGGAACCAAACTCTCAACCGTCTCCATGCTGGAGGCAAGGACGTCATCGACATTAGCAACGGGGGTGAATGCCATGATCGACGGTCGCGAGAGAAAAAGCGGGAGCGAAAGTAACAAATCTTTGAAGGACCCACGGTCCACGAACTTGGGCCAAAATGGCAGAGCCATTTTGGCAGACGTCTCCTGACATAAGACTTGCAAGTCGGCAAGCTTTGTTGCAAGTAGCTAATCTATCTTTCCGTCTTTCTCTGGGGCGTAAGGGTCCTTTCGCAGATCAGCGCCCCAGTTGGGGCGCCCCGCTATTCGGGGTTTTAGAGCTCAGGAAAGCTTCAGCAACGAGCCCAAAACTCAAACTTTATCGAGATTGCTGCAGGTCAGGAGGTCCCCCTCCGAGTCTTCTTCTCGCAGGCTTAAGAGGCGTATCCAGCCCCCGGCATCGAGCCCACCCGCCTTTTGCCGACTCTCTCTTTCTTTCTGCTGGGCGTCGGGGGTTGCGGTGCGACCCGCAGGCCTTTGGCCAGCCCAACCCCCCAATGTGTTATTGAGTGGTTGGCATCTCTCTCTGCCTCTGCGTTTGTCCATCTATCTATCTGTCCGTCTGTCTCTGTCTTCTGTCTCCGTCTGTCTCTTACGCGTGTCTCTCAGTCTCTCTGTGTGTGTCTCTGTCTTGCTTGCACACAGCCAAAAAGGAGCAGCACACCTCCCGCGCGCGAGCGAGCACTGGGTCTCCATCTATTTGTGAGACCCCCCCTGTCGGAACGATGCGCTGGCCGGCCGGGTCTGTTGTATCCCCTCCCAGTACTTTACCTATACGAACCCCGGCCTCTCTCTGTCTGTCTCTCTTTTCTTTCTGCCGCGCTCGCGACCCGCACGCACTCGGCCCGCGCGACCGCCAATTTCTATCTCTGTCTTTGTCTCTCTGGGTCTGTCTATCTGTCTCGGTTTTCGGTCTACCTACCTACCCACCCACCCAGCCATCCATCCACCCACTGGTTTACTTCTCTAAATATCCGTGTATTGATGTGTCTACGTAATCTACTTGTTTAGCCGTCCCTTTAGCCGTCTCTACCTATATATCTATATATATATATATATATATATATATATATATATATATATGTATTTACTTATGTGATTTATGTGTATGTGCCAGGCAGGCATGTGCACAAACACCTACAGCCGTGCCATTGAGGGCTTAGTGAACAGAAATTGTGCATGATGAAGATCCCTCGCAGGTCCTCTAAGACTTTGACCCGCCGGTACTGGACGTAGTCGCGGGGCGTGCACTTGGCCAGCAAGCAGACTGTCTTCATGCTCGAGTGTTGCGCCCGGGAGCGCTGTCTATCAAAATAGGAAATGGTGTCCGCGTCTTGAGTTCAAATTGCGCAAGCACTGGGCGCCGCACTGCGGGGACTCGCAACACGCTGTAGAGAATGTCGGAGCCCTGGCACGCAGGAGCATGTCAGAAGTATCGCAGCACGTTCTCAAGGTTTGTCGAATAAACTCTTGATGCCTCGATTTGGTCGAGGACCTTCATCTCAAAGAATGCCCGGTCCCACCTCAAACAGGTACGCAGTCTCAGCGCAAGGGCTAAAATCAGAAAATTGGAGCCAACCTATACTCCAAACTTCCACCGAGCGGCTCCATACGCTTCTCACATTTGTAGAACATGTGGAATACAACCGGCAACTCCACATCCGGTAGCGACGACCACGCCTCGGCAAACACAAGTCGACTCCGTTTGACTGAAGATGGTCTTTGACCTCACTGCCATGGGTTCCCGGCACGCAAGAAAATGCAGCCACCGCCATCGGATTGCAGCGTCTGGCGACAGAGTGTAATACAACCGCGCAGCTAAAGTCCGGCATGCCCACTACCTTCTGCAAGAAGTGGAGGCAGTGATTTCGAAAGGTTGAAGGGGACATGTTTTCTACAAAAGGTTCCAGGCAACATGCAGGCTGCTCGAAACTGAACTGCACGTAGCGGCGGCCTTGGCAACCTTGATTTCCTTGCGGTCGACGCACATATCCCAGCCTGGATGATCAGTCCTAGTCTCGGAGCTTGCTTTGCTGTGAGTACCTGCCTGCCTGTGGCCTGAACAGGATGTTGCTCATTAGTTAAACACTGTGAGAATCTGTGAGACACGCTTGTCCGATAACCCGATAATGCTGGCTGCCCATTCGGCGGCAAACGCACCTGTCTACCTCCTAATAGCCGGTTTGTCATCTGTCCGACTGCTTTGCCAGCACCACAGTCAATGCGCCTTGCATGTTTTGCGCCTCCTTCTCCAGCAAAAGGGAGAAACTTGGTGGTAACAGGGTAATGCCCAACATCTTGCTGAACATCTTCCGAGTTTCTTGAAACTGCAGTTCTGAGGCTAGTGCTCGCTCTGCGTGATCGGGATCCTCAGCTAGACAAGCGTGGCCCACAGCAGTGGCCAGTAGTAGCCACTGGTCACTCGTTCCTGGATCACAACTGCTGCCATTATCATGCCACGTGTTGCCAGGTTGGAAGAGATGCTGTGCAAGCTTTGTGTTGGCAGTTGTGACAAGCACCCGAAAAATCTCTGCTGCAAAATCAAGCAAGAACGGCGACGCTGGCAGCAACACCAACAGCTATAGCGGCTATAGCGGTCATAGAAACAGTCACCAGCAGTGGCAGTGGAAGCAGCAGGGGAAGGATCGTCATCACTGCCACCAGTGCTCCAGCATCATCGTCATCGTCGCCATCATCGTCGCCACCATCATAATCATCATCTTCATCACCATTATTGCAGCGGCAGCAGCAGCAGCAGCAGCGGCCCATTGTAGCTGTCTCTCAGTCTGCATGTCTGCGTAGACACAGCAGCATTCGCCAAATTGACCTGTAGCTTGCAAACTCAGGAACTTGTGCTTAAAGTTGTTGTCGAACTCCATGAAGTCCTGCGCGGACAAGACGAGAAGCACGGGGGTAAGGCCCTGATCCAGGAGCATCCAGGAATCCTCCCATGACCGGAAGAACGGTGCTTTGAGCACGCGCTGTGGTTCATCACCGTTCCTCCTAGCACTCGAGCAATGCGTTTCTTTTCTTGGGAGCAAAAGCACCTCGCTTGAACTGAGCGATATCGGTTCTCAGAGCCTCTCTCCAGAGTCGCCGCTTGAAGTGCGAGATATTTCGCTGGACCAATTGCCTGGCAGCCATCGTATCTTCGATCTTCGCCGGAGGTCGGAAGCTCCTCCCCTGGCCCTGGCGTCCTGGACGAGCTCCTGCGTTGGAGAGGACGTCCATGTCCTCGTGATCAGAGTCCTGCCATGCTGCAATGCTTGTCGAATTTCTCCGGGGAGTCTGTCTGCAAGACAGCAACAGGCAACAGGTGCCTCGTCGAGCTGTCGTTGTTCCCTTTCCTGTATGTGGCCCTTGGACCGGCTGCGCATGCTACCTCATTGGGCAGCCCGCCACACCCTCCCATCGAGTCACCAGAGGTGTGAAGCTCTCTGTTCTCTGCCTGTTCGAGCATCTTTGAAGATCATGCTTTCTGCCAGCATCGTGCTGCCCGTGGCCTGGCAAGAATCAGTGCAGAAGGATCTGGACAGATTCACCGGTTGTGTGCATCTCGCCCATTTGCATGGAAGCATGACGGCGAAGGTTTGAAGCTTGTGCAGAAGTCTCTACATGGCACTGCACCTGGTTCTTCGCAGACAGCTGCTGCTGCTGCCTGCTAGGGTCTGGCGCAAGAGCTTTGCAGACGAACACCATTGGCCAAGGTCGGGATGGCAACCCTGTAAATGACTTTCTTGGGCATGTCACTACAAGACCGGAGAGTTTGGTTGCAACACACAGATTGGCAGATTGTCTGCATGTTGCCCGCTAGATCAATCCACAGGGCGCAGCACTCCGTACGGTGTATTCTGCTGACACGAAGCAGCTGCAGCACTCATCCAACTTAGGCCCCCGCGAGATCACAAACCTGCGCAGGTGAGGACACTTCCAGATGAGATGGCATGGCTGATGCGGAACTGTCGAATGTGTTGGATCTCATACCTCCTCCGCCATTGCGCGACTGTACTGTTATTGAACTGCAACATGACAAATCACATTTTACTGCGTGGCAACGACGCTAGGGAGACAAGCACTACAGTTCATCGAAGTTAGTTCCAAGGAGGAGCATGCTGGCTTTTGCCAATCGAAGCCTCGAAGCTCAGATCCCCATGTGTCCAACTGCTGAAGGGCTGAAGGTTCTGTACTCTCGACGCTTCCCGAAGTTGCCTGACGAGCTCGTTGTCCAACAGCCGCTCCACGCGGATCACGAAATTCTCCTGTCCGGAGGCGACGGGACCCTAGATGTGGGATCGACATGGATCTATACTGGGCTCCAACATTGTCGGACATTCGCGCAATTCTGACCCGTGTAAGCAGCGTGCAGCACGCACCTCTGGCTCTGCCAGGACCCGTGAGGAGCAGCGATACATGACCAGAAGGGTTTGCAGGACTTGCCTCAGATACCATGGTAAGCCCGCTCTCCCTCTGCTGCCAATGAAATCGTGCCCACGAGCACCCTGAACTCGCATTGCTTGCAGGCCCCTGAAACTTGAGAGCAAAATCAACATGAGGCCAACAGTCTCGTAAAGAAATTGCGAGACGGAGATTGCACTTCACTTTTGCCCCTGCTGGTGCCGACTTCTTCCCCCGGAGCTCGGGATGTGGACTTTCTGTGGCAGAACATGACAAGTGCGATACTTTGGACCATCACGGCTGGTCTGATGACCACACTTCCTGGCATTCTGCCGACGGTGCTGGAAGCGAAGCGCTGTTCCCAGCTCGAGTCATGTGAACCTAATTTAAAAGAAGGCTTTCCCCTGTGGAGGCCTGGCCGTCTGAAACAGTCACCGCTCAGCTCAAACGCCCGCGGCGGAAACTGACCACTTCACGCACCACAGTCACGCATTGCCTGAGCAAGCCCAAGCAGATTCTGTCCATTCGGCTTCTCCCCCCATGGCTTCATGCCAAGTGCTGGGTTTTGAAACACTCTACGCCCTAAACCTTGAACATAATGACCCAAGCACTGCGCTGCAAGCATCAAGCCTGGAAAACGGTCAAAAGGCCTTGCCTTGAGCTAGCCGTCTGCCATCCGGTATGGTGGATCCTGGACTTGTCCAAAGCGTTTGGGTCCAGAGTTCGGGGGCGATTTTAGTATGTGTAAAGCCTTGGAGCTTAAGGGGTTGAGAGTTCATGGCTCATCGTTGCCAACCGACCAAGAGTCCCGGACGCGCCCTCTTCGGCACGCAAGCTTTGTACGCGGGGAAGAGCACGAGTTGATCGGCCTTTCAAAGTCGCATGCAGCAAAAGCGCCACCCCTTGATTTAATTATGTCCGTGCCTTGCTGTCCTTGCGTCCGCTGTACTCCTCGAATCGCGGACTGAATAACATTGCTCAACTTAGCTGTGACCACAAAGTAGCTCAGCGCCCCACCACTGCCATGATGCGATCAGGGGTTGGCGCGCGAATCTGGCAGGTGTTCTAAAGCTACGGACCGCCTCCCATGCCTCCACCGCGTCAACGTTACTAGGAGCAGAGCGGCACAGCGTCGTCCAGACGCTCCAACTTCGCAGACATGAAACATCATGCAATCCTCCCACCTGCTTGGGCCAGCGGCTTGGCGAGCTGCTTCGCCGAGGCACTGCCCCGCCCGGGCAGTCTGACAGCAGAGCTCAGGATGAACGAAGTCAACAGCTCTAGGCCCGTGTTTTGGGAGCAGACGAAACTCAGTTACAATTTCACGCATCTGCCTGACACACGGCCCTTGCCCTCTCACATACTACCGCGGCAACCATTTGCAAAAGACAACTCAATCTAATCTCCAGGCACCGGAGAGGTAGTGATGCTTGTCCAGAAAGCTGGTCATGACCTCCGACACAAGGGGTCTTAACCAGACCTATTGCATCTCTTGTTGTACTTCGAAGTAGTGAGCATATGTGAGCGTCCAAACTGCGACGACCCGTGATGTCTAACTCCAGATACATGCTCCGAAGGATCGTGCCACAAGCTGCAAGACTCTCGGAGACTAGAATCAAAGCGATCTTCGGCGACATCAAGCAATCGACTCATCCGGTTGAATTTGTGAAACTATTGCCAGGTACTAAGATGTTGGGAGATGCTTGAACAGGGACATGTAAGTACTGTTGAATGAAAGTTGCACCAGAGATTCACATATTGAGCATTGGATCTTGCATCGAAGTGCGACTGCTCTCTTGAAGCCTGCTGCCTATGATTCACTCGCAGATGCAAGAAGACCGAACAACCTGCACAGCCGAACCCCAGCCCGGTCCTGCCTTCGGCTTGATCAAGGCTGTCAAATCCATGTCGGTCATGATGTAAAGGATGGAGGCCAGGTTGCCCGGGGACAGGTCGCAATAATTCAGGCAAGAGCACACCCTGCCCGACCGACTCTGCGGAAGGTTCAAGTTCACGCCAGATCAAGACTGGACAGAAACACCCGCGCGGCCTGATCACGCAGTCCTCCTTCAAATGCCCGTGCGGCAGGATCCTCGATGTGTTGCAAGAGTATCGGTTTGAAGGGAAGAAGTTGAAATGAAACGCTGTGCCTCGCTCTACAAGTAGCTTTGAGCCTGGGCTCTGGCGGCCGAAGATGACACCCTCGAGCTTCTGAGATGCACAGAATGCCTGGAGGGAGAGTGCCGACCGATGCTTCAGAAACGGCTTAGGACTTCTAGGGTTTAAGGTATGGGGTGCACGTACGGTGGTGGAGGCTCCCATACCTTCAGGGACTGGTCATCGAGCACTGTTCGTGCTCCCAGGTCTCGAGACAGGAGCGAGCTTGGCCTGAGATGCGCGCAAGGGGCACTGCGAGCAGCGCATGGCAGCGCATCCCTGCTCCCCTCCTACTCCTCGTCACGCACAAAATACATGGCAACAAATGGCCAAGCTCCCACACT